GAAACCTCCCTGGCCCGCCAATCACCAGGATGTGCGCTTCATGCCATGCAAATGCCCAACATTCAGGGAAAGGCAAAAACAAATCAAGAGCGATGTGTGTGAAGTGAAGTGTGTGAAAAGGCAAAAGAAAAGAAAAAACCACCGAACGCGCCTAACTCGCTGAGCCTTGGGCATCCACCGTCACCCCGAACACTGGGGGGAGTGACTCATTCTGGAAGTCTGTTTTGCTGCCCGTGGCTGATGACGGTGTGCTGGTGATGATGTTGATGTTTGTTGCTGTGCATGTGCTTTTCGTAAAACTCGTTGGTATCTTGTAACTGACAAAGGAGAAGAGTAAATAATAATATGGGTCGAGGTTTAGTGCTTGGAAGAAGCCGAGGTAGAGGAAGAGCTGCTTCCGCTGCTAGCGGCAGCCGCGGCAGATCCATGGTGAGCCCGTCGCTTCTTGCTGCTCGATCCCGATGCGCGCTTCTTGCGCTGTCTGCTAGCCTGCGCGTGCTCCACGGCTGCTAGCTGGGCAGCCCGGAGAGCCTGGAGGGCGCGGGCCTGAGCCTGGGCCTGGACGTACTGCCTCATGCGCCAGTCCTCGGTCTCGTTCATGTGTCGGATCTGCTCCTCGGTGGTCAGCCCGGGGTTTCCGATGATGGCGTTTTCGTTTTCGTCGAAGCTGTCGCTTCCGAAGGGGGTCTCCATGGCTGCCAGCATCGGGTTGGATGCTGACGAAGTAGACGGGATCGGGAACAGGTCCTCGTCTGAGAGATAGGCCGAGGCTGAGCTGCCGCTGTCGTCCTCGGAGCCAGAGTAGAGAGATGATCGGTTAGGCCACGAGGGAAAGGCACACGAGGTGTTGCTTCCCGAGAAGGTCGAGAAAGACGTCTTGCGAGGGTAGATGTCGAGCAGCCCGTCGCATGGTGATGGTGGTGGAGGAGCTGGCTGTGGGAAAGACGATGGTGGTGAGACTGGGGAGGATGCAGCACTGCTGCCAAAGCCGTAGCCTCTCCACATCTTGGTCTGGTAGCTCCTGGAGTCGAGGTTCTTTTGCTTGTTGCTGTTGCTGATGCTGCTGGTATATGATGATGCCGCTGATGACGCTGATAGTAGAGTCGACAGTGACGATGAGAGTGATGGTGGTTGTATAGCCGTGCAAGCCATAAAGAATTAGCTCTGCGTTATTAGTTTGGATATTGATGTTGGTCTGAAGATGTTCAGAAAGGTCTGTGGTCAGCTTGGTCTGGAGGAGGAGGAGCAACGATATTATATAAAAAATGAAGCCGAACACCTTGCCTTATGTTTATTAGATATGATAGCTCGTGCAAGGTCAAGGTATACTCCAGGGCGAAGGGCCAAAAGGGCATAAAAAGCAAAAAAAGAGCCCATCTTGCAAAGGGAGGAAAAAGCAAGGAGGAAAAGGGGAAAAAAGCAAATAAAAAGGGAGGAAAGAGAGACAAGGGAAGAAAAAAGAATGTTATATCATATGCAAAAACCGAAAGCCGAAAAACAAAGTGCAAAAATAAAATATGAAATATGAATAATTATGGGCGGTGGAGCGGATTTGCACTCACCGGTGCCCCGGTCCAAAAGCAAATAATTATCCAGTCGTTAGCGTACGGTGAGGCGTATGAAGGCGACTCTTTCTCATACCAACAGGGCCTCATAGTACCATAGTACACGCACTCAGCCATGCTCAGAGGGCGAAAGGAGTAGACGACGCAGCGTGATAGGAGAACAGGCAGGGGAGGCAAGACACAAGAAGCTGAGAAGAAGCTGAGGCAGAGGCCAGAGACCAGAGACACAAGAGACTCAAGAGGCAGGGCGAAGCTAACCTCCGTCTCCGGCCGTTCTGTCCCTCGTTCTGGTAGGAAGACAGCCAGACGATAGAGTTACCCCAGGTCGAGAGATCCCATGGAACGGTCCGCTGAGCCCGGGGGGAGATGAAGAGCTGCCAAGTGCTCATCCCTTACACGTCTTGTATTGAAAAATACGCCTTGAGCCTGGCTGTCCGTTTTTTATTTTTCCTTTCCCTTCGCATCGCTGCTGCCTGCCTTACCTACTCTTCCTCTGACTCCCCTCCTTACTCTTTCTCCGACAAGAGGAGGTCCAAGGCTGCCTGGAGTGAAGAAGGGGGCGGAAACCCGTTGGACCAAAGGCGTGAAGAGTTCATACCACCCCCTCCGACTCACCACAAGAAAAGTGACTCCGTGTATACTTCCGTGGTGGTGGTGTGCTTGATCCCAAGTCCCCATGCCTTAACTGGCGGTCTGGTCAGCCCTTCGACTAATCATCGCATAGGGAAGGCATCCTGGCACAACGGGCGGTGACTAACTGCATTTTCGTGGTTGGGTGGTAGCTGCTGGATGATGAAGACAACCACCCCCTTCGTGGCCTCACCGTAAGTAAGTAAAGTGACGGATGGATGAGTGATGATGATGGTGATGGGATGCCTAGATGTTGGTCCCGATCTCGCTCGTTTGTTGTTGTATCGTGGACCGGACAGGCGGTCTCGTCACAGCACGGCAACGAGAACTCTCTCTCCCGGTGGAAGGATGACCAACAGCATCACATCCTTATTTCCTTGTAACCCTCTAACCTGTCCCTAGTGCTCCGTACGGAGTAGTTTTTTTCCCCCTCTGCTGTTCCCCGGAGATTATGGGACGCGGGCGGGAGGGATGGCGGTAGGCAGCGTGAGACCTTCCCAACTGACTGCCGCCGTTACACACAATTAAACAAGATACCGGGAGGCGGCGCCTGTTTTCCCTTTCTTTCCTTTTTTGTTGGAGTCGGTGCAGCTGTTATCCTGCTTTCTCTTTTCCTTTGTTTTTTTCCCTTTTCTTTCGTCGTTCTCGTCTCCTCCTCATCACCATATCCCGTACCGTGTGGTTTTCCCTGGAAGATTACCCGTGGGAATCAAGTCGGTAGACAGGGAGTTTTGACGTACCCCAAAGAGATCCTGTTTTTCGGGATCAACTAGTAAATAGTTAATATAGAACACGCCGGTGTGCCGAGTCGAAAAGCCCTGTTTTTGAGACACTCTAGACACCTCTTTTTGTAATTAAATAATAAGTGCGATTTCGAACTCGGCCTGCAGTTGCTGCGCTGTGCCCTGGTCGGAAGCAATATTATACCAACAACATTTTCTGACACTGCATCTCCTGCTTCTGCTTCTGCTCCGTCTTCGTCGTCCCTCGCTCCTCCTTTTCTTTTGGGCGCCGCCGGGTGGTTGCTTCGGGCTTGGGCAGCCAGCAATCAGCCAACGCAAGTAAGTAAAGCGAGTAAAAAAAATAACTCCCCGGTTCCGGACCTGCGCCTGCATGTTGTTCAAAGGTCCTTCACACCGATATATGTCTGTTGAGGCAACACGACGGCTCGTATAGGGGACGGACTGGACGACAGACACACCTCTCTTGTGTTTTGTTGTCCCTGGGCCTGTCGCGCCACGGTAGTTATGGCGGCTTGCTCCATCCGGGCTGCTCTTGGTCGAGTTCAGATCATGTCGAGTCGATGCCGTTGAGTTACGCAAGGGCCGGTTACAGGCAGCGTCAAGAGTCACAGGCCAACCCGTCCGTCCGCAGCCATGTAGTTACATCCATACGCGGTACGTAAATTAAAAATATGTGCCGGGGACGCGTAAAAGGCATGGAGGCAGCCCACAGTTTCTCCGTGCTTATGAAGCTCCCATTCTCCATCTCGTCGACCTGCTTACGAAAAGAAAAAAGCCGTTGGCGGAGTGCAGGAAGGCCACTGCAGGGGGCGGGGGGGCCGGGGAACAGGAGCGCATCCGGAGATATAAATAAGTACTCCGTAATATTAACCCAGTCGAGCGGTGCTGCGAGCCGCTATTCGCCGGTTTGCTCATAATCGTTGTAATAGCAATCAATCTGATTGACTGGAATATAGGACTGTCCTTTTTCTTTTTGCATTTAGTTATTTTGCTTGTGTCTCTTATTCTCGTCCCTTTATTCCGCATCGCCGGGATTTCTGTTCTTTCTTCCCTCTCGCTTCGCGTTTGTGCTTTGTGCTCCCTCTTTGTGTGTTGCGGCTTTCCATACGGAGTAACTATATTCTATATATTGCTCTGTCTGTGTCGCTGGGGGTGAATGTGCCGGGCCGTCGGGACAGTCCTCCCAGCGTCTTTGTCAAGATTCCGGGCGGGTTGACATCCGGATAGATAGTCAAAACAGATAGATAGACGGTCAAGGGCTGGTGCTCTGTACCATCTCTGGTTCCGTGGTAGAGAGCCGACGAGGCAGAAGCAAAAGAAAGGCTGGTGGAAGAGTCAACCTGACCGCTCACCAGCGTCTCATCGTCTGCCACCCAACTGCCGCTGTATGCGATCTGTTCCGTAGACGCCTGCCGACACCTCTCACGCGCCCTCTCTGCAGTCGCTCTCTCTCTCGGTGTGTGTGCGCCTCTTTTCTTCTCCAAGACCGTATAGAATATCGTACACGGACACGATCCTGGTCTGGTGAACGTGAGGCAGCGACTTGTCGGAATCGGATCCGCGATAGCTTATTTTTCATTTTTTTTGTTAGCTGTCTCGTTTCTTTTCTCACCATGTCATATTTTTCCGCAAGAAGAATAAAATAAAATACACAAAACGAACGACGTAAAAAAAGGAACAATGATAATAAAATAGGGGGGCGAGGTTCCCTATGATGGCTGGAAAAGGCTTAACTCGTGGAGAGGAGAGAAGTCTACTTAGCCCGATGGAGGTTTTTTTTTTACTTATTTTGCATTACTCTCGAATAAGTGTACACAAGCCGTCATATCGTGGGTGATTGGTCTGGTGGTTTGATCCCTTCTCTTGGGTCTGAATTCTCCATCGCGATGGAACCCTTATGTCGCGTTGTACATCCTCATAGGACCATAGGGTAGCTTGGACACCCGCCGGAGAGACGCCGTTGACAGGCTAAGCTGATGATCTCTGGAGTTGTGAGAGTCGAGACCGTTAGGACGAAGAGTAGGCTGGGAGAGGGAAAGTGGAAGACGCCAAACGGCGATTGACCAGGCTGATCGAGACTCCTGTCCGGTTCCCTTCCCTCGGTGCTCATTGATTCAGGTTGGGCTTGCCGTCGAAAGTGTATAATGTATCCGCCCTTCGTAAAGCGCCCTTACGTTGACTGACGAAGGGGGTTCAGCCCAATACTACCACATCTCACATCACCATCCTGAACCGAATACGCAGGTTGACGTTTCAACTCCCGAATCGACGAAGCAGCACCAGGAGACGAACCACTGGCTCTCTGCCCTTGCATACACGTGTGAGTGCTGCAGACGCATCGAAAATCCGCCTTACTAGCCTTCCTCTCCTGGCGCGGTTACCAGCCATACCCCCATCACAAATAGAAACGACGAGGACGAACCAAACCGTCAGGAAAGTAACATACTCAGTTGTGTCGCATCGTCGTTGCCCTTGACTGGTCGGGGATGGCTGATCGCAGACCAGTCAAAGGGGCAGCCATACCCTTCCGCCCAACGTTGCGGTGATGGTCTCGAGCTGACAATCCACCGTTGTAAAGCCAAGCAGCTAGTCTCCCGCTGGACGGGGAATCAGCTCCTAGCCTATCCTCCACTAGGGGCTGGCCACGAGTGGATATGGTGTTCGTGTGTGTGTGTGTGTGTGCACTTCGTATGGAGAGAAGATGAAGGATCCTCAGAGCCTAAGATCCAAGAGTGGCGGACGACACTCTGCCCTGGCTTCACTCGAGACATACACTCCGAGGAGACACGCTGCATGAGCATCCTCAGGTGCAGGGCAGACAGAGCGAACGAATCGCTTGGCCGATGATGGGTTTGCCCCCAAGTACGGAGTAGTCCTATATCTTTTAACTAGGATTTCCGATAATATGCTTCCTCACATTCAGCTTCTCCCACATACTCGCTTTCGTTACCAGCTTTTCCCTGCTGACTGTCGTATCGAAAATCATCCCCTGCCAGGAGAGAGCAGAGAAGAGCACACATGGTTCAAGAGACGTCCCAAAATTCTGGGCCCACCGGCAAGGGCTTGGGCTTAGAAACAAGTCCACCACTCGGGGAGCCTGAAGGGAGCAGCCTGGGAGGACAAAAGACCCATCATATGCACGATGGGATGCTTAGTGCAGACTTTCTGGGTAACTATACCCAGTTAGTGTATTTATATATGCAGCATTAAAATAATTAATCCGCCCTTCCCAGCCCAGGGAATTCTGGATCATACAGATCTCTCTCTCTCTCCCTCGTCGCTCTCTGCGGGCTCCAGAGGTGGCGGGCTGGGAGCGGAAGGGCGGACCGCCAGCCTCCCTTCCGCGTCCCCACAGTGAGCTCCAATCAACCTGATCAGGGTAAAGGCAATTTTGAATGAAACCAATGATCTTCAATAGTTAGTTGCTAAAAATGAAGGGAGGGGGCGGCGAAAAGAAAGAGACGTCGAATAGTCAGTCTGCTCGTTCGTTATTTTGTGAAATGTGAATGTGATAGTCCCACCCGTGGTGAAAAATGGCTAAACTCTCCCGAGTGGACGGGACAAAAGCCAGATCCCGAGTCCATGGGACCGAGTGTCCTTGTACCTGGACCAACTAGTTGGGTGTCCTACCATGTCTGTCTGCATAAGACCTAGAATTATCGCTGGAAAACCTGATAGTTCGACAGGTACACACGCAAAAACACAGTCGTACGTACTCCGCACACATAAAAATGCACGGATGATATGCTATGTCAAGGTGGCAATATCTTGGGACAGATCTCATGAGATCAGGCTCGATCGAAATGCGTCTTACTAACTACCAGTCAGTCGCACGGTGTACGGAGTATAGAGCAAAGAGCTGGCCTGATTGACTGGTCGCTGTATGGAGTACAGAGTACTTACTCCGTATTAATCATTCCATTTCGTGTTTCGCTGTTTAAGTATGCGTGTAATCCGTGGTGAGAAGTATGGAGTAACAGCTTAGGGAGCATCTCCGTGCCTCCTCTCCCTGCAGAGCCCCTTTATGGAGTACTTACGGAGTACTTGACCTTCGCCCTTCTTCTGTTCCAGATATGAAATGATACGCGGTCAGACCCTTCCTTCTCCTCCTCCTCATCGATAATGAGGGGGGTTTGATAGACGGGAAGGCAAAGGGGAGGCGTCTGGGGAGGCGTCTGGGGAGGCGTCTGGAGTTTATGGAGGGTTGACGGTGGCGGACGCCAGTCGCCTCATGGAGGACGCAGACGCAGGTCCAAGGGAGTGGCTTTTTCCCTCCTTCGCCTTTGGCTGGACTTCTGTCCTGGTGCACGCAGATCCCGTCTCCTTTACATTTCAGGTGTTATGAACACACTAACGTCCTGTCTGTGTGGGGGTAAGACAGGTTCATGACTGGCGAGAGACAGCATTACCCCGGATATCCCAGACAGGCTCTGGAGCCCCTCTGGAGCCCCCTCTCTGGAGGCGAAAGTCCCCAAACGTGCAGCCCAAGAAGGCATCTTCAGCCCAGCATTTCACTTCAGCGAGTCGGACATGCTCCAGAAGTGTTCGTTATGGATGCAACCTCTATCTAGACGACGCGGCACGGAAGGAATCTCGCGATCTGAGATCCCTTCTTCTTCGCTTCTTCTTCCGCCCTTCTTTTTCTCTTTGCTTTTTGTTTTCGTTTCTTCAGGGGAAGTTGGGAGGTTTTTTCACCAATAAGGAGTCGTTATATATTGTCCAATCACAATCCCTTAATCACGTGGTAATGATATTACATAATCTTGAGGGCCAAAGCGCGGAGGCGAAGGCGCGACGAGATTGATGGTGATGGTGATGGTGATGGTGATGGCGACGGTGAGGATGGGTGCTGATACCCCCCCCCTCATGGTAAATAGCATGAGCAAGAGGATGGGCTGCAGGGCTAGATTGACCTATCGCCTGCAATCATTATATTTGCAATAGTATGCATCTGGTGTTTGAATACCAACTGCCCGATATCAAGGATGCGTGTCTGTTGCGCTCCAGCCACAGACACATCATATCGATACCCCCGGCGTTGGAGAATATCATCACACAGCATGACGCTCCAGATGGGTCCGATAGCGAGATGAGATGAGATGAGATGGACGGGATGGGGCTCGGGCGGCCCGAGTCAGGCTCAATGTCAATATCAGGGTCCAGAGCAAGCTTCCTAAGCCTCATCTGCGGGTTGTTTGCATGAACAAGAATATTGTTCGTCGTGTAGGAAGTACTCCCTCTACGACACTTCATACAGAGTACACGGTAGCTCTTTTGCAATTCGTGACCGTATTTCGCTTCTCCTGCAGAGACCATTAATGATAGCCAGTCTAGATAATTGACACTGCTGTCTAGCACACCGCTTGCTCTCGACTTTTCCCGCTGTAGGCCTAGCTGTGTGGATCCTCGAGCTGCTGTCTCAGCCCCTCCATCACCGCTCATTAACACTGCGAATTCTCCTACTTCCTACGCCCATTGCAATTCCGATTTCTGGTGGAGCAGAAGCATGGCTGGACAGACGGGAGGCTAGTCGATAGTTCAGCCCTTTCTTGCCGGTGAATTATTCAACCACCACGACCTCAACAATTTTCCATTTTCTAAATTCTCACCGCTACTATCGGCAGCCACCTGGAAGCCATGGTGGGAGATCCTCCCGAGGCCATCTAGTTTACGGAGTCCCGTCGCTCCATCACGGAAACTATTGAAAAGGGATTATTCTAGAAACGGAGCTGAAGTTGTGTCGTGTGCTATAAAGCTACCCGTTGTCTAGTGGTGATGGCTCGAGATAGTGTACTGAGCGGCAGCCGGGTACGTGCTTCTCCCACGTTTGGATATTCTCCCCCCTAGTTATGGCTATACACAATCTAGACGGATCGGGCGACCGTGGCTAGATATTCCAGGCTCCCAACGGCCTAGTCTAGAATGGTAATATACTTATTCCGTACTCCTTTATAAGGCCCTATGCAGAAGGGACGCGTAGATTCATACATCCCGTTCTGCGCATTTATGTTGGAAAAGTAGGAAACTGTTCTTACTTTGCCGCTTTTCAAGCCATACATATATATATCCAGGCCATACATACACTCCAATCCCGGAACTTATACGAGGCACACAACAATGCAAGATATTTCCCGAGTATGGAGTCGCTGTCATTGACGAGTTCCATGACTCGACCCCAGATAATCGATCGAGGATCCTGGTATGGGATCGAAAAATACATAGGTCACATTGAGCAGATAGACTTTCCATCTTCTCGCTCTTTTCCTGTTTTCATGGGCTAAATCTCGATCTACAGACGAAACCTAACCAAGGAAGCAAACCAACACGGTTGCGACAGACCACATCGCCTGAAGGGCGAGAGAGACACAAGAGGGGATGGCACACATCTGGAATTTAAAGCACGTCCTCGTCGCTGGTAACTTCCTTCGGACAAACAAAGGTTTCGCTTCAACGGCGGCTCCATATAATATATTATATATATAATTACTCGGGCTGATACATCAAGCCCGCATCACCTCCTCCCCTGCACCGAATCTGGATTGTTCAGATCATATCGCAAATAGGCCCGAGCCGATTTTCTGATTGGCTGAGCCACAGCTTCGTAACGAGAAAAGCCCTGTTTGCTCTTATGTGCGTTCCTTGGATAATGCGCATACGGGCAGTGCGGTGACAGCTTCGTCAAAGGGATGCATCCTTTCTTTGACCCTCGAGCCACAGGTACCCTGCAGATCAACCGATGCTAGGTGAATCACAAGTGGCGCAAATTCAACAGGAGTCATGAGAGATGATTTTTGCACTTGAGGCTGCCAAGTGTGAATCGGTTATAGTGCAACATTGTTTCGATCGATCGATCAACTTTCTTTGTCCAGCTGGCCTTGTTCTGAACGCAAGCAAACATATAACTAATAAGCAATAAAAGGCCCGGGCGGGAGGGAGGGATGGCCCAGCCGCTTGGCTATTTTCACATCCTAGGCCAGGTTACCTGTTTGTTGGTAAACAAAGACATGAAAAGAGGGTGGCCAGATGCTTAGGGTTGGTGCTCTCCATACTCTATAAAGGGAAACTGGTTTGATAGAGGGTACTGATATTGGACCTTGACGGGATACTAAGCAATCAAAATACCCAACTGGTGAAGGGAAATAGCGTGTAAATTAGTAGCAGCCAACAACCAACTATTCATGAATAAAAATCCCATCGAAGTGCGAAGGACGATGTGAGGTCTTCCAGCCTTCTGTTAAAACCTACGAAACAACTTGTAACAGGCTAGAGCCAGGATCCGATTATGAGGAGAAGGTAGTTAGTTCATACCACTAACATTTATTCATTGAAAAGATAAGCGGCCATTTATTCAATTACCTGGGATCATATGACTTCCCTCCTGGTCCTTCTCCCCAGGGATGGATGTACTTAATACCTTTCCGGCGGAATGGCATTCAAGGATGCAGGAGACATAGGCACGGAATAGGATACTGTAAGGAGCATTGTCGCTGATAACTAGCTCTGAGGCACATTGACATAGGTTCCTCGGTACTAATGATAGCTAGTATCACTCTTTACCTCCTTTTGGATATATACCTAGGTTGTTAGTTGTTAGAAATGGTACGTTAGTGGACCACTTTATTCATAAGGCATGGAACTACCCAGCATTCGGAACCATGGCCCTTTGAATGCTCAAGATTAGCGTGCTTGTTTGATATAGAGTCATAACGCCGATTTAAGCAAGTCAATTTAGATCTTTCTAGTACAAAGTAATCTTGCTCACGGCCTCTTTTTGGTCATTGATATCCCGGAGACTCACATCAGTAGTATAAAGAAAAATGAGGTATTGGATAACTTGACCTTATCGACTACGAGGAGTGTGCGGGCTCAGCAAAATACACCTGTTATTGTTACAACCAAGCTCTGGGATGCTTGGACTTTGTCTACGCGCCCTCCGACGCGTCTCCCATGGTTATCTCCTACGAGAACCTCCCATCACCCACTGACTATCAAACATCTATATCTGGATGGCACTTCGTCGAGTTTTCACATCACCAAGCTTTGCAAGGATCTGAATTCCATTGAAGTAGATATCACTAGTAACTAACCTCTCACGAGTGATAGGGCAGTTCGATGCTCGTCTGTCTAACTTAGTTGATATAAGATTACCAGAAAGATTCAGTACTCAGTAGATAGGTTCAATCTTAAATTGTCTGAGAGATATTTCCTTTAGACCACATAACTACCAACCCCCATTCCCAGGATACGACGAACGCCCAAGCATATAAGCAGGATAGTAATTAAGCTCAAATGAAACGGAACCAGGACGGGATACAAGCCAACAAACGAAACAAATAAGGGGAAGGTGAGGTGAGAGCAGGAAGGTGATTCGGGATAGAAATGTAACTGGTAGGGTAGATGAATATTTCCCGACTTTTTTTTGGTTCTTTTAAAACACACTTTGAAGCTTGACTTGGACAAGGAGAAGGAGGTAATAAAACATAGCACATTGGATAGGAAGAGAAGAGCGCCTTATCGGGAGTCAATTACATCAAGGAGCTCTAGGGTAACTAGAGTTCTTGGACAATGCTTAAAGCGAAATAATTTACTGTATCAAAAATGTTAGGTTTGAAATAGTATCGAGGACACTGGGGTAAATCATGTACTTACAGAGATCTCATCGACCATTCCGAGGTCTTCACCGTTACCGGCAGGCTGGGGAGCTGCACCATTGGCTGCAGGAGCGGGAGCGTTAGTGCTAGCAGGAGCTTCGGCGAAGTAGTTTACCATCTCAGCATCGAGCTCTTCAATGGTCTTTGACTTTGGGCGGCCGGCATTGCGGCCCCGTTGGGTTCGACCACGGGCATCCTTCTTTCGTCCAGCCTTCGCAGCTGACGCTGGCTTGGGTTGAGACTTTGGTTGACTACTTTTCGTTAGTGAATAAAAAAAGCTTGAGGATTATTATAAGATTAAACGAGGAAAAACTTACGCCACACGCTCAGTCAAAGGCTTAGGTGCAGGAACTGGAGGTGCACGGGATGCATCAACAACAACCTCAATCTAGATTAAAGACAACTTAGTTAGACTAGAGTCATTGAAGACTGGGGGAAGGGCTGTATATACTTACTTTAATGGGGCGTTTGTCGATCAAAAGTCCGTTCAGCTCCTTAGCAGCCTTGATAGCGGTTTCAGGGCGACTAAATATAATAGAAGCGATACCACGGCTGGTACCGTTCTGATTGTAGGTCAGCATGACCTTCTTGACAGGCCCGGCTGATTTGTGGAAGTATTCCTAGCGGTGACACGAGATTCATCAGTATGTTCGTCGTTTGTAAGTACGCTTTGTCAACAAAAGCCGAAGCATTGAATATGAGCAATCAGGGTCATCGGCTTTCGAGGGATGTAAAAAGAGATCCAGATAGACCAGCGAGCACAGCATAACAGCCAGGTTAGTAGTTAGCAGAAACGAATTAGCCGGAGCCAGGGTTCCTTTCAACCTGCACTGGGACCAAGATAGCGGTACCAGTTTTTTGCCAGGAGAAGCCATATATATGGTATCCAGAGACTCCGGTAGACCGCAGATAGATAAAACAACCACCCGAGATTATCCTGAAGCCAAAGAGAAAAAATTGCATTGTGGGGTGCTGGGTTGCAAGCAGCTGGTTGAGAAGTACCACGGGAAGAGGTAGTGTCGTGATTGTGATTATTCCGCATCGAGTAAGTCGGCAAGGTTTGTATTTTGAAGGCCTTGTTTATGAGATCGACTTCAAAAAGCTCAATCGGCATGCCGCTGGTACCGAGTACCGTTGAGTTGAGGACGAATAGATGATAAGCTATGCTGTTCAACCGCTGCTGCGCTCGCTGATTCTCCTCATGCCCCAAATGAAGAACCAAAATGCTGGCTCGTTCTGAATCAGGCTAGGACAAGTCACGTTGACTACTCAAGTGCAACCCGCATGGTATATACTGGGCCTCTTTGTCTTTATCTTCAAGGAAGTGACAGATTTCAACCTTCCATATGTCTCTGCATCATGCCTCTGCACAGGCGAGCGAAAGATAGGAAGGGATCGACCGTCTGGGAGCAAGAGAGCTCAAGGCGCCATAGTTCATGCGCGCTTTTGACTGGCCATCACCACAGAGGATAGCCGCACTGAGATCAAGTCTGCCTTTGGTTCTCTTGGCTGGGAAGAAAGAAAAAGGAAAGCCGACTCTTCCGATCGTCACGTTCGAAGCAAAATGGCTGAAAACGGAGACGGCGAACGAAACTCCGAAGAGCGTCTCTTATCAACATACCTTGATATTTGCTTCATTCACATCGGCGGGCTGGTCGAATGGGTAATTAGCAGCTGTTATGTTTATTGTACTCGAATGGGGAGGAAGGCTGGTGAGAAGGGAACGACGTGTGATTATGACTTACCAAGCCGCTCACGATGATCTTTCCATCTCCTGATCCTGCGGCAGGTGCAGCAGGCGTGGCTTTAGAGGTTGGTTTGGTTTGCCTGGTGGATTTCCTGACTCCTCCGACAGGAGCGGCCTTTGCACCCTTTGCAGCTGGGCGACGCTGATGGGTGCGACGCGCCTGGCGGCGGGAGCTGACAATCTCATCAAGAGCCTTGTCGAGTTTTGCAGACATGATGTTTGGACTTGAAAAGAAGTTTTTTAGACTTGGAATATAGTATCAGACCGGACGCAGCAAATCGAGTGGTCTTAAAAGACGCGCGTGGGAGAGTTGCTGTCTGTCTGGTGGTGTCGCAGCCTGGGAGCGCTGGGGAAGTAGCAGCAGATGAGGTATAGCTCAGTCGGCAGATGGACCGTCGATAGCACTATTCCTGGCTGTGGTGAATCTGAGGATAGTGAATATGCAGCTCGTTCACTTGGGTGGAAGAGTGAAGTTGAGATCGAGAGAGGTTGGCGGTTAGAAGTTTGAGCAGGAGGAGGAGAAGGAGAAGAGCGAAAAAGACGCCAGAAAGGAAAAGAAGGCTGAAAGGGCAGGACAGGCTTGGCGCTAAGCCCCTTTTGGCTAGAACTCTTACTTTTGTCCTGTGTTATGTAAGCACAATGGAAAATAGAACATCCATGATAAGGTTTTGATTACTTAATAAAATCAGTCACTTCTTGACACTTCAGGGCTAAATCAAAAATAGAAACACCACCTGGTCGCTCTTTTGGCTCAACCGTTTTAACAACATCTAGTCGTCTTAACAATATTCCGAGGGCAGATTTGATAACTCAAGGAGAACGGTATCATGAATACGTACTTCTTATTGGCATATTAATCTTGCTGGCAATCATGTACCTGGCCTATTTTTATAACGCGGAACTTCTCAAATGGCGTCCGGTGCCAGTGATTGGCGGCAACCTGCATGCACGGTATGTAGGCATGCCGGCGCTTAGGAGTTTGGGGCCTTGTCCTCCAGTAGGGCCGCCATAAATACCCATCCTCTAAGGCTCACACTTTTGATATCATGTTATCGAAAGAATCATCAGTTGTTTTGAATGTTTCCACTTGGGATCCTGTGGAACTAAAGTTGTGGAACTAAAGTTGTAACCCAACCTCGAGTGTATTCTCACTCTTTTCGCCCACCCGTTTGGCAGAGCCCTTGGCAAAATATCTCAATATGGAGCTTGCCGGCCTTGTTATAGGTGTCGCAGGCCTTTTCAGCGTCTGCATGGATGTCCTGGATCGAGTGTCAACTTATAGAGAGTTCTCGACTCAGTCACGGCAAACTGTTGTGAAATTCGAGGCCAATAAGGTCAGACTAAAGGACTGGGCGGCCTATACTGGCATTGAGAACGGAGTTTTAAAAGAGGACCATCATGTTCGCCTTGATGAACCAGAGATATTATCGGCCGTCAAGCTGGTGCTGGAAGAGATCAGGACGCTTTTCGACTCAATAGAACGTTCACAATCTCGGTTACGGCTGCCTCAAGTTGTGGTATCTTCTGCAGAGAGTGGTGGAGAGGCGAGCAAGGCTAGTTCTAAATCTTCCATTAGGGGTGGCATTAGCTGGGCCCTGAGAGGAAAGGGAAGCTTTACATCACAGGTTGAAATGTTTGGGGAGTTTGTCAATACGCTACATAATCTACTTCCTAAAGAGAAAGATGGGTTTGTGAACCTCGATACTGTTATGATGCAGACGTTGAAGTGTACAGCTAACTGTATACTAGATCAGATACTCTTATCAAAGACTTCAAGGCCTTGCTCATAGAAACACGACAGAGTTCTCTTGTGCAAACGCAGAAGAGAGCTGATGAATGGCTGGATGCCCCTGAAATTGAACAGCAATATGAGAGGCATTTAACGGCTCGTCTAGATGGCACTTGTAACTGGATTGCTAGAGAGCCTGCCTACAAAACTTGGGAATCAGATGATTTCCCTCGGGAGACTGCCAAATTTCTCTGGATATGTGGTCCAGCAGGTTCTGGGAAATCTGTCCTATGTGCAAAAATCATCCAGCAGTTTACTGAGAAGTCAAACCACACAGTAGTGTATTTCTTCTCTACAGGTCATGTCCAGACAGGAGGACACCCAGATGGCGCGATACGATCCTGGATTTCTCAGGCTATGCGGCGTGATGGACAGATTTTAGAACTGGTCCAACAAGCAATGGACCGTGTTGGTGCAGGGAGAAGGGCGTCTCAGTCCGAAGTCTGGAAACTATTCAGAGAAATTGCGTCCGGTGCCATCCCTTTTACCTTTGTTCTAGACGGGCTAGATGAATACGAAGTACGCGATGACGAACGAGCTCAGCTACTTCGAGGATTGAAGGAGCAGGCAAAAGGCTCTAAATGTCGAGTGCTAATTGTGAGTCGGAATGAAGTGGATCTGAATCAAGAATTGTCCCCTCCTCTCGGGGATAAAGGGGGGAACATCATGCTTGAGTGTCAAATCTCAAAGTCCAAAATCCAGTCTGAGATTCAGCTCTACTCGGAAAGCATCGTCAATAAGAAACTTGGGAAGAAAAGCGCTTCGCTTCGGCGAGAGTTAGCTTCTCAGATGGCAGAGAAGTGTGAAGGAATGTTTCTTTGGATCAAGATGCAACAAGACCAGCTTCGTAGCGGCAAAAATGAGAAACAGCTTCGAAACATAGTCTCAACTATGCCAACTGGACTCCATCAAATATACGAGCGCAATTGGGCAAGCATTCAACGGCGGCCAGACGACGAAAGGCGCCGCGCCATGTCCATTCTCCGTTGGGCTACCTTTGCGTACAAGCCGCTGCAATTATCGGAGTTGGCAGGGGCACTTGCTATTTACGACGAGAACGATGAGGACCTAGGAGGCGGGGGAGAGGAAGAAGGCGATAGTGATGATGATCCGGATGCCGATGAAGCTCCTGAATTTCCTATGGACGAACTCCCTGAAGAGATTGATGAAGATTATGTTAACGGAGAAATCAGGGACCTTTGTGGCTCATTGATTGAAGTTCGAAATGACAGGGAAAAAGAGCGAAGTGGCCTCCTTGGCCAGTTTGATACCCCTCAGGCCTATGGAACGATCCATTTAGTCCACGCTTCAGTTAAAGAATACCTTCACTTGAAGTTTGCAAGCGCTGGAGATATTTCGAGTCCAGGCAAACTGTCGCCCGGCGCTGCCAGCCTGGCTATGCAACACAGTGTACTCGCAAAGACTTGTGTTCGTTATCTTACCTATTCCGAGGTATGGGACCGTGATGTGCTGCCCGATTTTGACGTCGGCTATGATGGGTCATTCCTTAATTATGCGGCTACTTCATTCGATACACATGCGCTTGCAGCTGGGAAGGATAATCAGTTGACTCGGCAAATAAGCCGTTTTTTCCACAAGAATCCCAACTTTAGTCGGTGGAAGAGTCATGTTAAAGGTACAGGGGCGGGTCCACTGTATCATGCCTGCCGACTTAGGTTGTTGGATATAGCTAGGATTTCCTTGAAAGAAAAAAGAGAAGACCCAAACGCTCTTGCTGGGCGATTTGGGACTGCGTTACAAGTGGCCTGTTTTAATGGTGACCTTGCACTTGTCGAATTGCTGATCGCTTCCGGGGCCGACGTTAACTTAGAAGGGGGAGTGTATGGAAGCGCGGTGAATGCCGCCATTGCCAAAGGAGATAACCGCATTATATCCTACCTGATTGGCAAGGGTGCCAAATTAGATTCAAAGAGCACAGAGGGGCAGACTGTTATTCACCTTTCAGCAAAGAACGGGGACACCGAATTGCTGGAGCGCCTACTGTGCAACGACGCTGATATCACAATAGCCGACAATGAAGGGGTGACACCGTTGCACCTGGCGGCATCTAGTGGGAGTTTAGGCACCGTCAGATTTCTACTAGAAAAGGGTGCTAATATCGCAGCAGTTACATCGACGGGGCGGACGCCTTTGTGTTATGCGTGCCGAATGGGTCATACTGACACCGTCAAGCTCCTTGTAGGAGAGGGAGCAGATATCCATCATTCTCCATCATCCGGAAATACCCCGGTATATGAAGCTGCCTATCATGGCTGTGTTGAGACTCTCCAGTATCTTATCAACCAAGGTGTCGTGGTTACTGCTGAATGTAGAGCGCTGAAACATGTAGCTGAATGGGGTGATGCAGGTATCGTCGAACTTCTCGTTAACGCAGGGGTAAGCCTTGAAGATGGGGTGGGTGATAAAGCATTGTCCGCTGCATCTAGGCGTGGTTTCGTCGAGATTGTCCGGTTCCTTTTGGACAAAGGAGTTCCTGTAGAGAATGTCCGTGACGAGTTCACTCCACTATACCATGCAGTCGACTATGGCAATACTAGCGTGGTGAAACTCTTGTTATCCAAACAGGCAAACCCTAATCATCACCCTCCGGCGACAGAATATTTCTCTTATGACTCAATGTTAGTTTGCGCAACCCGTAGGGGCTTCGTTGAAATTTGCAAAGCTCTCCTCAAAGCGGGAGCAAACGTGGACCCCGAGCACAACTTCAAGATTAGCCCGCTTAGCGAAGCAATTTTCCGGGGCGAGGTTGAACTGGTTCGTCTGCTCTGTCTTGCGGGAGCTGACCCTGACAAAAGTTGCAGGTTGAGAAAAACACCTTTACTCCAAGCTGTTCTCAGCGGTAACAAGATTATTTTTATGTATTTGCTTCGGAATATGGGTGGCAGAAGAGGCTGCGCTGTACCAAAGAAGTATGGGACTTTGCTGAATGCTGCTGCGTACGGCGGAAATCTTAGCATTATTCAGATTCTGGCCAGTATTAGCGGACCTACACAGTATAGCGATCGTCAAGGAAGGAATCCTGCCCACTTCGCTGCAAGAGGTGGCCATGCAGATGTGTTAAAGTACTTTCTTGACAACGGCATTGATCCACAATCTACGGACAACACAGGACGCGGAATTGTCCACCATGCTGCCTGCGGTGGCTGTGTAGAGACGCTACGTGTAGCACTCGAGGCACAGCCGCCAGACACCAAGTTTAATGAAAGCATCTGGTCACCTTTACACTGGGCGTGTAAGGGCGGATCTGTCGAAATTGTTAATTTGTTGCTGGAGTACGGCGTGAAAGAGAGCATAGTCACTACCACTGACGAACCAGCAGCGGAGTGGACTCCGTTTCGGATTGCTGTATTCTACCAAAACAAGGGTTTGGTGAGGAACTGGAGTGAAACGCGATGCAAATTGGACGATAGCATCGTTGTCATGGCGGATCATACGGTAAGTTTAGCTGGCTGTCACTGGTGTTTTCATGTAAGTAATCTGCACTTTCTGTTGATTCATTGTAATTGCTGATCAAAGGCTGCAGGAGATATATGGGCCACGTTACTATTGTGTAGGCACAGGTGGGTTGACGCTTTGTTTCATGTGCAAACATACTGCGGAACAGGCCTTTCCAGGTTATAAATGGAAACCTGAGATGACTTCAGTCGTTTGGACGACAAACATCAACGAAGGTCCAAAATGGAGCATACCAGATATTGGAGGATTCTATTGAGAATTAAATATCCCAAAGTCTGATCCGTATATATAAACTACAACTATTATTGACTGAGTGCATTGTCGTACTTAACTGAACAACTAGTATTATGTTGGCACCCTGCTTAGAATTATCATTAAAGATCCCGATAATAGTTTTATACAACAATCTGTCCCAGCGCAACAATACCAGCTACGATGTAGGTGAGGTGGGAATTGAAAATGTTTGTTCCAGCACCAGAATGAGGAGGCTTGGAGCTGCCTGGGGCGTTGGGGTCTTCGGTAGGAGTGCCGGATGTGTTCTCTCCAGGAACGTTAGCCTGGTCATCTTCCAGAAGCTTGAGCTCCAGATTGCTGAGAATCTTTCCATCCTTGGTGAAAACCTTGGTGTCTGTCTTGGTCTTTTTGACCTCAACAAGCTTACCCTTTGGAGGGTTCTTGATGCCGTCCTTGATAAGGTCATTGACGCCAGAGGGCCTCTTTGGAATGGTGAACTTCTTGTGGAAGTTGCCCGAAGTGATTAAGCTGGATTTGCAGGTCGGTGGCTTGACGGTAGTAGTGCTTGGGTCGAGAGACTGGAGTTTCTTGATGTCAAGTTTCTTGAACTGGCCGTACAGGTTGTCATAGTCAACAAGGAGAGTAGTGTTGTCCTTTCCACCAAGTTTTACTAGGCCATACTCGTTGTCTTCCTGGGAGTATTCGTAGATCAGGCCACCGCACATGGCCTTGGTCATTTCTGGGCCGTACACAGCTTGAACTTCGGTAAAGATACGTGGTTTCACTTCATTGCAGCCATACTCGGAGAAGAAAACGGGGACAGAGGTCGTTGAGAAGATCTCTACCAACTTGTCGTACCCGCTCTTAGTGTAGCTTGAATCGCCGCACCAGGAATAAGAGTTGACACCGAAGAAGTCAGCATTGGAAGAAGGGGCTTCAGAGGAGTCGCAGGTAACATAGTTCCAAGAGTCCTTTAGTATATCACGGACATCAGCAGCAGAGTACCCGACAGGGATCTTGCGGCTGGCATGAGCAGCAATGTAGTCCTTGAGATCACGCTGGATAGCCTGTAGCCACTGTTAGTTGGTACGATAGCCGTCTTAATATTGGTAGAGACTCACTCTAATATAAGCAGGAACATCCTTTGCAGCATCTTCGTTGATGACCTCGTTACCACCAAAGAAACCGAGAAGATTGGGGTAGTCTTTGAAGGCTTCAACCATGGAGAAGATACGGGTCAAGAATTGCTTGGTGTAGGAAGGGCCTGGTTCGGCACGGTTCAGGTATTCTCCGTAGATTGGAGTACTGACATCAAGCAGGAGGTAGATACCAGCTGCATTGAAGATGGAGACACATTCGTCGTGGTTCAGCGAAGGGTCAAGATTGTAGATGCGGATGGTGTTAACCTATTAACCGCAATCAGCACTGTGAAGCCCGTGACATAAAGATTACAAACGGCATATAAGAGAAAACATACACCAAGGCGCTGGAGGAGAATGGCGTCTCGCAGACAGTCATCGGCGTTGGATAAAGGGTCCTTGCCGCTTTCCGGCTTATATCCAGACGAACCACCGGGTTGATAGCTGCCAGAGAAATGCGCATTAGACGACAGTTCCCATAACTTCATATTTTATTATTGTATATGCATTATAAGGAGCAGGACAACGTACTCGACGCCAATCATCTGGAAACGGGCCTTGGTCTTCGGGTTCACAAACTGCGAGCCCTGGACCTCAACGGGAGTCACAGCCGCAACGGCAGACAGAAGGCCGCAAAGCGACGCGAGAAAGGCGAACTAAGGCGCAAATAATATATATCAGTCTCGGCGTCGATATCGCGCGAAATCAAAAGATATCCTTTTATCACTCACCTTCTTCATGATTGTAGAGTCGAGGCGTTATCTCGTTCAACGAGGATACAGCGAAATGTAAGGACCGACAAGGCTCAGGGCCACTTCAAAGGAGCGATGATAGAGAGAGAAACGAGCGAGCAAGTCGCTCTAGCAAAGAGATCGACTCTGAAAAGAATGACTGCGCGAAAAGGACGAGAAGAGTGGTTTGTGATGCGCCTTGCGATGGTTGGTTGTCTTTAAATGAAGGTTCGCGATTCTGAGATGCAACTTTCCTCCTGTCTTGGCCTGTTTCAAGTTGCCGCTGACAGCAAATTATAATAGCACAAGGCGCTTCTCTGGGGCCATCGCCACTGGCAATTAGAGCGCAGCGGGTCAAGGAAAGCTCCGGGTTGCGGACGAGTAAGAAAGTACGGAAGTGGTGTGAGATGCTCGATAACCGTGACCAGAGAGACTGAGCAGGAGAAAGGAGATAATACATATAATATCCTGTAAGGTATGAGGAAATATCGTTAAAGTACAGTGTTAAAAGTCCCAACCCGACCAGCAGAACCGCAGAAAGAAGTACAACAAGAAAGGATTACCGCGCACCCATTCGAGAGCTGGTCGCCGGTAGCCAAGGCCAGGTGACTATCGATCCAAATCCAGTCACTGTTAGGATGTACAGATAGATGAGGGGGGTGGGAGGTGATCGAGGATAGATTAAGAGGACTTCGGAGGGAGGAGCACGGCTATAGAGGCGGTCTTATATTCGTTGTCGATATCCGAACAGCTCTACTCGACGCTGTGGGCGCTCTCGGCACCGCTGTCACTTGTGAAAGCGCCTAGTTTCAATGAGGGATCCATGGCGACCATCTCGGCTAATATTTCGAGGACGTCCTTTGGCACAGTTCTGTCGTAGATGGCAATGAGGTCCTTGGGCTGAGGATAGACCTTGAGAGCCTTGTAGAAGGCTACGGCAGCTTCAATATACGAGGAGCCTATAATCACACAAAATTAGACCCGAATTTGGAGATATGGGGGTATTGTCCATCGGACGTACTGTCTGTGCATAGTGCCTCTCCCTTTGCAACCTGGCTCATGAAGAAGCCTTCTCTCTCCTCAAGGTCAGCTGGGAAACCCTCGTCCTTTGCATCAGCGACGGCCTGTCTGATCTTTGCCATCTGCTGAGCTCCTTGGGCTTCATTCTCTTGCCGCATCGTCCTTGCCATCCGACGGTTATCTCTTTTCAAAGCACGGCGGAACTCAGGATCAGACTGTCTTTTGTAGTCAAAGTAGATTGCGTAGGCTGGACTCGAAAATTTCAAAGGTCAGTACATAGCCTCATGTAACAATATAACCCAGCAGAAACATAGCAAGAAATACAGAATTGAGAGTGTTACCTAGCAATCCTGTAATAACAGTGCCAGCCGAGACGGCCGCTATTGTTGACGTCCTCATTGTCGATGGTTATATATGGTGAGTCTGTAGAGATGGCGAAGAAACCACGATACAACACTTGTCTATCAGCAAGTAATTAAGTGGATTCCAATCCAATAGCAGAAACTGACGGGCTAGAGGGGAAGAAAATTCTCAGAACTGCGAGTTTTGCGGGTTGTTGCTGGGCTTGAAGACTCTTTGAAAAAGCTGAAGTATTGAAGCTCTTTTTTTTTTCTTCGATGTTTTATCATTTTGTTCCTTTTTCTCCCTTTTTGGCTTTCCCTGTTTGGGTTTCGCGCAACGTCAATTTCGACGACTACAACAACTACACCAGCTACAACAGCTACAGCCACGATAACAACCACGATATCATCTTAGAGCAGCTTTACAACTGGTGAAACTAAGAAGAGAGGAGTCATGGATGTGAAGGGCCTCACCCTTCGAAGCAAAGCTTCCCGCCGCCGCCCCAAGATCAGTGCGCCGCAGCCTATTACGAACCATAACAGCGCCGCCGCGCCAGCAGCAGGACGGCCTCCGGAAGCCAGACACCACCCACAGCCCAGTGATGCTACTTCAGATCTTGTTAAGCGAAGATACTCTGCGAAATTTAATACTCTCCCGGGTATTGATTCGGAAGCCCCTCCAGTCCCTAGCCTCCCTAGCGCCCCCATAGACCACTTTGCCTCTGATAGGGAGCCCACGTCCGCGGGGGGAGCACAACCAATTCGGGTGGACGCGAATGCGTTGAGAAATCCAAACCTACCGATTGAGAGCTGTATGTTGAAACTATCATCGTTTGTGTAGCTTCTTGCGCTAATACTCTCATCCTTTGTATAGATGTAACCGGGCTGTTAGAACATGCTTCAGAACAGGATATACGAGACTTTCAGAGTGACCTACGGAAGCTAAAGAGCAAAACCTCCTCCGACCTACAGCAGAGCGTATACCAGAACCGCACTCAGTTTATAAAGATCAGCAAGGAAGCCGAAAAGCTAAGAGAGGAGATGAGCACTCTTCGCGGCCTGATGTCCGAGCTTACCACCACTCTCGGCCAGGCAAATGCAACCAATGGAGCAAATGGTGCGCAACCTGGGTTTGAGGATGCGCCAACTCGAAGGCACGCGCACCGGAGCTCCATTGCCAATTTGGAGAGTATGTGGAATGTCCAGCTGCAGCAGTTGTGGAAAAATGTCGAACGGTCTCAAAAGTACCTTCCAGCAACCCCTGGACGGCACATCGTCATGGAATCGAGTCAGTGGGTTGAGCTTGATTCTGCTACATGGAAGCCAAGGCGTCCTGTCCATATTGTCCTTCTCAACGACCATCTGCTCATTGCTGCGAAGAAAAGAAAGCGGGTGGACCCAAACATCGCTAATGGGAAATCTGTTTCCGTTCCAACAAAACTAGTAGCGGAAGAATGCTGGCCACTACAGGATATTGACATGATTGATCTCGGCTCCGGCTTAAATTCCGGTGAAGACATGGATGAACGTGGCGTGCCAAATGCTATTAACATTCGATATGGCCAAAGCTCTTTTACTTATCGCCATGACCAGCGAAACAACAAGGTGAAAAACGAGCTGGTCATGACCTTTCGTAAGACCCTTGAAGAACTCCGTAAAAGTCTAAAATCGGAGGCGGAGGTTGCCGCCAAATCTAGGGAGGCACTCATGAACAGCAGCCGGCCTGCATCTCGCCGACATTCTGAGTTTCTAGATACCATGGACCCTCGTGACAAGTTAGAAGTTTTGATTGATGTCGATGGCAAACAACAAAATATGAGATGGGTGGAAGGACAACTCGATGAACTTGACATTGACATCGCTATTCAGGTGTTTGAAACGGCGGTTTCCCGCGTGGAGAAGCTTCGAAAACTTGCAAAAGGGTTGAAAGGAAACCAAACTGCCCAGGAAGCTATTAACTCTGGGGTAGATTCCAGAGCAAACAAACTTGCTGATATTCTTCTTCGAGCCCTTGTTGATACTAACTCTTTTATGAACGCTACAAAGACGAATGTTGCCTGGTTGACTCGGCTAGGTTATGACGATCGAGCTCGGGAAGCTTATCTCAATGCCAGGAGTCAAATTATAACTAAACGTGCGAGGTGTGTTATGTGCAATTCATTTCCCTTTCTCCCTCCCTGCTAATACTCAGCTAGGCACTGTGTTTTTGAAGGCGACCTACTATTATATATATTCCAAATTTCGTTTGTCTACTTCACCATGATAAGAAACACGATCGCCATTTATCAGCAGTGTTTCCCGTCGCCCATGTCCAGTGCTAGCATTAAATGGGGCAAGGATCACCTGGACGACTTTAACGCCACGCTAAGTCGCCAGCTTAGCAGTGTCGAGCCCAGCAACCCCGTGTGGGAGAAATGCATGGAGATAGTATACCAACATGCCAGCTCACTTTCGGAAGTGGGAGTGGATTTTAAAGATATGATCCGTGTTGAAGGCCTCATCGTCAAATCCCCGGATAGTACACCAATAGAGTCAGCTTGACCTACAGTACCCACATAGTTGTCTACTACATAATATATCAATCTAATACCCATTTAACATTCAATGTAACAATTGGATGTATATCCCTATAATTTTCGGTTTTTCTCTATCAAATCTACATCCATATATATCATTTTTTCCAGATTTATGCCCAGATATCATCCCATGCATTCACTGATATAGTTTGGTTCTCCTTCAAAGTACCGATTCTAAAGCTGCTTGACGGAGTCCCGGCGCTGGCGCATCCCGGTAAACCTCTATCATTCTCTAACATGGTTGGTAGCCTCATCCAATGCGAGACAATGTCTGGAACCTCTTCCTTGACGTGACTGATAACAATTAAAGCTTGGGAATCAGACAATCCTTGATGTCTGACTTCGTGCATCTCATCACTTTGCAGGAGAGAGAGATGCCAAATATTGAAATCGGAGACTCGGCGTGAGCCGGTACTCTCTCCCAAAGTTTCTCCCGCCTCAAGGAAGTGTAAACATTTGTCCCTCAGTGACCTAGGCATACCTGAAAAAGCCTCATCAAGAATAATTAGCTCAGGTTTATGGACAACAGCACGTAGGAAGAGGACTACGCGCTGCTGGGACACGTCCAACGATGAGAAGAGGGTGTAATCAGCCCAAGAAACAGAAGGATTAGGAGCCTCTTGGCTAACTCGAGGAGAAAAGCCCAGATCCAAGTCCGCTTCGAAAAACTTCAATGCGGAAATCACGTCAAGTCGACTGTTCTGATCAAGCTTCGGCTTTGATAGGAAAGTATCTGCCCAGGCGGACTCTATAGATGCCCGTATCGACAAACTTCGGGGGAAAAATGCGTGTATCTCCGGCGAGGAGTGTCCGATGCGCGACTGCAGATCAAACAGCGATATTCCTGGCTTTCCAGCTTCTGGTAACCTTGATCGGCCAAAGAGACGAAGTGGCAAGGAGTATGCTTGTGGGTGATCTGATGTGATAAGGGATAGCAGGGTTGTTTTCCCAGACCCATTTAATCCAAAGACACCCCATCTCTGGCCGCGGCGAACCTCCCAGTATAGACCCTCCTTTTCCTCCCCGCCAATACTTTGACCCCAGCCTCCCAGGACAGTCTTTTCACCGTATAATACCCTAACTCCCTCCATTTCAACAATCGGCTCCCCGTAATTGCAGACATGTTTTAGCCTGGTGGCTGGGGCCTTTGACATTATTTCAAGTTCACGGAGCAATGCTGCTTCTGACTCAAAATGACCTTCTTTGAATAGAATCTCTGCTTGGTCATATTTCAAGCGGTCTTCAGGGGAAAATTTAGCATACTGTTTTTCCTCACTCTCAGTACGTGGCAGAAGCTGGAGTCGTGGAGACTTGCTACTTGATGCTGGACCTAGTTTTCGATGGACAACGGCCTTCCATATTTCCAACTGGTTAAGCACATGATTTTTTTCTCCCTGAAGGGCTACCGTATGATTCTGGTTCAGTATGACCAGATGTGTAATCCAGTCAGGCAGTGCATCCTGTGGCCTGAGAGACAATATAAGTCGCGGCGAACCTCTCAGGGAGATATTATATAATAGCGGAGAGAGTGCTTTTACCGTTGGAGGGTCCAAACCCACTGGTAGTTATATTCAATTAGTTTTTGGGCATATCAATCAATGACTTTTCAAAATTGAAGTACATACTGAAGGGATCATCGAGTAGTAGCACCTCAGGTCTGTCTAGCAATGCTTTTGCAATCCGTGCCCGTCTTGTTTGGCCATTACTCAGATTTGACAATGGCATATCCAGTAACTTTTGCAGGCCTAGATCGGCAATGATTTGATGCAGTAGCTTATCATGCATATAAGATGTCATTTCCTTGTCCTCTGGAGGGTTAAGTGATGTCTGGCCTCTCAGAAACTGCAGAACGGTGAAGTCTGTCTCCTCTTTTCTGCTTTCATACCTTGCGCTGAGATAAGAACCACGTACGCCTCCTGCATCCTTCTTTGCGTCTCCATTGAAGCCTATGTAGCGGATTGCATTACCTGGGAATCGAAGGCGTGGGTCCTTTAAAGCGATCTCCTCTGTTGCAAGAAGAGGGTATGACCTCGCTGTAGGTGGAATGCAAATATATCGGCCACACAGGATCTCCAGGAAAGCCGACCTATCAGAGGATCCAATCACGGCCCAGAATGACTGGTTTTGCGAGTTTCCAGCACCGCCAGGTCTATTGGGCTCCTTATCGGCAGACAGTAGCTCAAAGCTCAAGTTGGGGTATAGCGGAGGATTCTCCTTCCGAAGGCCCTCAGGTGTCGGATAATGTCTGAAGAAAGTTGCCTCTTTTATCTTAATGATTGGCGGACTCGTCTTGGTCGAGAGTTTGCGGACTGGGCCCGCAGGGTAAGCTGGTATCAGCCATTGGGGGCGTAGCAAGGGCTTAACCATGCCGTGAGCTAGAGAGGCAGCGTAAAAAACCAATGTTTGACTATAAATAATGCGTAGTGACAATTTGATGTACGGAGTATTCAACTGATAGACGCGTTGTTGGTGAAATTTGGTGGGCCTAAAGTCGGGGACCTCATCAGCTTGACTAACTACGGGCAACTAACTAGTTAAGTAACTAACTAACTGGTTTTAATTAGCTAGGCAAATAGCTGATTAACTCGGCTATTATAACCACTAGCTACCACGAAAGTCCAAAGGAAAGGAACAGAATATACCAAGTTAATATGAATGATAGTATTCAAGAGAGGCAACAGTACTCTTAACATCATAATTCTGAATAACAAATCCGAAAACATGCAATGCCATGCTAAATCACCCAAACGCCAAGTAAAACCCAAAACTCAATGCTAGAAACAAAACACATACCATACATAACACACGTAACACACATAACACACATAACATGCATCATAATAGAACGCTGGGTATACATACAAGTCATACAGGGAGTATTTCATAATAAACTTATATCTACGTGATATTTTGTCTAGTTCCTTAAAAACACGAAATCAAACAAAACTTTTGTGACGTATATAGAGCAAAGAAACTGGCAAGGGGCACCGAAAGACACCCGCCTGCAACGAGAGAGCACGAATCAGGGTGCCATAACCAAAGCCAACAACGCCATACGGCAGTAGAGACCGTACCTCATCTAGACATAGAATGTTAGCAGTAGTTCATAGTAGACAAGAGTAGAAGATAATCAACTTACCTGTCTAAAATAGGCAGCGCGCTGGTCAAAGTCCACTTGTTCGTCAATTTCTGCGTTTCTTGGAAGCGGATGCATGACCACCATCTGGCTCTTCGCCTGGTTCATGATAGAATTGTCAATGACAAAGCTATTCTTTAGCCTCTCATATTCCTCTTGATCCGCAAAACGTTCCTTCTGGACTCGTGTACAGTACAAGACATCAGAGCGAGCAACGACTTCTGGCGTCAGTTCGTTGGTTTCAACGATAAGCTGGCCAGACTTGATGACCTGTTGGCGGATGTCTTCCGGCAAGGACAAGGCCTTGGGAGAAACAAGCTGTATGCGAACTTGGTAGAACTGAAGCAACTTTATGAGAGAGTGAACTGTTCTCCCATGTTTAAGGTCGCCTGTAAACGTAACAGTGATCCCGCTGACGGTACCCAGCTCTTCACGAATGGTGAAGAGGTCGAGGAACGCCTGGGTAGGATGCTCTTGGCTGCCATTTCCACCATTGATGATTGGGACTGGGGAGAATTTGGCTGCCGTGGACGCACTACTCTCTTCAGAGTGGCGGAGAACGACCGCATCAGAGTAACAAGCAAGAGTGCGAATGGTATCTTGCAAGGTCTCGCCCTTTTGAGCGGATGAATGCTGAGTGGCGATAGCCACGGTTCGCCCACCCAGTCGTTGCATTGCCGTATCGAAGGAGGCAGAAGTGCGGGTAGATGGCTCATAAAACAGGGTACATAGAACACGACCCTTGAGGATATCGAGAACACCCTGGCGCTGAACCCCTAGTCGCATCTCCTGCGCTACTGTAAACAGTAAATGCAGGTCAGATCTGTTGAACTGGTTGACAGATAGTATATGTTTATGCCTGAACGTAGAGCGGGAAAGCAGTTCCTGGAGTGATGGAGTCCCTCCAGTGGATGGGGTAGCATATAGTGGTGGTCCAAGTTCATCGGCAGTAGCAAGGGAATCAACTTGTTTCAATGGCGATGGGCGGGCCTGTGGAGTAGTCGTGAATGACAAACGCCTGCCAATTGAGCCCATTGCCATTGGAGACCGAGGGGTTATCTCCTTGGCTGAAGGCGACTGGGGTGGTGCTAAGGTGTGGGATGACATGTCCATGCCCCTAGGTGCGTCAGGAAGAATTTCACTATCGAGACATGCTGTCTTTCCCTGGAAATTGACACGCTGGATGGAACCACGCAACGTTTTACCAGTAAATGGTGACCAGGCACCTTGACTCTGGAAAACATACGGACGATCAACTTCAACTTCCACAAAAGTATCAGGCTGATCATGCAGCTCGAAGATCTTCTTCGGGTTCTCATACAGCCTTTTGGTTATATCGTCGATGGTTAGTCGCCCCTCGGATACTGCCGTCAAGAGAATAGGGAGCGCATCCGGCAATCCAACCGTGGGGGATGCATTTTTGCCGGCAGTCTCGTATGGGAGGCTTCCAATACTGAAGACATCAATCGTACTGAGATGTTCCCAGAGCGATTCTTGGTCTTTCTTGGTTGGTAGGTGGCAGCTCTCTGGGAAGGTTTCCTGCGACAAAAACAACGAATAGATCGAAACATCACAAGTCACTCTTAGCCCCTTTTCTTTGCTAAGCGCAATAATTTTAATGTCTTCTTGAGATGTGACGCTCATAACATGTACATTGCGGTTGTGGAGGCTAGCCAGGAGAAGGATCGAAGCAAGGTCTGTACCCTTTGCATCGGTTATGATAGGCTTGTTGGATGGCCAGGAAGCAAAATGGGTTGTGACAGTCGCAACTTTGTTGATATTACCGGCCAAGTGGTTGAATGGAATGAACAAGGAGCCAACCTCGCTTGATATAAGATCTACCTGATCCGCATTCGTGGCAGTTGCAGTAACTGAAAAGTTGAAATCGCAGTAGGAACCCTTTTGTGAATTGAGTTGCGCCAGCTTTAAGGCTTGTGCGTCAGTGACAAAGCTGTTGATTCCTACAGGCAAAACTCGGATCATAGAGAAACCAGCGGCGATGGATGCTTTAGTGACTTCTTGGAAGTCCGTCGAGTCCTTCTCTGCAATTCCCGGGACAAAGGCGGCGACATTGATGAGTCCAGGCAAAGATATAGTTCGATGGCTCGTTTGGAAATCAATTGGCGCTACACTCAAATCATACCGTCGAGACATGGCTTCAATCAAAATCTTGGCGTTCTTGACATTCGTCACAAGGGGAGTTTGGTAGTCAACAGCCATTCGTCGGGTGCGGTAACCCTTACTCATATAGTTAGCCGGTCGTCTAAACTTGTTGCTCGAAGGAAGGTTGATGTAAAGGTCGATGAGGTTGTTGGCTAGATGCTGTGTGAGAGAGTATTCAGACTTCAAGTCTTCACCATCTCCTGCAAGCAGCTCCAAGTATTTCACTGGAATGCCATGCTCCCGCAAGAAGTCAGCTGTACCAGCAGTTGCAAAAAGGTTGAAGCCCATCTTGTGCAGCTTGGTGATAGATGGCAACATCTCCATCTTATCTTTGAATGAGCCCATAGAGACAAGGATGTTCTTCTCGGGCAATTTAAACCCAGTGGATATGAGAGCCTTTAGGTACGCTTCATATCGGTCGCGACCGAAACAGGCAACCTCGCCAGTAGAAGCCATCTCCACGCCGAGTACAGGATCCGCACCGGAGAGTCTAGAGAATGAAAATTGCGGCACCTTGATACCAACATAACGTTGCGGAATATTTACCGGTGGGTACGCCTCGAATGGTTTCCCAATCATAGCCTTAGTAGCCATCTCAATCAGATCAACACCCATGACCTTTGAGACAAACGGGAAAGATCGTGAGGCTCGGACATTGCACTCGATGACCTTGATTTCATTATCCTTGGCAATGAATTGAATGTTGAAAGGTCCAGTAACATTCAGAGCATCTCCGATTTTGCTGGTTGCTTCTTCGATTCTCCTTACAGTCTCAGGGTCTAGGTCTTGGGGCGGAACAATTAGAGTAGCATCACCGGAGTGGACACCAGCATTCTCAACGTGTTCGGAGATGAAATGGCCACACATTACACCATTCTTTGCCACAGCATCCATTTCAATCTCCTTGGCATTTTCGATATATTTAGTGATAACAACAGGGTGTTCTCGGGATACCTCAGCCGCTTGGTGAAGATAATTCGCCAGATCGTCTTGAGAGTAGACAGTGTTCATAGCTGCTCCTGAAAGAACGTAGGAAGGTCGTACAAGAACGGGGTAGCCGACCTTGTCACAGAATGTAGTGGCTTCTTCAATGCTAGTAAGTTCTTTCCATGCGGGTTGATCAACCCCAATTCTGTCAAGCATACGTGAGAATTTGTAGCGATTCTCAGCTGTATCAATCATTTCGGGAGATGTTCCAAGAATCTTAACATTGAGACGATGGAGGGGCAAGGCAATGTTGTTTGGCGTCTGGCCTCCCATGGAGATTGCGACTCCACTAGATGACTCTAGCTGGTAGATATCAAGGACTGTTTCCAATGTGATATTTTCAAAATAAAGACGATCAGCCTCGTCATAGTCCGTACTGACAGTCTCCGGATTATAATTAACCATGACTGTTTTGTGTCCTTGCTCTCGAAGTGTGCGAATAGTTCTAACAGAGCACCAATCAAATTCAACCGAAGATCCAATTCTATAAACGCCTGAGCCAAGAACCATGATGCCTTGATCGTCAAAAGCCACATCATTTTCAGAACCGTTGTAAGTCAGATACAAGTAGTTCGTAAAAGCGGGGAACTCAGCTGCCACTGTATCGATCTGCTTAACGAAGGGGATTATTCCAGCTTCAACACGCATACGTCTAACAGCAAGTTCGTTGGAGCTTAAAAATCTCGCAAGCTGGCGATCAGAGAATCCGAGTTGCTTGGCTTGTCTGATGAGAGGAATAGGCACAGTCGTGGCATTATAGCTGCTCATTTGCTTGCCAAACAGGCTCAGCCCTTCAAGTTTTCGCAAAAACCATTTGTCAATCTTGGTCAATTCCCATATTTCATCAACAGTGTAGCCGGAGTGCATGGCATTGGCGATTGCAAAGAGTCGTTGATCAGATGGGGTTTGAAGCTCGTTCTTGATCGACATCAATGCACTTGTTTCGTTGAAACCGAGATTGTGGAAATCAATAGCTCTGATAGCCTTTTGGATGGCTTCCTCGAATGTTCTTCCGATACTCATGACCTCCCCTACACTCTTCATTGAGGAGCCGAGCTGGGTTGATACACGGGTGAACTTCTTCAAGTCCCATCGAGGAATCTTAACGACGACGTAATCTAAGGAAGGTTCAAAACAGGCACAAGTAACTTTGGTAACAGAGTTGGATATCTCATTTAGTGGAATTCCGAGACCAAGTTTTGCGGCTATAAATGCCAGGGGGTATCCAGTAGCCTTTGAAGCCAACGCAGATGATCGCGATAAACGAGCATTGACTTCAATAATACAATATTCCCTTGAGAAGGGATTAAGAGCATATTGAATATTACACTCACCGACGACTCCAAGATGGCGGATCACGTTGACAGCTGTAGTACGAAGCATATTGTAGTCCTCGTCAGACAGCGTCTGGGATGGCGCGACGACAATAGAGTCACCGGTATGAATTCCTAATGGATCAAAATTTTCCATGTTGCAGACAGTGATGCAGTTATCACGGGCATCTCGAACAACCTCGTACTCAATCTCTTTCCAGCCTTTCATACTCCTCTCAATAAGGACCTGGGGACTTGCGGCAAAAGCCTTGGTACAAAGGTCGCGGAGCTGGTCGTCATTTTCAGCGAAACCACTTCCCAAACCACCTAAGGCATAAGCAGCTCTGACAATTACTGGGAATCCGATGCCTTTCACGGCTTCCATTGCTTCTTCCAAATTGGAAGCTGATGCGGATTTGGCACACTTCTCACCAATGGCCTCCATGCTACGAGCAAATAGCTCACGGTCCTCAGTTGTAATGATAGTGTCGATTGGTGTACCAAGTACTTTCACACCAAGCTCTTCGAATTCATCCTTAAGCTGAATACCAACTTGGAGGGCAGTTTGGCCACCGAATGTGACATAGATAGCATCAGGCCGCTCGCGTTTGATCACTTTACGAACAAAATCGGCATTTACCGGAAGGAAATAGACCTTATCTGCGAGACCCTTCGAAGTTTGAATAGTAGCGATGTTAGGGTTGATTAAAACGGTGTATATTCCTTCCTCTTTCAGAGCTTTGATAGCTTGGCTGCCGGAGTAATCAAACTCTCCTGCCTGGCCAATGCTAAGACCACCGCTGCCTAGAATCAAAACTTTCTTGACGTGAACTCGCGGATGGGCAATAGTGTTCTCTGCGATAGTCCCGCCTGGGAAATTAACAGGTTTGGATAGAGCGTTCTTGGATTCAAGGCACTGCTTCACGGTACTGATAAAGACGTCAAACAAAAACTCAGTGTCCCGTGGCCCAGGGGTACTCTCTGGATGGAACTGCACACTAAATAGCGGGCGGCTAGCATGTCTGATACCTTCATTGCTAGCATCATTAGCGTTAATGAAGAGTTCTTCCCACCCTTCCGGAAGAGTCTTGGAATCAACAGCGTAGCCATGATTCTGAGAAGTAATATAACAGCGACCAGAAAGCATGCTTGTGCATGGAATGTTGTGTCCTCGATTTCCAAATTTCATCTTAAGAGTTTTCGCACCTGCCGCTCTTGCTAAGAGCTGGTGCCCAAGACAGATACCGAAGATTGGTGTTTTATTCTCTTTGACAGCTATCTTCAAGTGGGAGACCGTGGAATCTAGGGTGGCAGGGTCACCCGGACCGTTTGAGAGGAAGAGCCCATCATATTCTTTGCCTGCAAGGCTGGGGAAATTGTAGTTCCAAGGTACGACGAGCACCTCGACACCACGGGAGAGTAGGCACCTCAACTGGTTGTATTTCAAACCCACATCTACACAAAGAATGCGGATAGGACGTCCCGATGGGTGTAAAAGTGGGTTTCCGGGTGGACTATAGAGCTTAGGCTCCTTGATCGACACTGTGTATTGTCGAATTAGCCTCAGTGTGTTAAAGTATTAGCCAGAAGTAGAATTATTCTCACCATCATCAACCAAATTCCTTTTGTTTGGGTCTTCCCAGTCCACCACTTCATGGGTTTCTCTCCAGTTGTCTAATTGTTGCTCAATGGTGCTATCCTGAGCAACAGAAGTTGCCTTTTGGAGAAGCATACGTCCCAACATACTACCCTTTTCCCTGATCCGTTTGGTCAAGGCTCGGGTGTCAATACCGTAAATGGCTGGCACGTTTTGCTCCTTCAACCATTCGCCAAGGGAGCTTTCAGCTAAAAAGTGAGAGAAAGCTTCGCCGCAGTAGTTAGCAACCACCAAGCCGGCGACGTGAATCTGATCCGACTCAAAGTGCTTTGGTAGATCCTTTAACAGTTCGTCCATCTTGTCACGCGACGGCACACCATAATTTCCCACGAGAGGGAACGTTATGACCAGGATCTGACCTCGATACGAGGGATCTGTCAAGGATTCAGGGTACCCCACCATACCGGTCTGGAAAACCAGTTCTCCAGCAGTGCTCCTTTCGGCTCCAAAGTTGAATCCTCTGTAGACAGTGCCATCCTCGAGTTCAAGACAGACAGATCTTCCGTTATTTGAGCCGAATTGCATAGAAGCCGGGTAAAACATGGCTCCACTTGTTGTGGTCCGAGGGCCTTGGGACTCGTTGTATGCGACAACACCGCCGGTTGAAGGACTTGAAGGGAACGATGGTTCTCGCATAGGGGTCCCCAGGTCCTTAGAGCCCTTTGGTTCGGGGGAAGAGGGAATGGCAGGCATGTCGCCGCCTACCAGAGACTTATTGTTCTCTGGGGGAATAAAAAGAGCTGGCTTTGTATTTCAATTCAGCATGAAAATTTCCCGAGAATGGTGATACCAAATTGTGGGGCCAGATCAGAGAAAGATAAAGAGGGATGAGAGCTCTTGCCTGCTCAGCCAGCGCACTTTTCGGTCTAGCAGTAAAAGACGATGCTGTTCCTGTGCGAATTGAGTGTTGACCGAGCAGAGCGAGATGTTGGGAAAAGAAGGAGAAAAGAAAATTTTTGCGGCAGGAAAAATATCCTGGTCCCATGGTTGGCGACGCGCGGGATTAATGGAGGCTCGCCATTATTAGTAAGCGTTCTATCGGGTTAGACTTGTTAAACCGTGCAAGGCGGAATGCAAGTTTGCACACGTGATGCAAACTCTGAAGCTCCGACCTTCTGGCTCCGCAAGCGCTGATTGGTGGCAGAAAGCCTCTTTTGACCTCATGGACTTCATTTTCGTTGTGACGATAGAGGAGAATTTGCGTAGTTAGGCTGCATAGCATGAAAAGAGAGAAAGGAGTGAATAGCCGTGGAGAGCATCAGAGTAGTAGCGAGATTGAACGAGAAAGAACAGAGCAGAATACGACCTGTGGGGGGGAGCGGTTTGTGGCAGGGTTAGTTTGCTGTCCCAAGCTTTGACGCTACTTATGCAGCCTTAGCGAGACAAGCGCGATAACTACCCCTAACACAGTTGACAGGAGCAGATGGCGTGCAGTCGCCTGACTCTTTTGTGGCAGTCGCTAGATTGCTCCGGCGTTTGATATAGGTAAACAGTCATGTTTCGTACAGCAATTCCTCGTTCTAACTATTAATGACTAGTTACTCATCAAAAGCAGTTTGGTTGCATAACTAACCAGTTGAGTGGGCAATTGCAAACGGAGTAGCTCAGAGGCCTAGATGGGGTGAGCCGAAATGATCACCAAAGTAGCAGAGTTGGTTATATATGGCAATATGTGTTTGTGGTTACTATAAAATCATAGCTATATATCGTTGATTGCTTTATTATGGGCTGGGTTTGTCTTTGAGATTCCCAAGAGGTACCAAATAGGAAAACGGCCACGTGAACATTGTAAAAGTACGAATTGATCGGGCATATCTTAAAATATTAATATTACTTATAATCTAACAAACTAAATAGTCGATGATTCACAGTTTAGAGTCTCGACGTAAGATAAGAGTGGATGGTTTGCTTTTTCTAACGGGTTTTATGCTGTTAGGAAAGGTAAAGCAAACACTGCATGCTCCACCGCTGAAATAGAATTATTCTCAACCCAATGTGTCGGGATAATTCCTCATAATGGCATCATGCGTCATAGGATTCGCAATCATTTAGTCTCTTGCAACTTTGCCTTAGGATAATATAACTGGGAACATTTTCGGCGGGAAGTGACTCGTTTGCAAAGTAGCAGGCTCCGATATCGTACTCAGTATGATTATATGCCTGAGAAGCGTCTTTTGTTGGCCGTATGAGCACGCGATTGCAGGGAGTCATAGGATAGAAATCGACCGTTATTTTGAGACACGCGGCATTAGACATCCAGTTTGTACAACCTCTAACGTCTGGAGCCGCGCAGGCTTGTAGTAGCCTCCGTTTGGCGCTTTGTCCACCTATGTAGAGGCTGATAGTGCTAGTGGCGTAGAACCTGTGGGAAAGGTTTGGTGTATGCCTTCTAAGCGCTTGGTTTAAAGAGCGATACTGGGCCAATTTTGGTGTTGTACCGTTGAAATAGAGCCCATTTGCTCATATCACTCTGTTTCCTTCCCATCCAGGGCTCCTAACTTGATGCTCAGGTATAGAGGCCATTTCATAGCTAACTTCGAATTCTGTTCGGTGCATAATTTCCTTTTGGGAATCACTATCTGTCCAAACTTTATTGCCTGGCATCCGGCTTGAAACAGCAACAGATGCGGAATACCCAGATTGGCAATGATAAGCCGTAGAACGCGAGTGGGAGGTAAAGAGTGATTTGTAGGATGCAAAACATGATACCATCACCGCAACAGTTGCCTCCATAGCACTCCAGAATAACAGCCAAGATGGTGGTGGGTGCTTAGATTTCCCGTCAGTCTCAAGGTTGCGAAGAATTGCCATTACGACAACAGCAAGACCAAGCAGAAATAGCCCAACAAGGCCAAGCTTTTGAGACCTAGGGAGAGAAGACTTGAGCACAAATGCAACAGGCACAGACATGACTATATGTTGCGTTAGCCTTCTGAAGTGGGTTCATTATAGTTGTTTATTGAATTTACTTACTTAGAATATCTGTGAGGACGTCACATATAGTAGTCACATACATGCTGATGGCTTCTAGCTTCAAAGTCTTTGCGGATAGGCAGCCAACTAGACGGTCTCACGTCAGTCGAAGGCATGATTAACGTATGGAAGCTCTCACTTACGAGCAGACACAGATGGACAAGCCACTGGAGGCAGTATAACCGAAGCCAAAAAACCCATTATGGTGACTATCGTAATCGCCCACCAAACTCTTCTGAAAGCAGGAAGACTACGAAAGAGCCTCCAGAGAAGGGCGAGAAGACTGGCCTTGACCAAGTAAATACAACATCTGAAGCAGAAATTGCTGGCGAACACTAGCTTTGTCATCATATCGAACTTTTCCAAGAGGCCGGGCATGAGGAGTCCTTGGTTATTTTCGTAAAGATGGAGTAGTAGATAAACGGTCGGAACGGCTATGGTTGCCAAAATATTATGGCCCAGAAGGGATATGTAGGCGAGTCCTGCGAGAACGTCGTCCCAAAATAGTCGTCGATGAAGGCGTAACCTAATCGCGAAGCGACTAGCAAGTAACACAGTCGCAAGGCCAAATCCGACCCATAATGATGCCTACCAAGAGTGTTCAGTAAAACATTGCGGCTTAATGGGTAATTGTTCCACAGAAATACACACCAGCAGTTCCGTACGGCCGATTTTCCGTGCAAGTGTTAGTTTGTCTTCGGCTCCCATAATTAAGGTTGTTTTCCAATATAATATGCGCGTAAAGAAAAAGTCCTAGATAACGCGACGGTTAATGGCTCGACGGTAACGGCCGTCACCAGGAAAAGAGATAGATCTCGAAAGGCGCGACAGGAGATAGAACGAAATGATGAACGTCGTGAAATCAAAGTTATGGGAAACCCAATCAATATAATATAGCAAATTAACCGACATGGTGTGCTATGGCACAACCTCACTTCGAGCGTGCCGGTGGTGGGTACTTCGTATCCGACTCCCACCTAAAACAGTCAATCAAGCGCTAGAAAAATGGCTGGAGTACTCTGTGGTTCTGTCAAACCGGGGTGTTCGATCAAACACGATATATAGATCTTGGTGTTGGGTTTGGGCTTGATACGGGGTAATCTCCACTAGTGGCGCACGCCAGGGGTGAGATCTGACCAGAGATCATGACAGAGTTCGTCCGTCGGTTACAGAACGAATCCTCTCGTGTCGCACGCTCTTAGTAAATCGGCGATGCCGATAGTTTGGGCGAGATCGTTGAGTGCTTGCTTGAAGGTGACAGCCCGTCGCTTAAAATTTAGTTAGGGTATATGAAAGGAAAATTAATCACGATACTTGTTACTGAGCAAGTGCGGAATGGTTGACATCGTTGTGTGCTTACTACCCACGAGAACAACGGAATTTCGTATTCCATGTTCATTCTGATTTTAGGGCAACCTCACTGGCTGAATTTTATGTGACGGGCTGCATTTGGTCAAGACTGGTTTAGCACAAGCCAATTACCGCGAAAGACTGACAGGAGTAGCGCACTTTCTGGCACATTAGTGGGAGGATAGGCAAGGCCTAACCGACTTAAGCTACTCCGTACGGAGTATGTATAGGTGATACTCAGCCGGGACAAAGGGACTGATCGAGAAGGCCTTAGCGAATGTGGCCGGCTGGATTCTAAAGAAGGGCCCGAAGCTTGCGTCAGGGACATATTACATATCTTTGAGAAGGTGACGAGGGCTCCATCGACATGCCAGAGGCTTCTTCTCTGACGGAGCAATTTCCGAAGACTTGATAGAGAGAGGGAGTGAGAGGAAGAACATGGTGAAAGGCGCTCCGTAGCCCATATCGGCAGGCAAGCAACGGTGTTTCCTTCGCACAGGCCTCGATTTAAGTCGATCATGACTCGCGAGCCATGGTTGGCCACATCTCTTTGCGTGGTACCCTGCAGATCCCACAGTAATCTATCGAAAGGACTGCTGCGGAAATTTAACCACCTCATAATCCGTAGAGTCAAATGAATTAATTAATCAGTTCACTGAGTCCCGCAATGAGCCTCAAAAATGCCTCTTTCTCGAAGGTCGGTTAGAAGCATCACGTGACATAAATTCGCCGCCCACCAAGCCAAACGTCAAACCGAACAGCCGCTGTTTGTTGCATTGAGAAACCACCCTGGGGTTCGTTTCCCTTCTTTCGATGGGGCGTAGACGTAGCCGAAGTTCCTTCAACTACCGGGGAATAAAATAACCATTTCATCTCACGCCAGGTGGGGTGTAACTTGAGAGTCATGCTTTGGCGAGAGGACGAAGCAAAGCAGCGATTCTTCAGGGTTTCTGGGCGAACTATCACGGTAAGCGGTTCCGAAATCTTTCTTGTTCACTAAGTGAAAAAGTTTAGTTAGCACAAGACGATAAATAAAAGCGTTACTGGTTTGTGTATCCTCGCGAGCCGAAACCCGTTAAAGAGCGCCGAACTTCTTGAAAGATCGATGTCAGACGCCCTTTAAAAGAGGCCCAGCGTTGGTCCTGCATGTTATTAAACCCCTGCAGCCCTGTCACAGATGAAGTAACGCCGCCTTGTGCCCGAAGCTATCATGTAACTCGCTAACAAGCATGCCTGACCAGTGGAGGCTCGTTGCAAGAGTCAGGGATATCTCGCATATCGCGTCTTGTCGGCCCTATCATGTGATGCGCCTAGCCCGAAGTGCAGGGATCCACAACAAGCAAAATCAAGGCAGAGGGAAAAACATCCTGCCAAACACACCGTGAGTGTTACCGCGATTTTTGACCGGCTTTGCGTTATTGTTTTTCTTTTGTTATGGGAGGATATTTTGTTTTCATGTTTAGATGGAGCTCGTTTGGCTTGCTTCCCCATGTCGCTTCTTCATCGCTGGCCCTAGGGCAGCTTGAACCCTGGTCCGAGTGAAAGCTTGACTGAAAGAGTCCCGTTGGAAATATCGATCTCTGTTGACAGTACCGAGAAGTGATGTTTTCCTCTCTATTTAGACCGAAGCGGAAGCAGAGGCTGGGGCTCTTCTCGCCCCCTGGGTCCGTTGGGCAGGCTGAGAGAAACGTTCGTGATTTCGAGGCCGATGCTCAGACCGAGCCAGAAACTGCTTCAGAAGAAGTTATCGGAGACTATGAGGAGGAGTACGAAGATGCCCCTGATAGCGAATCTCAAGCTCCTCTATTGCCGATGTTTTCTATCCATCTTGGTATGAAACCCAGTTTAACTTGTTACTCAAAACATGTTTTGAGCCAGAGTTAATATACATATATTGTCTGGTATCTAGATGCAATTCCTGTTTATCAACTCACCCATGACCTACGGCTATTGATAGCATCACGCTGTGAGACGACGTTGACATGGGATCAGCTTCGATCCCCTCAGGTCTCGCAGTTTCTGCTGAAACCCATACAGCAAATCATCCATGCAAGACATCTTACTAAAGCTACTCTCTATGCCTTGATGGTCAACTGCCTCCAATTTGATAAAGAGGCTACTTCCAACCCAGGTATTAGCGGTGCCAGTCGGACAAGAGCAATGGTTTGTGAACTTCTGGCCATCAAATTGCTAAAGGAATACAACGTGCGAAGTCTGATAGACGCCTTGTCATATGATTTTCATCCGCTACAAGGCCAGGCCTCTAAGCCGTCTACCGGAGCTTCAAATGGTCGACCATGGGATAACAACCAGGGTTCTCATGCTTTACTTAAAGACGTTCGAATCTCATGTTTAGAAATTGCTATCAGAGCCCAGGCAAAACGATTCTTGGCGCATCCCGTTGTAGTCCAGCAGCTGGAAGCACTATGGGCTGGCACTATTGTTTTCTATTCCGGAGCAGACAGCCTGCACCGACAACCTATTTCGGATGGTCATTTACAATATCAGGGCTACGGCGCCATCCACATGCCCGGACCTCGAGTCGACACAAAGGGTATTCCCACTGTACGAAACAAGAATATCTCCCGCCGTTCAGTATCAATTTATGACCCACGAGATGCGTCTCTATTTAAGTTATCTAGGTTACGCGTCCCTAGATATCGGCAGTTATTATCGACGCTTTCCTACGCGATTCTGCTATGTCTCTTTCTCATCTTACTCCAGAAGAGACCGCTGCACCTAACTGGTTTTGAGATGGTCTTCTGGTTTTGGAGCGCCGGGTTCATGCTAGACGAGATCGTTGGCTTTAATGAGCAAGGCTTTAGCCTTTACTTGATGAGCTTTTGGAACATGTTTGACGTCGGGATTCTAGTCCTGCTTCTTATCTATTATGCCTTGCGTCTGTATGGGGCAATTGTCCCTCAGGATCAGAAAGCCTATGCAGCGGGACTCGCATACGATACCCTGGCTGCTAATGCGGTGCTTCTACTGCCACGACTTTTTTCAGTTCTTGACCATTACCGATACTTTTCGCAGCTGTTAATCGCATTTCGAATGATGGCTGCTGACTTGATTGCGGTGCTTATTCTTATTATTATAGCTTGCAGCGGGTTTTTCGTCGCCTTTACCTTTTCATTTGGCGATACCAATGCCTCACCTAGCTCGGTTGCCTATGCTTTGTTCCAAATGGTCATGGGGTTTACTCCAGCTGCTTGGACCCTTTGGGATAGGTATAATCTGCTTGGGAAGATTATTCTGACCCTTTTCCTATTCATATGCCATTTCCTGGTTATCACGATCCTCATCACTATCCTCACAAACTCCTTCATGGCTATTGTCCAGAACGCGCACGAAGAGCATCAATTTTTATTTGCCGTGAATACTATATCTATGGTGAAATCAGATGCTCTATTTTCTTATGTGGCACCGACCAATGTCCTCGCCTGGGCGATTACTCCCCTGAGATTTGCCATACCCTTTCGAAGTTTTTTGAAGCTCAACCGTACCGTCATCAAGATAACGCACTTCCCGATTCTCTTCTGCATATATCTTTACGAGCGCACTATATTGAGGCCTGCTGCTGTTGAACCCACTGACCTGATTAGGGGCAGATTCAATCCAATTACACCTACCGGAGCCCAAGAGCGCTCTTTTTCACCTTTTACTCCACGTGCCAGGTTCCGTGTACGGGAGCCATCCGTTGCTACACATCAAAAGGATAGGGCTTTAGACCAAGTCTTTGACCTGCCCCGTGAAGGCACTACTTACCAAGAACCTCGGCGGAGCAGGGCCCGCCAACGCTTGTCCACCACCAATGTCAGTAACTGGATGCGGAATATTGGAGACGGAAGCTCTAGAGCACCGCCGGAAGACCAAGACCGAAAAGTGGTGGAAGACTTGGAGGCAAGGCGAGTGTGGCCAGGCCGGTTACAACGACGACGAAGAAGCCGAGGAATGAGCGGTCATAACTTTTTCACAGATACTACTCGGTCCTTTGCCTCAGACCCAGAAGACTTCATGAGTGTTGCATTTGAGACGACCAAAGTAAACAGGGAACCTAGGCCTCACCTTTACTCTCAAAGGATATCAGTGATGCCTGCACCTGCACAAACTGACGTTGAGGTTCAAGGTGACGATGAGCTGAGCAGTGATGAAAACGGTGGAGCCGATTCTAGTAGAGACGGAGACTTACCTGATCCTAGGAAAACTCAAGAGACTATCTTTCCTACGGATAACATACTTGAAAGCTCAGTAGAGCCATCCCCCATGCTTTCAAGGCCTTCAACGGCCCGACGGTTCTCACGAAGGAACAGCCCATCACGTACCCCGCGAACACCGCGGCGCCATCACTCGAGGAATCCTTCTGCAGCTACAATACTCTATAACCCCGTACCACCAGAAGCTACCCAGAGTATGGCTAGTTCTAAACCTCCATCTCCTAGACATAAAGGAAAGAGCGGGACAACCACTCCAAATCGACGCCGACCACAGACCAACCTGAAAACTTCACAGCTGATAACGCGACCACGGCCGATCCCACAGCCGACAGCGGCGGCATTTTCTGTCCCCGATCATGGTATACAGTGGTCACTAAATAATCTACCAAGTCAACGGCGGCGTCCTTTATCCCTTACTCTGGGCTTGGGATCTGATATAGGAGACAACGAAGCGCTTGGCGGAGGTTTTGTGGGCGGTATACCTGGAAGCTTCAACACTCAAATGGCATATGCCATGGGGGAAATGCAACAGGAAAGGAGGAATGACAACAGAGACATGCTTAGCCGGCTTGTTCTCGCACGGATGAAGACGCTTGAAGAAAGCTTCAGGGATGTTTTGAACGAAGTCAAGGATCTCCGCCATGCTCCCGGGAGAAAAGAAAGGGTTCGCCCCGCTACCTCACGTAGACAAAATACCGCCACCAGCAGCCCAAAACAAGGAGTAGAGATATCGACTAGGGAGGAATCTCGCAGGGGCGGTGAAAATAAGCTACATGCTGCATTTGAGCTCAAAGATGAGCGGCTCAGCGAAGAGAGGTCGGAGTCCTCATCAGACTCCAAATTGAGGTCTTGCTGATATAGATAGATATGCATACCACTAAATTAGAACTATAGACAGAACCAAATTGATCGTCCATGCTTATTACTCTCTGGTTATACCCTTGTTGGTTGCCTGCATAATGTGAAGTACTTTTCTGATAGTGCCAAGACATGACAATGCAGGAAGCTTGGGCCAAGCCATGCAAACTAGACAAACCCGCGCGTATCTTGTTACGCTTGATTGCGACTTGCCTTCTCCAGCTTCACAGTTGCACATAGAGATTAATCTCAGGTTAGACCAGCAGGGAGACACTGGTCTAGACGATAACTCAGAGCCTGCACATACCCTTTTTCAAGACTTTTAGGCCCTATTTGCTTCCTTTTTTCTCTCTTTCATTTCTCTGAGAGCGTAGTTACTGCGTGAATCTAAGGATTGAGCATTAAGCATGGCATCCTCATCAAGAGCGTCCAGCCCGCTATTGTAGTAAGTACACCTGCATATATATGGGTCTCACTCTCTACATATATCTTCATGACTCCGCGGCTGACATATCTACAAGTGCCTGTATAGCGCATAGGACAACTATCCTCACAGAGCACTCGGTGCCTGGAACGTCTTCTACCTCGGCTTCATCATTGGCATCCATAATCCTCCCCAAGATATCTCACGACTCGCCTCAGAAACTCACGTACACTCATGACCGACTATTTATCCACTACATTGCTGATTCGCCCAGTGCCTCTTCGGCACAGGGGAGCAGCCAGACGCCAGACTCCCACTCGGCATTGAGTTACTTGGTCGTTGCCACGGCCGAACAGGGCCGTCGTATTCCCTTCGCGTTTTTGCTCGAGATGAAGAGGAAATTCCTTGCGAGCTATATTCCAGATAGCACTGATTACGCCGCTTTGCCAGCCTATGGGTGTGCTGCCTTTAACAATGACCTACGTGGCTTGCTACACACGTTCAACACAACGCCTCCATCCGATTCACTTGCTTCGGCCAGGAGAGAAATCGATAACGTTCGAGATATCATGACGGAGAATATTGAGCGTGTTCTGGAGAGAGGAGAGCGTATCGATACCTTGATTGATAAGACTGATAGGTTGGGAAGCAGTGCTCGTGATTTCAGAGTACGTAGCCGGGACCTACGACGCCGGATGTGGTGGAAGAATACGAAGGTTATGGTCTTGCTGATTGTTGTGGTATTGTTCTTGATATACCTGTTTGTTGGTATGGGATGCGGCCTGCCGGCGTGGGGAAGCTGCGTGGGACGTGGAACCCACCACGAGGAATGAAACACTGACGGACAGCTAACGCCGATACCGTCTCCGAGTGGCGTTTCGTTTCCATTTTCTCTTTTCTTCGACTGATATTGCAAGGTTCCAAGTCGGTTATTTCTGGCATCTTGCACAGCATTTTCTTCCATGCAATGTTATTTATCTGATTAATGCTTAATATATAGCTTATAGCGTTCATAGTTATTACGAGAGATGCAGATTTGGCCAAGTATAAGGCATTTTAGCCGAATAAATATACATATGGATTGCGCTTGAATACCTTGGTGTTGCGAAGTGCTTCTTAGTGTCCCCTACCATCAAACCCGCCTTCATCAATGAATTCTCTAGAGGCAAGTCTGCAGGCAGGGTTATTCAACTTTCTTACCTCCCACGATATTGTGGAAGGAGAGCGAGGAATGTTCTTAATATCCGCCAGTCGTTTACCTCGACAACCACTAAAGGTAGGTTGGCGAGGAGATAATACGGGCGTAAAGAGAAAATGGGACAGCAATTGGAGACATATCTATGATGGGAAAGTTAGAGAATCATGTAAGTTTTGGTATTTCATCTCATGAGACAAATAGAGTAGGCCCCTGATATCTCCAGTCCATTTGAACACCTGGGAACACGTAGAAAAGTAGAAGCATTCAAGATGTGACGCCCAAACGAGGCCGCGTTCGTTAACGAGCCTGGAACAAGCAAGCAGTAAAGACATGGACTGGAGTTGAGGAGGGTCCTAACACAATTCAATATCAAACCACAATGGAGAGATAAGGAAAAGTTTCGAATATGGTGACATTTGTCTTTATCTTGGTCGTTTATAATTTTTTCCCACGTTCCCATCCATTAATAACACCCAAAGAAACTACTTCCCTGACCCAAATCAACCGGCTTAGGAGGACTTGGCTCTGGCAGCACGTCCCTTGCCCATTCTCTCGAGGATGCTCTCACGGTCCTTGTCGAGCTTGAGTTTGGTGATGACAACCTTGGATGGGTGGATGCCGATTGGAACAGACTGGCCATTGGATTTCTCGCGGCTGACTCGCTCGACGTGGACGACATACTTGAGGCGATACACGGATGTGATCTTTCCTTCGCGGCCCTTGTTGGTTCCCCGCACAATGGTGACCTCATCATCCTTGCGAATTGGTATCGATCGGACCTAGACAGGTTATACTCGGTTAGACGAATGTCTTTTCCCTCGGATTCTATTTTGTCCTGTCTGTGGTGGTGTGGTGTATTAGTCTGATGGTGCTGGATATCAACGTACGTTGTGCTTTTCACGGAGCTCCTTGCTCAAAGGGGCGCTCATGATGGTTCGTCGCTCACTGGAGGGAGCGCTGAAGTGCGTCTTGCGCGACTTCCGTCGGGAGCAAGCAATTGCTATAGTTGAGGAACAACTCATGGTCAGCACTTCGAAATTTGGACATCCAGATCAAGCCGTCTTTGAAAGCAATCTCGCAGTAACCAGCTCTTCATCTAACAGCAGAACCAGCATGAGAAATCTCACGTACCTGTGTTAACCTTAGCCATCGTGATATGCGATCTGACCCTGGGGGAAGTGTGGTCTGTTGGATGTCGACGGCGTGTTTCTCTTCAAAGTTGAAATTCGACGTTATTTTTTCGTTGATGCAAAATAGTGCGAGACTTGTGGGTCAGCTGACCTGCGCTTCATGGTTACTTAAGCGCGAGCTAGGGTTTGCTGACTCATCAGGAACTTGGGCTCCGTCAAGAACGACGCGCGCGAGGATGCGGCGGAAGACGAAGCAGACGAAGCAGAAGAATAAAAAAAAGTAGACGAATTAGACGAGCCCTGTGGACAAAGCGGAAGAAGAAGTGCCTCAGATAAGGAAAACTATGAGATAGGAACGTTGCTGGTGGCAAGCTGGGAGATATGGTTCCCACGCAGTCGTTTTGTTTGTCTCTATGCGTCGCTATGACTTTTGATACCCGCAAGCCTCAGCAACAAGTCTTAAAGCGCATTCACACCGTCCACAGTTGAGAAACCGAGAGCCTTCCGGAAAACACCTCTAGCGATCACCTAAGATATGGCCTACAACGGGTATGGCTACCCTCAATACCAACACACGAACGCCCGAGCCCAGCAGAACCAGGCCCAGCACGCTCCTCCGTCGTCCCAAACCCCAAAACTGGCAGCACCGGCACCCCAGAATAGCTCCCAGGATTATGGGCAACGGCACGGCAGCTGGAATGGACAGAACGCATCTGGGCCACAAACATCAAATCAGCAAAATGCTAGTAATAACTACTGGATACCTTCAAACAGCACCACAGGCCAATCTATAGCCTACCAGCAGCAAGTGTCATATCGTGTGTCAGATACGAACCAGGCAACAAACTCTGTGCATCAATATAACGGCCAGATACAGCCTCAGAGCCGTACCAGTACACATGGTGCGACCAACTATGGAAACGAATCTAACTCGAGCATGGATACAGTGCGGGATACGGTGAATTCCACCAATCACTATATCTCCAACTCCTCGCCGGGCCAGACTGCCACGGTTCCTGCAGTTGCAATGTCTCAGAACCCTCGGTCTTATCAACCAAATGCGCCACCACATCAGTCCGACTATATGCAAAACTCTCGCACCGCTGCGGCCACAGCGATGACTGCTTTGTCCACTGCCGCTCGGCGTAATTATACCCAAAATGTGCCAGCTACCAATACAGACTCTTATCAGGTATCAAATTCAGTTCGGTATAATGCGCCGGCCAGGGGTCCTACCCGGAGCCAGCTAGCAACCAATAATTCAAACTCTTCAAACACAGTATATCAATTTCAGGCTAGCAATTCCGGCCAGGCTTTTGAAACTACAGGCACGGCTGCTTCTAGTACCTTACACCAGACAAGTAATACCCCGGGCATGAGCACTCCTTCGGTCACTTCAAGCGCAGAACCCTCACCACAGCTGCAACACCGCGTCCACCAAGCACAATCTACTTCTCACTCTCCCACTCTCCTTCAGCATCCGGATAGGACTAGCTCTGGTTCTCAGATGCGCCCTCCGCCTCAAAAATATTCTATGAATAATGCAGTATCTGATAACGAGCGTCCTTCCGCAGCCATGAATCAAAGTGCTTACTCACAACCAACTGATGCGAGCTCTGTAATTGCAGAGTCCGCTACTCATAATTCCCTACCTAGATTTGTCGATCCAACCAACGTATATAACCCTTATTACCGCCAGTTTGGAGCTTCGGGGGCTGCTCACACTGCTCACACTGCTCACACAACAGTTGAGTCTGATGCAGCAAGTGTGGCTAGCGGAATAGAAACAACACAGGTAGTAGCACAGCAAAATTCCACTCAGTCCCCGGCTCTAAACGTTACAGAGTTGAATGCGGCGCCTACTACAACACTATCTAATACGGCCTCCAAGTAAGTAATGGACTACTACCTATCCTCACTACAAGGTAATCCTAGCTCACCGTCATCAGTGCTCTGAATGGATCAATAACGAATAAGGGTCCAAAGGATACTCCAAAACCTCTTTCAAAGCCTCTTTCAAAGGGTACTCCGAAAAAAGTGAGGAAGAAGCCAAGTCGAAAGACGAAGTCTGCGGCGGCGGGCACCTCAATCATTACGGCAGTTGAGCCCCAAACCGCTTCAAGCACACAAGAACAAGCCAATGACAAAGAAGACACAGCTACTCAGATGCAAATAATGCTTGACGAAATGCGCAAGAAAGACCCAGACTTATTTAGATCGATCTTAGCTGCGAATATGGTTAGTTTAATATTCCTTCTGCCTGTCCATCCACGCCATACTTACCTTTTGTCTTCATAGAGTAAACAAGAGAGTAATGGACAAAAAGCCCAAGTTCCAGCCAATGTTGTTGATGGCATCACCGCAAATGATTGCTTTGCAGACTCTAGTACACCCGGTTCAGCGCAACCTCCACAGCTGCCCCACTCCAATCATACTATACCGCTAAAAGAGACACGCAAGAAACGTGCAGCAGGTGAAGCGGTATTCCGAATAAGTACGCATGCGCAAAAAGGCGCTGCACCTTCAACTGTCAACAATATGTCTACTGGAAATATACAAGCTGAGCAGCGGCTCCTAGAAGCAGCATTACCTTCTACCACGCCTGGTGAAATGGAGAGTGGTGTCGAGGCTGCCAGCCCAGGACAAATTACCAAACTAGGCTTCATTGATGGTCTACCTGACTTGGGAAAATTCCCAGCATTACGACGAAAGCGGAAACCGAAGATCAGTCTTTTAGGCAATGGCTCCCATTCTGATTCTATCAGCATATCAGGCTTGAATAATGAGGTAAACACAGCAGACCATGGTGGTGGAACTGCGCCAACAGCTCAAGCAGCTACTACTATGGCCCAGCCATACGCTGCCTTAAGTATAGAAGAGCAACGGTTGAGCCTGTTGGATAATTTCACTAGGACTGGAAATGCTGAATTTCCTCAGTCACATGCTAACCCTCCACCTACGACTAAAGATACCCAGCTCTCCCAGGCAGATCATGTCAATACCACTCATCAGACTCCACCACCCCCTCAAGTGCAACGGCAGTCTTCAGGGGAGGAAGTGGGAAAGGGGGGGAACATGACTTCCATTTGGCCTTACCATAAGCGGCGGGTCCTAACCGAGTCAGCGTGCGAATATATCGCCACACTCCCAGGAAATGGCCCCATTACTCCCGAATTTGTATCGAGTTTAATTGAACAGAATCCTAGCTATGTACAGCTTTGCAATATGTTGGAGGACCATGGCTATACGGTAAACAAGGTCCATTTCGCAAAACATCTTTTACAAGCCTTTCCAGACCTCGGCGAGAGCTCAAACAATGCAACGAAGCCCATTTCGGAGCCAACGTTACAAGCTCCTCACCCCAGCTTGCCTGTTTCATCCTTCGTATCTTCCACTCCTGCTACTCCAATACCTCAGCAAAGTCCAAAAGCAACGAAGCACCATATAGGCACTGTTCCCGTGAATTCGGGAACAAACCTTCCTCTATCAAAAGAGGAGCAACGTCAGAAGTCTCTGAATTTACTCCATATATCTAAGCGTCGCATGAAGAATGCTCCCCAGCGCCGCACGTCCATATCTGCTTCACCCGCACCCCAGCCACGCGAACCCTTTCCTAACTCTAAGGAAGCCATGGCTAGGAAGCAAACTTTTGCCGAGATTGTCGACCTTTCTCAAGCATTTAGTGACGAGGATGAGAGTGGGCCCGAGGACGAAGAGATAGATCAGCCAAACCAGGTTATCGTTGGGGCTGATGACCCAATGGACACCTCACCAGACGTCCCCATGGAAGATAATATTCCCTCTATTCCTGTCCAGCCTAATACCACAGAAACCCTTGCTCAAAACCCATTAACGGACCGCGAAGTAGTTCCGGCTGCCCAACCACAACCTACTCGATCTCGCGAGCCGTCCCTTGCAACCCAGCCTACGGCAGAGGAACCCGTTAACACAGCCAAGCATAAAGAACACAACGGAATACCCCAGACTACTGGAATAGAGGATCTCCGTCGTTTTAATGGTATTATCAAGCCCATCAACAAAGCCAAGGCCCTGAAAAGATCATACTACGATCCTAGAACAATCGCTAGAGATATCTTGATTGCCGCTGGCCGCCACCCCACAGAACGTCCACTCAACCATCATTTGCTAAAACTGAAGGAAAAATTTCAATTTATTGATTACACCTCGGATCTCGAGACATTCCGATGGGATCTCGTGGACCCTGGTGGTCCTCCTCCCCCGAAAATTACCCCTGAGCCCCTAATACCCCAACCCAAGTTTCATCCACGTGATACCTCACGTGATGCAACTAGCGGAAGGCAATACCAGTCGCTTGATCGCGCTCCCTCACAGTTAAGAATTTCTCACACCATCAACGCCGATTCTGCTTCTCCTTTAAGGGCTATGGCTCCAACTCCCACACGATCTTCACATGCTTCTCCTCTTCCTACAAGACGACGACCTGGACGTCCGCCGGGTGCGAAAAATAAGCCGAAGCCTGTCCCTTCAATCGCAAGACATGTCGAAGTTGCTATCCCTAGAGCCACGCCACAGCCCTCATCAAATACCTATGCAATATATGAATGTCATTTCGATAGTTGTGGTGCAAAACTACACAACTTTGAGGTCTTCCGAAAACACGTCTTAAAACTACATAGCCAGGCCGGTGAAGATCAGGCAGTTTGCTTATGGACAGGTTGCGTTCCTACGCAATCAACACCGCGTACCTTTTCTACCGGTGGGCTCAAGGAACATTTAGACAATGTACATCTAAGTCCACTGGCTTGGAAACTAGGCGACGGACCCAAGTCTGTATCCTCTGGTGAGGCTAGAAAGCTCCATCTACCGATTGTTATTTCTTAATCACTAGAATTTCTCTTTCTCTTCTCCCCTTCTAGGACACCCATGCTTTAACCCAAGTTCGTGCCTTTATGATGATGAAGGCCGTGCAGTGGTATCTAAGGCGACAACCAACGGTTCTACCCCTGCCATTATTTTACCTACTACGTGGCGCCCAATACGTGACTTTAATAAGAATCACGGGCATGACAGCTATAGATCAAGTGCTCTCCAGATTATGAGAGCACTCTCGGCGAAACAGGCAAATGTGGGCGCGGGGTTAGGACCAGGAGGCTGTATATTAATGAATGAGCAGAGGCAGGGCACTGTTGTCGCACACGACGATGTTTACAGAATTTTACCAGCGGGGAAAAGAGAATATTAAGGAATCTGCGCCATTCATCTAGGCATATAGGAGCACTGGATCGGTGTTGTGGCAATTTTCCAGTTTTGTTGGCAGCGGGGTGAAAAACAGTGGCCATTTCTAAGGCCTCCCACGAGTAATTGTTGCTATTTACTGATCTTTTTCAGAGGTAGACAGGTTGTACCACTAATGGAAATTATTCACTGCAACGCAGTGCGCAAATGGAAGTAATTGGAGGGTTTTCTCTGGCCACGCCGCCATCCGTAAGCTCAAAATAACCCTGCCAGAATGTGTGTATCCCGTGTTTCACTGTCCACGTCAAACTGTCCGTCGAACCCCGTATCTCTAGTAGTTGCCAATAAATAAGAACCATCCCCTTGGAACCATACGACAATGATTCTAACTCCTTCTCCCTATTGCGCCAGTATCAGAATCCCCAATAACTTTTGCCGTTTGCGTCGATCCAGAGCTTTCATTGACTCTGCTATGGTAGGCACACGCGATGAATCTATATCCGACGAGGCTTTTGAATTAACCTCTAGGAAATGGTAGACAACAATGAGAAACATTGCGCATGACCCAAGGAAGATGGCGAGCTGATAGAGCTCGTTATCGGTTATCATTGTGATGGGTATACGAGTAATATGGCGTGGTGGAAAGAGGAATTGTGGGCTATATCTGGAGGAGAATGAGCGTATATGCAGTCCTATCACATAAAAAGGCATCTTAATTAGCAGCCAGAAGATAAACAACGGAGGAGTGTTGTTACTGGATAAGCAACGCCAGATCATGGGAAGGCTCACTCCTTAAGGCTGGAGCCAAGCTGCAATAGTAGAGTTAGAGAAATGCAAAGTTCAGATTATCAATGCTAATGAAAAGTATCAGAGTCTTTTGGTATAAGCACATCTGCTGTCTTCTTGTTTGTCTGTGCATGTGTCTTGTCTGTTGCTCTTACTCCGTACACTTTGATGATCTGGCGCGAAGCTCGTGGCGGGCCGCGCTTAGTTTTCATAAGCGCCATGATATGACTCAGCATTGCCGCTGCCGCCTTTTTTTCCCTCCCCACCAACTCTCATTATCTCAGAACTTCGTTCATAATACCTTCAGGTCACTCTGACGGCGGAAGCGTCGATAAAACCATAGCAACCGTCAGTTGCAGGTGTGGATAGAAACTCGGACGCTCTTTTAGATATCTTTTATTTGTGTACTTGGTCTATTCTTTTATCCCACAACCATCCCATACCTCTCACAGTTTATTATACACGCGATACACCATTGCCAGCGGAAAATGCCTCCTAAAAAAGGTGACCAGCCTAAAAAGGCTAAACCTACGGTGCAGGATAAGGTATGCATTCCTTGGATTCCAGAAACGGTGAAGAATAAATCTGCTCACTTTTTGCAACTTAGACCTTTGGAATGAAAAATGTAAGCTTGGCCAACTAGCGTTCGCTTCCTCTCTGCTACCTACGGTTACTGATACCGTCAAGAAAAAAGGATCGACTGCCCGTAAACAGATAGCTCAGCTCGAAGCGCAGGCCGCCTCGAACAAGTCTGCGGATGCCAAACGAAAAGCGATGGAAAAGGAAAAACGTGAAAAAGAAAAGGCCGCTGCTGAGCAAGCTAAACGTGAAGTTGCGGAATTGTTTAAACCTGTACAGGTCCAAAAAGTTCCTTTTGGCGTTGATCCTAAGACTGTTCTGTGCGTTTTCTTTAAGAAAGGAAATTGCGAGAAAGGTCGTAAATGCAAATTCAGCCATGATTTGGCGGTCGAGCGCAAAGCAGAGAAGAAAAATATATATCAAGACTCTCGAGACGAACAAGACTCGAAGCAAGCCGACACGATGGATAACTGGGACGAACAGAAACTGAGGGATGTCGTGTTGAGTAAACACGGAAATCCAAGGACGACCACGGATAAAGTATGCAAGTACTTTATTGAGGCTGTTGAAAATCAGAAGTACGGATGGTTCTGGACTTGTCCGAACGGCGGAGACAAGTGTATGTATAAACACAGCCTACCACCAGGGTATGTTTTCGTCCTAACCCGACCCTTTTTTCTCACATTATCAGGGTACATCCTGACATTATAGTAGGTTCGTCTTAAAGACCAAAGAGCAAAGGGCGGCTGAAAAGGCTCTTTTGGATAAATCTCCACTGAAAACCCTCACTCTCGAGGACTTCCTTGAAACTGAAAGGCACAAACTTACCGGAAAACTGACACCCGTCACCGAGGAGTCGTTCGCAAAGTGGAAGAAAGAACGGTTGGATAAGAAGGCTGCAGAAGATGAAGCACGCAAAGCCAAGGAAGCTACTGGTCGTGCCATGTTTGAGAGCGGAGAATGGAGAAACCAGGAAAGCGAGGCAGAATCAAGTGATGAAGATGATGATGAGGGAGATGGTGACGCTTGGAATTTGGAGAGCATGAGAAAAGAGACAGAAGAGCTCAGAGACAAATCTGAACAAGAGAGGGTTGCCAAACTACAAGGCTCTGGTGATGTACCTGAAGATACCGCAATTTCAAGTACGGAACCATCTGCCACTGTAGAGGGCGAGGGCTGAGATAATTCTCCGAACATAGTAGATAATGTAAACATTAAAAGATAACTAAATACGTAACTTTATACGTCCTCCCGACTGTTAAGAAATTAATATTTACACTTTGTTTTCAGCCCAATTACATCCTAGAACGGCAGCAGAGGATACCATCCAAATGCAGAATAAATGGAGGAAAACAATACCTGGGCTGCGGCGAAGAGAGAGGGGCTCGGATATGTGTTACTTATTCGCACTATTTAGTAACTTGTTCCCATTTTAAGCTGTCTTTTTTACAACGTAAGGCATAGTTTGACCCATAAACCGGGAAGATAAAACCTCAAAGTGAGCACAGAAATCATCGAAAGATATTTCTTTCGAAGGAAGGAATAAATTCTTATAATCGCCTAAGGAAGTTCTTCGATCTTTGGTTTGCCAGTAGATGTTGCTGCCTCTTCCTCCTCTTCCTCCCCTTCACCTTCTAGCTCAGGCATCTCACTGTCGTCATCTCCCTATAGCTATTTATTAGTGAAGATTTGAGTAGTAGTGGGTTGCACGGGAACATACCATCTGAGCTTGCTCAATATCTCCCGCTCCTATTCCTTCCGTGCCCGGCATGCCTGTCATACTGGCCATTTGTTTCGTGAAGTCAAAGTCAAGCGATGACGGGCCAGTTTCGACATTTTCATTTTCAGGCTCCTGCTCATCTTCATCAAGCCACTATAAATCTGGTTAGAAAAGATAAGAGCCATATTTTGAAAAGGATCCTCAGTAAAAATAAGAGTTTACACACCTTCTCAAAGTCAGTGGTTAAAAGGTTGGGCTTTTTGCCTTCAGTCAATGTTATCCAGTATTTTGCATTAAGCTCCTCTTTCCTAACCTCCACGGTGGTATCTGGGCATTCCTCTTTGATAACGCACGTTGCACTTTTGGGGTCAACTTTGCCTGCTAGCTTCAATTCCGCGTTATAAAGTGTTTTCTTGGTGGTGGAATAGCCCGTGAACGAGATTGTAGTGGGAGTAACCACAATTCTAGATTCGCCCGGACCGTAAAAGACTTTTTCATCAAGTGCATCATTCTTTGTTTGGGCTGGCTTAGCCTCCTCTTTCTGAGGTGCTGGTTTAGCCTCTGCTGACTTCTCTTTCTGAGGTGTACTTAAGCCTGCATCATTCTGAGTAGTAGGGGTTGGGTTAGGCTTGTCTGGCGAGCCGAGATCAGGGACCGAAAACCGCAAACCAATGTAGTTTTTCTTCGGGTCAGAGTCTGACGACCGTTGCCACCAGGTCACTGTAAAAAAACAATATTAGCATATCAGGGTCCCAAATCAGTAGCTATGAGAAGTAATCAAAGGCGTGCAATAAGCCGAGGTGGTGTTTTCCCCTCAATTCTCCAGACCATAACAGGAAACAATATAAGAGCACGTACTCGATGGATTAGCCATAATGAAGTGCCAATAAGTATCAGAGCTAGTAAATTCCTCAATATCTGATTTGGGAAGTAGTTGTTCTGTGAAGCCGTTTGGAGTCCTGGTTGTCAGATGTCGATGTTGTTTCGAGGTCCAGAAGAAGCAGAATAGAAACTACTGGAAGAATGCAATTGTGGAGCTCGGGCCATGTGGGCAACGATGCCAAGACGTGGGTTTGAAGAGCTTATATAAGCGTGTCATTATCACGTGGTAGAGACGCAACCTTGGGCTCCGCCTTCTCTGATGCACGCAAGACGTTCGCGGAGTTGGGATTGCTCGATACTGTAACATAGAGCAAAGCAAGCAACTCAGATATTTCTCTTTTACTTTTTCATCTGCTGTCTATTGGCCATACTGACTGCGAGAATATAAACATTATTTCTACCCGCCTAGCCCGCGCTTTTACGAGATTCTGAGCTCTCAGTAGAGCCGCATCCGCCGCATAACTCATTCTACCCTAACGCCAGCACTTGTAGTTCCTCTGGTCATCTACCTACCATGGAGACCCTTAAGGCCGTTTTCTTCAAGCCAGACCCGGCAGCACAGGCTAGTATACCTACCTTATTGCATACCTCTTACCGCTCTAGCGGCTAATGCCCCCCACCAGATGCGGAAGTGCAACGCGCTTATACGGTCAAACACACGAAAACTCGACCGAGACATATCCCAGTTGAAGGCGATTGAAATAAAAACGAAACAGTTCATTGTTGCCGCCTCAAAAAGAGCGCAGCGGAATCCCTCACAGGCCGAACAGGCAGCAAAGGAAACACGGATATTCGCGAGAGAGCTCATCCGGATAAGAAAACAGAGCGCCCGTTTGACGACGAGCAAGGCACAACTTGAGAGCGTGAAGATGCAGGTTAATGAAGCATTCTCAGTTAGAAAGATTGAAGGAAGTCTCAGGTCTTCGACCAGTATTATGAAGGACGTCAATACCTTGGTCCGACTGCCGGAGCTGACAGGCACCATGCGGCAGCTCAGTGAGTTATCTCAACCTTGTTAATAATGGCTTTCCTGCAACAGATTGCTGACTGGAACAACACAGGCTTGGAGTTAGTTAAAGCTGGAATTATTGAAGAAACCATCGACAGCGCCATGCCAGAGGGCCAGTTACTAGAAGAAGAAGAAGAAGAGGCAGATAATGAAGTCGATAAGATACTACAGGAGATTCTACAGGGTAGACTCGCTGCCACAGGCGGCATCAAGCCAGAAGAAACGCTTCAGACAGAAGAACCTGTTCCCGAGGAGTTCGAAGACCAGGAAGCTACCCTCGAACAGATGAGAGGCAGACTAGAAGCCCTCAAAAGCTAATAAGGCTTAAATGAAAGCTGCACTATCCCTTGTCTTAAACTTCCTCCACGCCGTTTACGCAGTTTTTAATGACCCTGTTTCTACTATGTTTCGAGGTATCTTGGATTTGTCCGCTTGGAGGCGTGAATGGAGAATGTAAATGGAGTTTTTGGCGTATATATATATCGCTTCATCAAAAAGCGTTTCATACAAACTACTATTTCTGCACAGCAAATTATTCATAGCATTAGTATTATAAAAACACAATCACAATTAATATAAGTTATGTAAACATGGCAAACCTTTAAGAATCAACTAACTAAACATCTAAACCGAAAGTAGTTTATAATAAACGATGGCTGTTGAGAGCAAAGAAAATAACTCCGTGGTCAGGCAGGGAGCTAAACGGCCGTAGACTTGAAACAATTCAGAATCTCTTCTTTCCCCTACCTCTCCGCTTTGAAGGAGTACCGGATGTATTTCCGAGAGCGGGAAATTCCTCCTGGGGGTCTGTCTGACCTTGCTGCTCAACCAAACTGAGTTGAATAGCAAGCTCGAGATCATCAACGTTATCCTGTGAAGAGGTACCAGACAGGCTGGGGGAGAAGGAATATGAGCCGATATCAGTAATGCCCTCTTCTGTGAACACACTGCCTTCGTTAGGAGACTGAGAAGTATCGGTATCCTGCAAGCTTCGACGGATGGCTTCAGCTAGACCAGGCTCCATTTCCTCATCAACAGTATCCAGAGTCGGAGTTGATATTTGTCGAGTAAGAGGATTTGCACTGAATGTCTCGTCCGATGCAATTGTCTCGCTAGAGGAGCTGCCAACAGAGCTACTCTCGCTGCCTCTCCTGTTCCTCTCATCGCTCGTATACGACTCCTCGCTCAGTAGACAAGCGTAGGCAAGAAGGTCGTCTTCACTTGCATCGCTGCCCAGTAGATCTGTACCAAACCGTCCACTCAAGTGAGCGAGCTCTTTTTCCTTTGCAACCTTTTGTCTTTCAAGTTCAGCCTTCTCGTTCATGATGTAATCCATTAAAGCCCCTCGGCCAGAATTGCTGAAGCGCTGCGTCTCCTGCGAACTGTTGCTGCCACGGTGAGGGTAACGAATCCGTCGTTTGTTACTCTTGTACTGATCGGCTGCGGAGGAGCTGTATGCCCAATAACGAAGCTGTGTCCCAAGAGCAACAATACCTCTAAGTCGAGTAGGATCCTGGTCGAGACAGATGGCTCCGGCTGCAAAGAAATTATGACCAACTTCCTGGTTCGCTGTAGTCACCTGTTCGAGGCGGCGACGGGCGCGAGAAGAGAACCTGGAATTGAGCGTTCGGATAGGCTGCGTGGATGAGGCAAGGTGGTCCCAAGCTTGAACCAGGCCATCGTTGCCTCCATGTACGAGGTACAGAGCCGTCAATGCAACGCTAGAAATTTGAGGTGAATCTGTATGGATAATGCGAATGGGCATGATATTGTTCACCATGTCATTCCCAGGTATCGCGGCTCTGATGTCCCAGACAAAAACGGAGCCAAGAGAGGTTCCAACAGCCATGTATCGGCCTCGCTGACCAGGAATTTCCGCAGATGAAGCTAGCGGGTTGCTAGAAAGTGAAAATGGTGTGGAACATAGGGAGGACACCTCTGAATTACCATACATCCCGAGTAAGGGGTCTTCAAACTTTGTCAAGCGGGCAAATGTGGACATATCCAAGGCGCAGGCGGTGATTTCGGTAGACTTTGGTCCTTCAAAGGTCATATTTGACGCCCGCCATTCGACGGTAGTTGGTAAGGGGCTAGAGCCATTATAAACACTGGGTATGGGTGATGACACGGGGTTTCCGGAGGGTAGAGCCTGCTCGGCTCCCGTTTGACCAAAGAGAGACGCTTTGGTTTTAGTTTCACCTTCTGGAGCTGGAGAGGAGCTTCCAATATTATCTAGGGTTGGGTTCTCGCCACTCCTGACGCGTGTAAATCTCTTGACCGATGCAGCTTGATCATCACTGGCAGAGCAGCAGGCGACTATGAGAGATTCACCAGCACCTTGTCCATCATCACCAGCGAAATCTACTTCGAGTTTACGCCTCATGTCCCATCCTTGATATGTCGTTCGGAAATGTAAAGGCTTGAAAGCAAAGAACTTTTCAATGTCTTTTGTTTCGGCGATTATTTGATCACGGTCTAAGTTCATCTCATCCGAGGATGATCTAGGGCTATAGGTAGCATTGGAGGAGAGTTTGTTGAACGGGTCATGCACCGGAACACGTCGACTGCTTTCGACAATCTCCCACGATACCGTGCGGCCAGTGAGCCATGCCGCCTTCTCAAGCACTTCGGGCTCTAACTTCTGGTAGGTATCAAGGCCACGGGGAACATTCGTGAGATAGAAAAGTTCCCCAAGAGCGTTTAGGACAGTTATCCATATCCTACGTTGGGACAGTCGTTTTGCCGATAATTTGCCATCAACTTTGATGGCAACAATGGGAACTCCGGGGCATAAAGCCCACCTAGCAGTTATCTGGCCTCGTTCAAAACGTTGATCATATGAAGGATGCGGGCCGAGTGCATACGATGTGAGGACGCCTGATGAAGTGCCTGTAATCATCCCACATAGCCCATTTGTAGACTTCAAAATCTCAGATGATTTGGCTATCCAAGTCGCACAAATCCCAGAGTGTGTGGCATTCACAGACGGAATCCCAAGTTCGTAGTGAGGATCCAGAACTGAACGGGGTAAGAACCGACCTCTTTTCTCACTTGTAGAGAGGAAATAAGTACGGCCCTGGGGGCATCCCTCCCCGTACACCATACCGTGAGGCTGGCTCACGTCCATCACGTTGGGATTTCCAACGAGGTTACCGGATCCCAAACCCCAAGGCGTTTCACTCGGGTAGCTCTCTGAAAAGTGGTTGAACATTCGACTTTCGGACAAAAGTCCCCACTTCCCTGCACCGCTTTTCTTTGAAGTTGGGTCGCTTTGGGTAGCGATCCCTTCCTCGCTTGCTCCATGGACAAACGCGGGTGGTTTTCTCTCCAAACTGGATCCAAACGTACCATCAATGTGGGAGATTGGAAACTGGAGCAAGGAGTTGTATGTCACAACAGCATGGGTAGCAGTCGCGGAGCCAGAGCGAGTCGACTTGCGCTGGTCCGTGACTTGGTAGCTGGTAGGCTTCCCACGAGCTATTGAATGTAATAGCCTTGTCCGCAGAATATATTCATTTCTCCAGGAGCTCAAGGCTGTAAGCCTGCAGAACGCGCGCCTTTTCAGCAGCCTGTGCTCCCAGTCGTCACCTCTTTGCGGGCCTTCATTCTTCTCGGTCAGCGCAGGTCCGGGGAAGTACCGAGAGAACGCGATCCGCCAGGCATGCGGGGTGGTCACTAGGCCGTGAAACTGACGGCTCACAAGGCTCATCGATGACAGCGACGAGGGCTGCAGATGCGATAAGATATGCGTCAGGACCTCTAACAAAACATCCATACAGGTTAGCATGCACAACATCCTAGCTCAGTGGAAACCCCCACGTGGATGCGACGTTCCGTACCATTGGGAAAGCTCTCGATGGAGATGGCTTGCAAGCCGAGATCTTCGCTCGACTTCCGGTGCGTCGCGATAGCAGCGTCATCGCCTGCGCGATGAGGGGAGGATACAGGTTTGGCGGGGAGCTGCGTCTCTAGTCCAGTGTCTGCTGCATGGCCATCAAGTCGCGGATCGGATGGACGAGGCGACAACACCACCGAGCCGGTGGCATGGCCGCTATCGCCGTCATCTCGACCTGAGGGACGGCTGGCAGGGCAATCTTGACAAGAGAAGTTTCCATGCTGGGCAGCGGGTTGGGAGTAGCGCGAGTGGTCCTCTGAGGTAGCGATGGTAGACCTGTAGCACTCTGGTTGCATAAAAGTTGGGAGAGAGAATCTGGGAAAAAGGCGGTCGTAAGACTGAACCAGGATATGCCGGATCAGTCGAGAAGCGTCAGGGAGCTGTCAATGGGAGGATGCGATGCTGTTTTCCTTGCGGGCAAGACTTGAGTCCTTGTTGTGACGTCGAAGGGTTTGAAGATGCGAAACGGAAAGACAAGAAGAAGATTAGAAAAGAAAAGAAAAAGGAGTCACTTTTGTTGGTCGAAGTTTGCCGGGCGAAGAGACGGTCACGTGAACACGCGTTTTGCAAGTGACGTACGGAGTTGACAACTACGAAGTACGTACTGAACCATCAAGTACGATGCCTCGTTGATGGCGATGAAGGGAGAAAGAGATAATGACAGTAACTATTGTAGAGCTTACTGAGCTCCTTCACTGCAGGCCTCCTGTGAAGTCAAGAGTCATGCTACTCCATTCACTACGACTTGATAATATCTACTGCAGTTAAAAAGGGAACCTCATCTCCTTTTCCATTATATGATTACAGGCCGACTCATACATAGTTTACTATTTTAATAAAACCGAGGCTGGCGCCCATCAGGTCCTTCCCAGGTCTTCTACCGCTCTGGATAACTATGGCTAATATCACCAGATGCCGCAGAGACCGCCGCCGCCTTGAGGGTGAAAATATCGGCTACTGCAATGCCATGCCGAAGTGACTAGGTGGGCGTCTTGGGGCATAGAGCCCAGGCTGGATTTCCCACTTACGCCAATTCCTATTCTAAACAGTTCTCTTAGTGAGCTAACAAGCGTATCTTCGGGGGAGGCAGAAGATCTGGACGGTCGATGCAAAGAACGCTTTGGAAAATGTGCCTGCTAACGATCAGGACGACGTTGTTCGTCTGCTGAATGTGTTCATGGATTATCCCCAGAAACAGAGACCCATCATACGGGTGCAAGATATTGTCTCGAAGACGATGATAAGCTGCGCCAGCTAAGGAACCACCATCTTGTTGATGCTATCCTAGAGCCAAGCGAGCAGATATATATATCCATGCCATATTAGGACCTAAGCGGATCACTGATCTAGGAACGGTCGTGGCGGATAAATTGCTTATGCTTACAGACATTTAAGCGGCATTCCTAGCTTTGCAGTGGAAGAACAGTGTCAGCATCAGCATCAACTGTCAAAACGACTAGGCCAAACGGCTTGGATCGTCGATACCCTCCTACAGGATTACCATTCTGAAATGTGGCCGGCTCGGCTTTGACAAGGAAGTCCACGACGATGTATACTATCGCTTGATAGGATCGTTGTATCGAGGCGGCGGTGATACCAAGGATGACAATGGTGGTTCTGATAATAGCTGCTAGCTAAACATGCAAACCGCAACACTGCTCACCTATTTGGGCTATTCAACAAAGCTCTATGATATTCATAGAAGAGTGCCCTCCACCCACAGCGATCGAGTTAGGGCGTGGCAAGGCGGATTAAACGACAAAGGTATGTCCTTCTTCTTTCAATATTCATGTGCAGACCGGTACGTGAAAGTGCTGGCAATACGGGATGAGCTGGCCCTCTATATGGGCCAGTCGAGCCCCAAGCTGTGGGCAATAGTGAAGTTGCTGGAAAAGTATACTATAAAAAGGAGTTTTGATATTTGTGCGGTTGCCCATGACACTCTGGACCACAGTTGGGTTTCTAGATCTTGTACAATATCACACACTGGCCATTCACGCCGGCATGACTTCCGGGGAGCGGGATGCAGTGGCCAAGAACTTTAACAACCCAGACTACCGGGTTGACTGACTGGTGACTACCTATGCTTGCAGATCCGTGGGACTGAATCTGCACAAAGCGTGCAATGTCGCAATCCTAGCTGAGCCACCAATCAAAATGAGCACACAGAACCAGGCCATGTGCCACGTCCAGTGCCTTGAGAGCGAGCCCACACTAGTGGCTAGCAGGTTAAAGCTATGTTTTTAACACTATACTTTCCGTATAACTCGAAGGGGGGAAGTAAAGTGAGTTGTTAAGGGTTTAGGTTTCCCTTGGGGTTATCAGGATATTTTATTCTGGGCTTTGCTTCATGCCATTTTATCTACATACGTTATACCAAGGAAGACGCATGTATTTGGCTTAGCATAGTTATAGATACGAGTCCTTATAGCCACTGACTACATAGGACTATATAATGAAGAACAGCAATCTCAGAGCAAACTCACTTTATCTCCGTCACGTTGTTTCTAACCTGGATAGTATTGTTTCCTCCATGCTCTGGCTACCTATTCATGCTCAGTAGTTGACTTCACCTGCAAAATTTAGCCGCCTAACTAGTTAGTTAGTCCTGGGCCCTAACTCCAGGCCATTTCTCGTGCACGTGACGATCGCTAGGCGCGGTGTCGCGTCTTGGTGCAAGCAAGCTTCTTCAACTTCAAGACTCCCAGTAGAGTAAGCTGAGGGGGGATGAGACGTAGAGGGTGTTTTAAGATAGCTTGATGGCATTCTTCTGCCACATTCATGCTGAGCTCTACGTTGGTTTTTACTCTTTTCGCCGTTAAAACCAGTAACGGAGCAGGTATTACCTGCTCGGCTGCTGCTGCTGCCTAGTGGATGAATCTAGAGATACCTCTCGCATACTACCTATATACGGCATAAACTCGAAACCTGGGGGCTAACGGCAAATCCAAGTGAGACTGCAGATATATAGTAGCTAGAGATGTCGCCCACAGGTATGAACATCTTTCACTCGGGTAGTGATACCGTGCTGACTCTTCGAAGGTGCCGACACAATTCGCATTCTTGTCTCAACAGACAACCATGTTGGATACAATGAACGTGACCCTGTACGGGGCGATGACAGCTGGAAAAGTTTTCATGAGGTGATGTGCCTTGCGAAAGAGAGAGATGTCGATATGGTGCTCCTTGCGGGGGACCTATTCCACGAGAATAAACCGTCCCGAAAGTCCATGTACCAGGTGATGCGGTCTCTGCGCATGAACTGCTTTGGGGATAAACCTTGCGAGCTGGAGATGCTCAGCGACGCCAGCGAGAACTTTCAAGGGGCTTTCAATCATGTCAACTACGAGGATCTTGACATTAACGTAGCCATACCCGTTTTCTCCATACATGGGAACCACGATGATCCATCTGGTGAAGGCCACCTGGCCGCCCTTGATCTGTTGCAGGTATCAGGCCTGATAAATTACTACGGCCGCACTCCAGAGTCTGATAATATCCAAATTAAGCCTGTTCTGCTTCAAAAGGGACGTACAAAGCTAGCCTTGTTTGGGATGAGTAATGTACGAGACGAGAGGCTATTTCGCACGTTCAGAGATGGAAAAGTCAAGTTCTTTCGACCGTCGATGCAGCAGGAAGACTGGTTCAATCTTATGAGCGTGCATCAGAACCATCACGCACACACAGAGACCGGTTATCTACCAGAGACATTCTTGCCGGATTTTCTCGACCTGGTTATCTGGGGCCATGAGCATGAGTGTCTGATAAACCCTCGATTAAACCCAGAGACAAATTTCCACGTTATACAGCCAGGCTCGTCGGTAGCAACGTCCCTTGTCCCTGGTGAAGCCGTACAGAAGCATGTCACCATACTAAGCATAACCGGACGTGAATTCAAGTCGGAGCCCATTTTGCTAAAGTCCGTTCGGCCGTTTGTGACCAGAGAAGTTGTTCTGAGTGAAGAAAGAGAGATGCAAAAGGTTTCCAGAAAGGAAGACACTCGGACTGAAACGACCCGATTTTTGATGGGTATTGTGGAGGAGATGGTCGAGGAAGCCAGGAATGAATGGCTACAACAGCGAGAGAGTGCCGGCGATGACGACGATGACGACGAAGTTGAATTTCCTCTACCGCTTGTTCGGTTGAAAGTCGAAACATCGAGGCCTGGCGGAGGAAATTTCGATTGTGAAAACCCACAGCGTTTCTCGAACAGATTCGTCGGCAAAGTCGCCAACGTTAACGATGTTGTACAATTCCACCGCAAGAAGAAAGGAACAGCCCTTGCGCATGGCAAATCTGATGCACCAGATGAATCAGCCGTGTCCCATCTCGTGGCCCTTGACGCGATTAAGGTGGAACAGCTAGTTCGAGAGTTCCTTACGGCGCAGTCATTAACAATTCTACCTCAAAATTCGTTCGGAGATGCCGTTTCCCAATTTGTCGACAAAGACGACAAGTATGCTATGGAAATGTTTGTCAACGATTCGCTGGAAAGCCAGATTAAACATCTGATGAACCTGGATCGTGATCAGGATGGAATTGATGAGGATGACTATGAGCGAGAAGGAATCATCCAGGCTGCTATGGATAAATATCGTGGACAGCTTGAAGAACTATTTGCTAAAGGCAAGGGTAGGCGAACAGGCGGGAAGAAACGATTCAAGCCCAAGCCCGATGGCTGGGATACGGAATTCGATGGAGTATGGGAGGATCAACCTGGTGCATTGATACATTCCGACTATGAAGACGGCCGTAACAATGATGACGAAGAGGACGAAGCCCCTGCCAGAGCTACGACTGCAAGTAGAAGACGGGGTGCATCCAGCGCGGCGTCAACGTCAACTCGTGGTCGAGGCAGGGGCGCCAGTCGAGCAGCAGCCAAAACTACGACAACAACAGCACGAGGAAAAGCAAAGACTGCTGCTGCACCGACCCGAGGATCTAAAAGAGGTGTCTTTGACGACGATGATGAAGATGACGATGAAGCTTTCCAACAAACCATACCCGATGATGACGACGAGCCTGTGATATTAGATGATATCCCTGAAAATATTGACGATGATGAAGACCTGTTCGTCCAACAATCAGCTCCAAAGACTCGAGGTAGAGCAGCGCCAGCTACCACAACAAGTAGATCAAAAGCAGCATCTACTCGCAAACCTGCTGCGCGGACAACAGCAGCCAGCAAGAAAGTCCAGGGCACATTGAACTTTGGCCGGTCTCAGCCTAGCCAGAGCCAAACATTAGGTGGCACCAATATCAGTGTCAGTGGCTCAAGTACAAGGCCTACGCGAGCAGCTGCTACGAGAGCAGCCCGCAGCGTCAGCGTGATGAGCGATGGAGTTGAATATGATGATGACGAAGATGCGTTTGAGCCAGCGCCTATTGTCAGTAGTGGGCGCAGCTCAAGGAGAAGATGACATCTATTCAACTAGATACACAATCAATTTAATAAAATTATTTATTTTCAACACCTTCCTTTTTCCGACCTGCCAGCGGAGTCCACTGACTCTCCGCCCGAGAAACAAGGGCGGACCCACATGAGGAGGACATGTAATATAATAACAAGTGTCAAACCTCAGAGAAACTTGTAGCCACCACCGGAAGTTGGCGAAGAGTGGGAGGTACTTTCAGAGTTACCTGGGGCTGGAGTAACTACATGCACAACAAAACACGGGTCAAGTATAGAACCGCTTTGTAGAATACGTACGGAGTACGCCGTATCATCACTCGTCTACATAATCATGAGCCAACTATCATGCACTGTTGGTGCTTGTGGGCGTGATATTGAATCCACATAATTAGGCTGTCCCGGGGCCCTCATTAGTGTCTGCAGGGATGAGGCTTACTTAGGATGACTTTAAATAACTTAACAGGATGACTGCATAACACTTTGGGAGGCATCCCAACCCTTTTTTTCTTTCGTAGCCTTATGTTCGAATCTGGCCTTATTTTTTTCTTTTCACAACGTTGATGGCCACCTACGTAGCTAATTCTAATTTCCGCTGCCCTTTTCGGAAGGACCAATTAGCCAAACGTAACTGTCAGCTAACTAGTTATTAATATGCAGCATTGGCCTTTTTGACATGCGGCGGCTCCTTGTCCTCCCTGAAGACAATCCTATTCAATCAGCAGTTAAATACGGTATAATCTATGTCTAACAAATATCCATAGAGTAGCTTAGGAAATGCTAGAGAGTAGTCTAGTATATAGATAGAGTGCTCAACGTTGGCTGTATTCAATGCTTCCAATCACTGTCTACCGCTGTTGGAGCTTTGGAGCTACTCTTGTGGATTTATGGAGTAGGTAACATGAGGCTGATTTAAGCTACCCTTGTACCCTTTTATAGTTCAACGCATTTTGTTATCTTCTTATTATCTATCTTGGCTCTTTTTCCTTCCTTACTTCATTCTCTATTCTCTTTACGCCTTTCTAGCAATGAAATGGAGGGTATGACAGCCACAAAGCTTGTTTGCCACCATGTGTATAGGCTTAAGTTAAAGTAGTCAAGTTGGACATCAACGCTCTCTATTTAGTCAAGTCTATGGCAATGCTATGTATATATATACTAAAAGTGCATAACTAAGGTAATGTGAGCTACTGCTTTTGCTCTTCGGTCGTCTTCCGCTGAGCGAGCAACTCATCGATCTTGGGCACCTTGGCGACAAAGGCCTTGACAGCCGGTCTCTCGTTGCAACGATCCCACCATGCCTTGAGGGCAGGTCTGGAGGTAATGATATCACCATATCCGCGCTCAAACACCCTAGCCAGCTGAGGGATGTAATAGACATCTACAAGGGTATACTTGTCACCGGCCCAGAACTTCTTCCCGGTCTTGGAGAAGATGGACTCGGCGATGTCAAAGTACTCGCCGAGAGCCTTCTGGCCTTCTTCCAGGACGGCCTGGTTGGTCGGTATGCCTACAAGGGGCTTGATGCCTGACTCGTAGACGATGGAGGAGACGGGGCGGTCGAAGCAGGCGGCTTCAGCGGCGTATTCCTGCTCGAAGAGGGCGACTGCTGCTTGGTCGTTGGGGTTGGGGAGGAGGTCGAAGTTGTAGCGGGTACAGAGGTAGCGGGCTATGGCGCGGGATTCCCACATGGTGATGCCGTCTGAGGTGACGATGGTAGGTACCTTGCCGAAGGGGTTGCGGGCACGGAATTCGGGAGACTAGAAGCTGTTAGTTGCAAAGTAAAAGAGTAGCAGTGTATGTATAACTAGTTATACTAGAGTAGGACCTACATTCTGCTCCTTGGTCATCAGGTCAACGGTGATGCTTTCATAGTCTGTAAAGCCGGCCTCACCCAGGGTGAGCTGGACACGGTCCGGTGCCGTGGCAAGGGGGTGGGTATAGAAGGTGAATTGAGGCATCTTGAGTTGGGTACTCGTACTAGCTTTGTATGTATTGGGTTGTTGTTGTTGTTACTGCTGTTGATAGTGATAATGATTGATGATGATGATGCCTACTATCACTGCTGAGCTGCTCCTTTATATACCTAGGTGCTTTAGGTAGTTCCTAACCCCCACAATCCTTCATCTTGTATAACTGTCCTCTACTGCTGAGTGTAGCTATGTCCATTTCCGCCAAAGACCAGAGACGGACGGCAAGTTCGCCCGTGTCGGGACAGCTCTACCGTCCGTCCGTCCCAAAATCTCATCCTTCAGCTCGTCCGAAGAAACATCCCGTCTTCGAGGGCGGGTATCAGCCAGTGGGGAGAGAGCTCTTAGCGGACCCCCCTGGCCAGGGGTGCAGCCTTACCAATCCTTCACCACCGCTTACCAACCTTTTATCCCGATGCCGAACTCGACACCTATCTTCGCCCATCTACTCCGTCCATCTCTTCTATCTGCATCTCGTCTGTATATCCTGGTTATCTTGAGGGTCAAAAATAAAAAAAAAACAGTAAAAAAAAGTCAACTGTCAAATGTCCTCCCTGCGACCCGCACGCCGACGTGATCTGGTGCCGCCATCCCCGAGTGGAAGGCCTCTGCAGAATTGCTTCCCTCAAGCGTCTCTTCCATGTCTTAGCAGCGCCGCAGCCATTCGTGGATTACTCAGCACGAGTGCGGGAGAACCTTTTACCCCGAGGAATAAAAGGTGGCGACTCGAGGATTCGAACCAGGCGTCAAGGTCGTGGTCACGTGAAGTGGTTCGGGGCGCAAGTTGAGGGCGCGACAGTTTCCCTTCGGCCATTACAGCTATAAGAGGCTAAGGGGGCAGCTAGCAGTAGAAGAGTAGGTGGGTAAGTTACTTAGTTATTAGGGCATTAGTCATCATGCGTTAGTCAGCCATCGCGGGGTCAGAGGAGGTCGAGACCTAAGCCCTAAGTAGCTAAAGACGCCCGTAGCTGCTGCATCAACCACTTCTACCGGAGTTACGGACGACATCTCCTGCTCTTGTCAGACTTACCAGGGTCAATGTTCACAGTCAATGGATGAATAACGGAATAAAAATAAAAGGAGGATAGATTCGAGCCAGGAACCAGAGAAAGAACGAAAAAAAGGGTTGGGAGGCCTCCCAAAGTGTTATGCAGTCATCCTGTTCAGCTATTTGATAGCGTCATCCTATTTGACTTTACCAACAGAGACACTAACGGCGAACGAGGTACCTTAGGCGGGTAGGTTCACGGTGGTCTCGGTAGAAGCTTGCTAACGTCTAACATCAGTGTATAGAAGACAGACAGACAGGAGGCCCTTGACGGGAGGCCAGACACACCCATGAGAGACATATTATATGTATCAACATCCATGAAGGGCATCCGTGGGGAGATCCATGGAAGAGATCCGGGATTGACAACCGCGGGTGGCCGCAGGATCGCCGGCTAAGAGATGAGATGCTGACATATCAAAAAATAACACTCGGAAGTTAGTTGACTATCGATGGAGCTCCAAGAGAACAGGCCGAGTCGGCGAGGGAGACGCCGAGCGAGATGCCGAAGAGCAGCAAAACTTGACGCCGTTGCCGCCGGCAGCCTGGAAGACTTCGATACGGAGCACTTTTATCTCTGGACTATCTCCGATTCTGAGCAGCTAGCAGTGGCTCTTGTCGACAGAGATTGGTCAGGTTCTCCAGTGACTGTTGTCGGCCGGGTTTCAGGCAGTTTCACAGGCGGAGGAGGGGAAAGACGAGGAAGATCAGCCCAGGGCTCCCGATGACGAGCCACGACAAGCCATGCAGCGCCATGCAGAGCCCATGCAAGACGGTGGCAGGCCATAGGCAGGATACAGCCAGATACAGCCAGGCTCTCGGCAGGCTAATCGCAAGGGAATGGGAAGGTACATGCGGGGAGCGGGCGGTCCCCCTGGCCATGTCTGTCTCTGTTCCGTATACAACTGCGTACAGGAGGCATAACTACCTGGAGCCTGTCTGAGCATGTCTGAGCATTCCCGTCCATGCCTCGCCATAGGCCGACATCCGGCCATCCATGCGTTTTACTAGTGAACTCCCGTGCTTGAGAGTGCCCTAGTGGGCGTCGAGGTACTTATAGCACTCGCCGACCCCACTTCCAGCTGTCCCCCTTCCCCGTCTCCCTCTTCTTCTTCTTCTACTTCTTCTCTTCCTCCTCCCGCTTTCTTCCATCTCAACAACTTCATCTCACCCTCATACCATCATCACCAGCAGCAATCATGGCCCTTTCACAGAAGATCGAGACTCCCACCGCCACCTTCGAGCAGCCCCTCGGCCTGTAAGTTCAACGCTCCCCGAGCTTGTTTGCTGCTGTTTGCTGCTGTTTGGTGTAGTTATATATGGCATACTGACGGAGAGACAGGTTCATCAACAACGAGTTCGTCAAGGGCTCCGAGGGCAAGACCTTCGAGACCATCAACCCTCACAATGAAAAGGCCATCTGTGCCGTTCATGAAGCTACCGAGAAGGATGTCGACATTGCAGTTGCTGCTGCCCGCGCTGCCGTCGAGGGTCCCTGGAGAAAGGTCAACCCCAGCGATAGGGGACGCATGCTGACCAAGCTCGCCGACCTGCTCGAGCGTGATATCGAGATCATTGGTGCCATCGAGGCCCTTGACAACGGCAAGGCCCTGTCCATGGCCAAGGCAGACGTCGTCAACGCTGCCGGATGCCTCAGATACTATGGCGGCTGGGCCGACAAGGTCGAGGGCAAGGTCATCGACACCGACCACGAGACCTTCACCTACACCCGCCACGAGCCCGTTGGTGTCTGTGGCCAGATCATCCCCTGGAACTTCCCCTTGCTCATGTTCGCCTGGAAGATCGGCCCGGCCCTGGCCACCGGTAACTCCATCGTCATGAAGACCGCCGAGCAGACCCCTCTCAGCGGTCTCTACGTCGGCAACCTCATCAAGGAGGCTGGCTTCCCCCCTGGTGTTGTCAACGTCATCTCTGGCTTCGGCCGTGTTGCCGGTGCCGCCATCTCCTCCCACATGGACATCGACAAGGTTGCCTTCACCGGCTCCACCGTCGTTGGCCGTCAGATCCTCCAGGCCGCTGCCAAGTCTAACCTCAAGAAGGTCACCCTTGAGCTCGGCGGAAAGAGCCCCAACATCGTCTTCAACGACGCCGACATTGACAATGCCATCAGCTGGGTCAACTTCGGTATCTACTACAACCACGGCCAGTGCTGCTGTGCCGGCTCCCGTATCCTCGTCCAGGAGGGTATCTACGACAAGTTCCTTGCCCGCTTCAAGGAGCGTGCCAACCAGAACAAGGTCGGCGACCCATTCAAGCCAGACACCTTCCAGGGTCCCCAAATCTCTCAGCTCCAGTTCGACCGTATCATGGGCTACATCGATGAGGGAAAGAAGGCCGGTGCCAAGGTCGAGGTCGGTGGTGAGCGTCACGGAACCGAGGGCTACTACATCCAGCCTACCATCTTCAGTGAATGTACCGACGACATGAAGATCGTCAAGGAAGAGATCTTCGGACCTGTCTGCACCGTCCAGAAGTTCACTACCGAAGAAGATGCCATTCGCATTGCCAACAACTCCTCCTACGGTCTCGCTGCCGCCCTCCACACCAAGGACCTCAACACCTCCATCCGTGTCTCCAACGCTCTCAGGGCTGGGTAAGATTACTCCTGTTATAGAAACTAAGTAGAATACGTGCTAACAATTGGTAGAACCGTCTGGGTCAACTGCTACAACCTCATCTCCTACCAGTCTCCCTTCGGTGGATTCAAGGAGAGTGGTATCGGCCGTGAGTTGGGAGGTATGTTATCATTTATCCCCTGCCCCCCACTTCAAAGTATATCTACTAACTTCTTTCTAGAATACGCTCTCGACAACTACACCCAGATCAAGACCGTTCGCATCCGCCTCGGTGACGCCATGTTCGGTTAAACGAAGGGTAGTAGGAGTATGCTAAATTGTCATGTCATGCCGTGTAAACGACTAGGTACTGGGGTTTCAAACAAAATAATTTATTAACAAAAATGCAATGAAATGAATCATGTTCACCCACACACACACGTCCTTTGGATATTCATTCAATAATAAATAAATAAACCCAAGTATAGAAAAAACCCCGACAGCAATCAATGCATGCTAGTGTCTAACTCTTAGCACGGACGGACCGCACACATCCTATATTCATGATATGTTTGCTCATATACTCGTAAAACGAAAGAGAAAAAAAAAAAGGAAAAGAAACAGGTGGGGAAAGAGAGGGAATAACCAGATCAAACGCCAACCCATGCCAACACCCACCTACTCGGCAGGCCGAAGTCGAATAAAGGTTTAATGGTTGGAGTCTTTCTTTAAAGGAAGTACTCTGCCTTCTGCGGCCTAGTGGCAGGAACATGTCTCATCTCAGCCGGCACAGCAGCGAAGAGCTTAAAGACGGGCTTCAGGTCTTCACGCACTTCACATACACTCGCCATGTTGGCGCAGCGGTAGCAGTAGTTGGGTGCACTCCAGACCGTGACCATGGCCTGGCTGTCAAAGTGGTATTTGTATCCTTCGTTGACCAGCTGGTGGGCTCGGGCGATCAGGTTAAGGTCGTTGACGGCGCAGAACTCATCCGCCACGCGGCTACCAAATAACCAGCCTAGAGACGTTAGCATACCCAATCTTCCATAGAAAAAACATTTATAGAAAGTAAGAGGAATATCCTACCGGCTCCACGAGGACTGACGGCCCATGTTAAATCATCCGTTTCATCTGGATCAGACCAGACAAGATCGCAAAACGCACCCTCATGCGGAATCTCCTGCGCCCTCGCTACGATACGCACTTGATCCAGCGTTCGAATCTCCGGACTGAATCCACCACATAACACACACTTTCCCATCACATACGCCCAAAGTCATAAAGTCAAACACCTGACAACACGCCTTGCCACACCGATGCGTTGCCGTATTTCTGCACACACTCATCGTAGAAGCCATACACCTGCGTAATCTGCCTTGACTCATGGTTCCCCGCACCAGCGTGATTTTATTCGGATACCGCGCTTTCAAACACAGTAGCAGTGTAAGTGTCTCCAGACTGAAATACCCTCTATCCACATAATCGCCTAGAAAGATGAAGTTGCCTATAGGGGAGGCGCTTTTATCTTCTCCTTCTCCCCCGCCGCCGCCGCCGTCGTGCTTATTAATCTGCGTCGCTTGTCCGCCTGTCTCTTCGTCCCCGTCATCCTCTATCACGGAATTAGGAGGCGAGCTCTTCCGTAGCCGTTGTTTCAACTTGGGATCTGTGATGACCGATGGTGGCTCAATGTCTTCCGACGTTATTATCGGTGCTTGCGTGGAAGGGGCAGCAGGGCGAGTGTCGCCGGGCATCCCACCGGCTACGCGGAAAAGCTCGAGCAGGTCGTAGAATTGTCCATGTATATCACCGCATATCGTCACGGGAGTGGAAACCGGTTGAATGTTGGATTCTAGTTTGTTAGTTGGACGATCAAATCAACTTTGATAGGGTGCATGTGCTCGTGAGTGCGTGTGTTTGTGTGGTGCGGCAGGCAACGTACCCTCCATCATGTACTCCTTGACCAGCTCACATAGCTGCTTCATGTGGTGTTCGGACAGGTACTTGCAGTTTTTGGCTGCCTCGAGCCACTCGTCTGGACCGGCATTGGGCTTCAGTCGCGCTGGGCCAGGCTGGGGGACTGACGGGTCGACCATCGTGGGGACTCAACCACAGGCGGGCACAACAGTCATCGACGTGGCAGTTCAACTCTCGGGGATGCCGTCGTATCTTATCTCGTATCTTGCGACTGTTGGCCTGCTGTAAATGCGTGTGTTCCTCTTGTTACTGCTGACGTCGACCTCGCCGCCGTCTTGTGTCTCGTCTTGCCGCTTGTGTTGCTGCTTTCGCCTTTTGTTCCGCTTCTGCTTTTTCTCTGACGTTGGTCGTCCTGCTTAGTCATCTGTCTCCTTTCGTCCGCCCTTCTAGAAGAACTTTAATATTAAGCGTAAATTTTTAGCTTGTTCTATTTTTCGACATCATCGAGTCAAAAAAAGGCTGAGAAGGACAACGGAGAGCGGACAAGATGATCAACAAGGTCTACGGACTCACCATGCTCTTGAGGCTGCTACTCGTGTTCGGAGGAAACAAGCCCCCCTAGCTCTTAATGCAAGCGAGCTATAGGCGTCATATCGTGGCAGGCCTCGCTTTATTCTGCTGCCGGGGTGGCAAGCCCTGTTACAGGCTGGCGGGGGCATTTTTCTTCATTATTTTATTCGGTCGCTGGTGGCTGAACTAAAGTGCGCGTCTAGTGAAGCAGCCCCAGTCGCATAAACGTCCAGCCCACTCAATGAGATGCAACCCCGGCAAGGACGAAAAAAACGTGGTTGTTCTCCATGCAAGCCCCCAGCCTTGCGACATCAGTATCACCAGCTAAACTAAAGCAGCCTGGCTCTTCCCATCACCACCCCTCCAAACGTCGTGATACATAAAGTATCCACCTTCGATCCTTGAATGGGAGGGAAGGCCGTATGCATCAGCCGCGAAGAAGAGGAAAGTGAAAAGTGGGAAAAGCAAAGGGGATAAGAGGAGAAAAAAAGTAGTTACTCGTGAGCTGCGACATCTGAATGTCAAACTCGCTCCACATCCCTAGGCAAGCGCCGAGGGTCGAGTCGGTTCTAATTTTTTTTGTCATCTTTACGGTGTGGGTTCGAGATAATATTCTGGAATTGAATTTGTGATCATCTCCTCCCTCTTCTTCCATCGCATCATGATGCATTCTGTTTCGCTGTCTTTCTTTCCTCTGGACAGCAGCCATGGTATCTAACTCACAATGTCAGTTCTTGACCTGGGTCCGGAAGGCTTCAAGGTCAAAAAAGCACCATCTCGATCATAGCCATCATCAGAAGGCTTTCGAGATCGAGAAGGATTTTAATATTTCCTCCTCGTCCATATCGTCCGACGGCACAGAAAGACAGTCACTTGATAAGTGCCATCAGCATACATCCTCACCGGCTCGACTATCACTCTCTCGGCTTATTGCAGACGATGCTGCTGAGGTCGACCGTCTTCTGCTGGCATGTAGGGAACTCGGTGGCTTCTACCTGGACCTAACATCAACCGAACTTGGTGAAAATGTTATATCCGAGGCAGACAGGCTTTTTACCCTCGGAGGAGATGTCTTCAACCTTCCGGAGAATGAAAAGAGAGAATACGATATGGCCAAGTTTGGTGGTTATTATGGGTAAGAAGGAGTTCTAGATTTATCGCGTCTGCCTAATATTATATTGTAGCTAACAAGAAGTGTTTGCAGATATAAAGGATACCGCAACCGAACAATGGACTTCAAAGAATTCTACACTGTCTCAAAGGACGAGATATTGGGCATTCAATGTCCGACAAAGGCCCCTCAACCTCAGCCTCCACTTATACAGTCATCTCGCCCTCTAATACAAACATATATCCGAAACTCCCACGCCATAATATCTCTAATCCTCTCCCGCCTGGCCACGGCCTTGGACCTACCGCCAGAATCCTTAGAAAATATTCACCGTCGCGACGCAAACAGCGGGGACCAGATACGGTGGATCAAGCTGCAGGCAAGCAAAGAAGCGCGCCCGCCGCCAGAGAATGATGTCCTGCTGGATGAACACTCAGATTCAAACAGCGTTACACTTATATTCAACCAATCGGGCGGTCTACAATTCAAGTCGCCCCAGCCAGATTCTTCACCTCACAGCTACCCTATACCCAGGGACAATCCAACTCCCGCTATCACCTCTACGGCTCCCACTACCAATCCTACACCCTCTCCAGAAAGCTCAGTTGACTTCTCTGGAGGTCCGAGTTTCCCTGCTAACTGGATACCCGCAAACCCTCTACCTGGCCACTGCATTATCCTAATGGGCGAACAGATCGTTAAACTCACTGAAGGCGGCGTCCGTGCAAACGTGCATCGTGTCTGCGCAGTGCCCGGAATGCAAGGCAGCAGCCCCCGGTACTCACTTGTATACTTCTCTCGACCTGAAGATGACGTTATCCTGAAACAACTTGCCGGGATCCCCGTTGTTCCAAAACCAATGACCACGCCAAAGAGCTCGCGTGAGCAACCGAGCCAATGCAAGCTAATAGGCAAGGTATTTGAGGGGAAAGAGTGGATGGGATGGGCAAAGCCGTCGTCGCCTCGCTTCAAGCAAAAGAGGTAGCTTAACGCGAAAGCGGATGAATCTTATTATATATATCTATCTATATATGCATTTTCGTTATGATGATTGGTAATGAGCGATGCGATGTATGGAGGAATGTACTCGTTAGAAAGTTGATGCCCAGGCGGAATTGTTCTATTCTTGTTCATATTATTACTTGTCATTATATATTATTTCACATGGATACTGAGGCTATTTGGAGTTACTTTTGGGCACGGTTGATAGATGGTGTACATGCTCGTGCATATCGAAGATATTTTTTATACATGTCATTTCGTACAGCTGCACAGATGGACCGTTTTTGTATTAGATAAAATGTATTAGCTTTGCGTATACCCCGACTCTTCTGTCTTGAATCTAGATGAACATTATTCTTTTATCTGGTAAAATGTCCTCCATACGCAATTGACACCGAAAAAGACCCTGGCATCGGGGCTAGGGTGAAAGGAAGGCGGCGGGTATCGAGATCTCTTCTTGTCCCGTAACCATCACGAACGGTGGGTCCAGGGCCGGTGTTAATTTCGCTTTGCGAGCCTAGATCACACTCAACCGCAGCAAACGGTGACCTCACATGCATCGCTTAAAGGGAGCTCGTTAGCTAGAACCAACCAAGCACGGGCGTTAGGGCAAAAGACATGTTGACGGTTTCGGGAAGGAAAAAAAGTTAAATATTGGAGAGACGGGAGATTTTACCTCTTATCTTTGCTCTTCCAGGAAAACACAAAGTGACCCAGGAATGCTCCAATGAGGATACAGATGATAAAATACCCATTGTAGTACATGGCTAACAGCATCACAAAATATGCTACACCAAACTGTACCATATGCAGCAGAGACCGAAGCGTGTGCTGCAAGAGCGTTGGAGAATGTCTTCCCCCCATTGGCTGTGGCAATCCAATGGAACCAGGGACAGTCGGCTTGGGGCTACCTGAGTCTTCGGTGTATTCGCTGCGAGAATTCGCTGCTGCCGTGGAGGAGGATCCGGAGCCGAAGCTGTCGAACAGGGAAGGTTGGCCCGCGACGTGTTTATCGAACTCGCGGCCTAGGCGGCGGAGAAACTCGAGAGACATGACGAGCAGTATCACGCCGATACATGAACCAGCGAACATTCCCCTGGACGTGATTCGCCATGTTGATGATATGAAGCCTATTCCGTCACGTCGTAAGAAGGTTGTGCTGCGATAAGACGGAATCTGTTTGTTAACAGAGAAAAGGGAGCTCACATGCGTCGATGACGTTCCAGTTCCAGAGCATCTAGTGTGTATAATGAGCAGGGGAAGCAAGCTAGAAGTTTGATAGACGCGCGAGATGAAGATGAGCTTACGGATATCTTGCACTGGTTACCACCCATACCATGGTCCATACCATGATGCATACCATGATGCATATCATGGCCGCCGGTGGGCATGGGCATGCTGCTAGTCATCATCATGGCCATATCCATCTTCGCTTCGCAGTATTAGGTACTCGATCACTTTGTGTCGACTGCGGATAATTGGTATGCAGATGAACGAAAAGAAATAGAAGCCGGTTGACAAAAGGAAGCCAGTCGGGGATATACAGTAATATATACTTGGCAGCTGGCGAGTTATATAGTCATTATAACCGTTTGCTGTTCCTTAGCAGAGTGACTGGCGTGACCATAGAAAAGCAGGACAAGAGCCGGCGCCAACTCCACCGCACGACAGGAGCAAGCTAAACGTGCAAAAACATGCTCAAACATGCTCGACATCATCTTTGGCATCCATCGAACCAGCAGACGCGCTTAGGAGGCAGTCCTGGTCGCACAAAGGGCGCAAGGTGGTTGAGCAGGACAGATACAAGAAGCCGGCTCGGCAACCCTGGGAAACGCATGGGATCGATCTCTTTGGGGGAGGGAGCAGAGCTGGGCCAGCGGGCTAGTTAGTTAACTAATACACGCCCTTTGTAGCACCATACTGTTGCATGGTCTCGCTCGGTAGGCTCCATGAAGCCTTCACACCAGCTCCTGTCTGCCATGATACATGGCGTTGATATAGGGAACTTGGCACTAAACGACCGATGTAGTAGTGACAGTAAGAAAGTGTTAGTTATTTATCGAAGCGGATGCATCACGTGAGAGAGCTTTGGGTTCAACGTCCATCGATGCTTTGTGGATTTTGTGACGGCGAGAACATCAAACAGACATCAAGCAGCTTGCAAGGACGGAGCTGGAGGAGAAGACTGGCATATACATTGCGCTTTTTAGACTGCTGTTGGACCCATGTCGCAGAAGGCTCACCAAAAGGCGTCTCCCGGGGTTCTTGCTATCAACCCGTCGGCCACGCAGAAGGCTGCTCCTCCGCCCGCACCATCCAAGGGACACTCCAGCAAAGGGAATGCCCCCCGTCTAAAGCTACATGTGAGGCGCCTGCCCCCTGGCCTGACGCAGGCTGAGTTCGAGAGTACGTTGGGGGACTACTGGAAAGTCGGGCAGGGGAAAATCGACTGGTTTCTCTTCAAGGAGGGGAAGGTCTCTACTGAGTCAGTGTTCCATAACTAATACCCAGCTTGCAAGACCTGTGGCTAACAGCGGTGTCTTTCTTGAGTTATAGCCCTTCGAAACCTTCTCGTCCCGGAAGGGCGTATTTGCGAGTCACATCATCAGTAACTATCCCGGAGCTGTCAGAGGCGATCCGCCAAACTGCGTTTCGCGATGCTCGAAATACGTGCAACGATTCCGCCCTGCTTGGACCCCCAACACTGGAATATGCCCCCTTTTCACGTGTGCCCAGCGTAAAGACTCGAAATGATGCTCGTGTAGGCACTATCGACCAGGATGCCGAATTCATAGCCTTCCTTGAGAGCTTGACCAACCCAGTCACCAAACCGCCCGAGGAGGAGACGGCCGAGACTGCAGACAAAGCAGAAAAACCAACCATCACTCCACTTATCCAATACCTAAGAGAGAAAAAGGCAAACAAGGCAAAGGAGGTTGCTGCGGCAAAAGCAGCGAAGCAGGCCCGGTCAGCTGCTGTCAAAGAGAGCAAGACTGAAAAGCCGATCGGGAAGAAGCAACTCCTTAGCCGTGCAGACAAGTCAATTCCAGAGAAGCAAAAGAAGGACAAGACAGCCAAGGAAGTTGCTGTCAAGGATGCTGTAAAGGCTGCAAATAAACAGGCAGCAAACGGATCTACCAAACCTGATAGTAAAGCCTCACCTGGCCCTGCCAATCCAGCACCTCCGACTTCCCCAGCACCCGAACGAAGGAGGGAAAGAGGCAGCCTCACTGCAGCTACTAAGATCCTACGACGCGATTTGGGCCTCACTACTCCTACACGAAGGAGGGAGAAAGCTGGCCAGTCCTCTTCTTCTGGGCCCGGCGGCAGCTCTGCCACGGAAAGTGCAAAGAAGGACCAACCATCAAGCTCAAAATCAGAAAATAATAATAATAATAATAACCCTGCGTCCACGCCCAAGGGGAAGAACACCGCCGATTCCACGCCCAAGCCAACACCTAGCAAACAAACTAAAGGTACCCCACCCACCGAGCCAGCAGCAGCTCGAAATGCTGGTGCATCCAGAAAAACAGCAAATACCCCAACTACCCCCAATAACAAAGCGTCGGGCCAAAAGACCCAACAGCAGCAACAGTCCTCTCAATCACCGTCGTCAAATGGAACCCAAGCATTCCTCAAACACGCCAATCCTTCCCAAGGCGTAACGGAAGATCTACTTCAAAAAGGATTCTCACAGTTTGGCAAAGTCATACGTGTAGAGATTGATAAGAAGAAGGGCTTCGGATACGTCGACTTTGCCGAACCTGCGGGTCTCCGGAAAGCCATCGATGCAAGCCCCGTGTCAATCGCCCAAAGTCAGGTCGTCGTGTTGGAACGGAGAACGTCTACCGCTGTAGCACAGAATAGAGGCCATGGTAATCGTGGCGGCGGCGGCGGCGGCGGTGGAGGAGGAGGACAAGGTACAGCTCCCGGGAACGCACAACAACAGGCAGCACCACAAGGGTCGAGACCAGCTCAGACCGGGTCTTCTCCTGCAGCTGCACCTACAATTCCACCTACAGCATCTCCTGCCTCTCGAGGAACTCCCCCAGGTACTCGTGGAAGAGGGCCGAGAAGAGGCTATGGCCGAGGAGGAGTTGGAGGGCGTGGTAAATAGTTCCATAGCTGCTGCTTCTATAAATGATCACGTAACGCCATTACGATTAAAGCCTGCATAGATATGGATATGCACGTCTCGCTAGCAGTACAGAAAGATTCAGAAGGGTTCATTCTCTACTCGAGATCAGAAACTTGCCTACAGTAGACTACAAAAAAAACAAGAACAAAAAGATTTTTCAGATAAATTTCTTTCATTTATTCTACTAAGCAGTTAAACTAAACAGACATCCCACTCTAACAACCAATGGGTGAATAGAACCTTTCAGACCTCCTCGACACCCACCTTGCCAGGCCGACCGAAGTCAGACGCCAAAGACAAGGTAAAGATCATCACCACTCTCTAAATCAGCAAGATAAGATTCAATCCAACGCCGAAGCATCGTCATGTATCGTTATCACAGCCGAAGTATAAGCGAGAGTAAAAACGGCTTCACTTTAGGGCATCGAGGACATAAGGGTCATCAGCAAGGTTGGGACTCATGTCGCTTTCGTAAAAACTACAGAGTAGGGTCGTTTACTATAGAAATGCTGTTGGAAAGAGAATAGTTAGCATCATCATCATGAACATCACTTGTGTCAAGCCATGGGAGGTGACAGCTGTGGTGGGAAGCAAAATGTGTACTCACATTCTTTGAAGTAAAGTCGACTGGTTTTTAGAAAAGGGTTGAAGGGGAGGAGGACCTTTTATAGCTTTCCAAACCGCGCTAAAGCTAAGCGAGGATTCAAATTTTCAAAAATTTTCTTTGTGCCGAGGTACGGAGTAAGTCTTAGCCAATCATAGCAATGATTACCAGCAAAATACAAACAAGGCAAACAGCCTCGGATAAAGTATTCGGATAAAGTATTCGGATAAAGTATTTGGATAAAGTTAAGGTTCGGATAAACCGTGCGGGCCGAAGTAAGTCCGAAGTTACGTTTGCCCTTCCAAGTTTGGAAGGAACCTTCTTTTGATTCAACCATGATGACATTATAATATCAACTATTGAAAAAGCAACACAGCAGACTACTACATCGTGTGTTACAAGCATCTTTATCAGTAGCCGATGTGCGCGGCGGAGATAGCCGACATGGCTGTCTGGATGCGTACCACCGATCTGCGGTACACAACATCCAGCCATCAGCGTTGTGGCAGTCGGCGATGGCGATACCCCTAAACAAGATAATGAATGCAAACGCCCCGGACTAGGGATTCTCAGCTTGTGGACAGCTATAGTACGGGTAGTTGCATGCATTAGAGTATGCATATGTTCATACGTGATGGGGTGCTTTTACATCAGATTTCTTTTTACCCCCCTTTATTCTTTGTTTCTATTTGTGCCAGCAGGTAGATACGCCGCAAATCTTGCATAGCTCGGCTATCGGTCTGGTAGTTTTGAGATGCCATTCGTATTTCGCTACCCTCGGGTTGGATACCCGTAGCTATGGTAGTAATGGGATGTGAGAGCGATAGAGATAATACTGCCTGCTGCTACAACACCCCATCTTTGAATTAGCAATCATGTTAACACCCTGTTCCTCATCATGGTGTGATGTTGGGGTTAGACGATTATTGCCTATCTCAGGTGTTGCGGCTTCCTTTGAATCAGATTCCATCTGATTCCCCTTCTATTGTCTTTGTCTGTTTATCATTTCTTCAATCCTAACATTATGGGGCCGTTCGCATTGCCCCCTTGGCTAATTTACGTTTTTGGTCCCATTGGAGCTAGCCGCGGGCTATCACGGAGACAGACACAGGTTTATCGCGGTACTGGAACCCACTTTTACCCTTTCACCCAGCAAAGCTCAATGTTGTGAACGAGGCCGTCTACGACTGGTGGTATCTTGACGCTGTGTCAGACGATGGAAGCTCTTCCATAACCATCTGCTTCTCTACAAGCCCCTCTACTACATTCCCTTTCCTAGTGCCGAACAGGGGAACACTACTGGTCTATATATGGGCCTCATTCCCCAGTGGGAAGGTGTCGATAAATGCAGTTCATGCACAAAAAGCGGTTATTGAAACATCCAAGGATGGGTATGCAAGTATTTACCTCCCCGTGCAAATGGGATGGCAAGGGTCTGCAGATTTTTCACGGTACCGTATATTTTTCAACAACCCAAAGCATGGAATCAAAGGCACCGTCGATATCAGATCCGTATGTCATCCATCCTCAGGTCGTGGGTTGTTTCAACGTTTATGTCAACATTTGATAAGTAACTTCAGCCTTTTCTAAATAGCGCCACCACATTACCCATGCAGCGCCGCGTCTCGGGATGTGGATGTGCAAGTTTGTCCACATGTTGGGTGGGCCAACGCCATACCCGACGGCAATGCATCGGTTGATATGGCAATTGCAGGGTCGAGCCTCCGGTTTCATGGTACTGCATATCATGACAAGGTAAGTGTGCTGTGTAAAGCCACTGCAGCCCCAAACATTTTGTTTAACGTCTACTGCGTACCTCGTATTTATTTTATATGTACTCACCCCTATCTAGAATTGGAGTGATGTGCTGTTCACTAAGACAACGAAAACATGGTATTAGGGACGCACTCGCATTGGGTTGTACTCAGTCTTTTGGTCCTACGTGGTGACTCCTCAGCAAACCAAGCACGTTAGTGCCTACGTTGCTGTCAATGGAAAGATACGACATGCCGCTTGTTTCGTAGTAAGTGTCATGTGCATTCGAAAAAAAATTGCCCGCTCTAGTACGGATACTCTGCCTGTTGGATTTCAGGTTAAATATACTGCTTCTGGGGGAAACTCGCCTTTGGTCAATATATCCGTTTATAATAGCCTGGTAATCACATCGGCTGGCCCATCGTATACACACGGTGGATTGGAAACTCAACCGGATGTATTATGGGAAATTTTCGGCTTCAAGGACTCGGGACGTTCGAACAACTCCAGTTATAATTCCAGCAACGTGGTAACTTTGTTGTTTATCCTTCCCACCAAGTTGTCGGGTCTACGTGTTAAAACTTTGTTCGTTTCCAATTATCTTTGTCGAACCAAAAATAGTTAAATATATATCTAGATTTTCGTTAGTATGAACGATAGGGCACAACGATCAAACTACGATTGCAAAAGTTAGGAAATCCTAATAAACCTCCGGTATGAACGACGTTGGGTAGCTAGAGATAGAATAACACCGAACAGCGGGGAGTGTTACCGCAGACAGTTTCAAACATATATTCAAACACCAAGATTGGGCAACAAAAAGAATGCAAGCTATGTTTGCTAATTAGACGCGGCCGCAGAAGGGAATGTCAAGAAGGAAAACGTTTTTTATGTATCGCACCGCTTATGTGGAAAGTATGAGGCATTCAGGATGATGAAATCAGGCTAGTGGAAAGGGGAGAGAAAAGAAAGTCCAAAGACAGAGACTTAGGGAAACGGTGATTAAAAGTATATAGTTCGTAGAGGGTTGGTCATACAAGTACGGGAGCAATCAATGAAGGTAAAAAGCAGCCGCCCATGTAGTTAACGAAATAATGAGAATAAGAACTAAGCCACCTCTTAGCTTATTGCAGGGAACAAAGGAAATAGCCTCACGGAAGGCGATCAAGTGGTGGGATTATATTCCGCCATTACTACCCTTGCGCGATCCAGTTGCGGAGGGGGATGTGGCGCTGCTTCCATCTCGAAACATCCCTTGATTCCTGCTATGCTAGAGCATGGAACTTCCCTTATAATCCTTGAGTGTTCACTTTCGGAATGGGGGTCCTTGCCGCAACCCTTGACAAGTATATGTCTCTGCGAGATATGAGTCAGCACCTTGTTTATAACATAAAGGGATGAAAGAAATTACACAGGGATACAATAGGACATACCTTGAGAGCATCCTTTCTCGAAAAGCTTTTGTCACAGTGGTTGCAGGGGAATGGCTTGACAGCCAGGTGAATGCGCTTATGTCGTTTCAAGTCATGATTTCGATTAAAACTCTGTTGACAAGTGTCACACCTGAACGGCCTATCGTTTTGAGGGCCTGGTGGACCTAGCCCATGCATATGGTGAGTTTGTGGATGCTGATGCGTATACATCTGCTGTAAGCTGGCAGCGTGCCCACTATTAAATCCCGGAAGGAGATTTGGCTGCATAGAGCCTATCAAAGCCATCTGGCTAGATGGGTGATGGACATTGCTCATCACGGGGCCATTCATGGCCGGAAGAGAGTATGAAGGATATGGGCGGGTATATTGGGGGAGAGGCTGTTGGCCTTCAACAGAAACTTGTACCGGCATACCAAGTCTCTGGGTGCTGTCACTAACAGGAGTCTGGCTCATGGACATTGATGTGCCTGGATAAGGCTGGAAGCTAGATGGGTGCTGGGGAATAGGTGATTGTTGCGGGCCTGGGTAACGAAAACGGTGTCCATATGGGTCCAGTGGCGACTGTTGTTGGGAAGCCTGAGGCGATATATGGCCAGAATTTGTCTGGGAATCCATTAATGTTTGTGCCATTGTGTGGGATGAGTGTTGCTGTGATTGGTGTTGGTCAACTGGATTAGAAGAATGCTGCTGCGAGTCTTGTGACTGCGAATGCTGTGGTAGTTGTGAGATTGGTGGTTGTGAAGCTCCTGAAGAAGAAGGATACGGGGAGATTTGGCTGTACTGTGACAAGCTGTCTGCGGCAGTTGAAGGAGGGATGTTACGGCCTTTTCAGTCGCGTTAGTCATGCATATTTTTAATGAATCCAAAAATGAATAAGTCTTGGAGTCATACCAGCGTTGAAGGGAAGCGAGGGGACACCAGGCCAGTATGCAGTGTTGCTCTGCCCAGCGGAACCAGAAGTACTAGAAGCCAGATTTAATGAGAACGAGTTCGGCCGGTCTATCTGGGGTTTAGACGCCAGTCCGATAGATCTCTTCTGACCTCTGGGGGACGAAGAGGGAGCGTTTGAGCTATAGTATTTTGAGGAGTTGGTTGGCTGGGGTTGTAGCGGTTGCGGGTTTGTACGTTCAAAGCTTGGAAGAATCGTATCGTTTGATTGAGTAAATTGCTGATGAGGATGGAACACCGCCCCCATTCCGGGCGGGGATACGGCAAGAGCAGCCACGGTTGCAAATCCCTTTTGGTTATGAGGTTGATGGACCAGCGAGATGTCTCTTGGTCAGGGCTCCTGGAAAGGCGTTGGATTTGGTGTTTGGTGCGATAGCTGGGGAAGGGTTACCATGCAACCAGGTGGTCAACAATTTAACAAACGGAGATGCACAGATCGAGCTGTAAGCCGTGTATAAGGTATATGTGGAGTTGTGAGTGATGTTCCTGCGCCACGCCGAAGGGCAAATCAACATCCGAGTGCAAGAAACTTCTAAGTGAGAAATGAGGAAACCGTTTTCTGGATGACCTAGATCCTTAATAATGCTGCCAAAGATCGGTGAGGCTGCTTCCCCGAGTAATTATTTTCGGTGTTGAGCTAAAAAGCAAGCTATTCAAACATTCTTCACTCCACCAGCCGAAAGCGGTTAGAGAGAAATCCACTATGTGGTTGAATATGCAGAGCTGGGGATGGTGGCCCAGGAAAATGGAACGCAAAACCTCCCTGAAAAGAAAAGGAATAATTCCCCGGATTGGCTGTTGATGTGGAAGGCACTTGTGACAGCACAAACGTTTGCTTTTGGGTGCAAACAAAAGGAGGAGCCTCAGAACGCTGCTGCCAGCATCATGCGTCCAGCTGAAATGATATCTGAGCAGAAAGTGGGTCGAAGCTCTGCCGACAACCAGTCCACGTTGGCAGATGCTGTTGCCAGAGGAAATCTAGCGCAAAGTTGGTATTAATTCATTAATGATCTAGAGAGGTCAAAGTCAATGACGAGCGCAATCGAGGAATTTGTTTGCAGAGGATCGACGGTGGCAGAAGGGGGGGATGGGCTCATGATGTATACCTTGAATGGATTCGGATCCAAAAAGTTGATAAAGAATCGGGAGGGTGGAGTTGGTGGGACGATGATCAGTTGGTAGCGTCCTCCGTTGACGCTCCGCTGGGCACACTGGGGTCCTGACCTTGCAGCTTGACAAATCAAATAGAATGATGGCGACGTAAAGCTTTTGCACGATGTTTTTGTCAGGTCTTCAAGATGTCCTCTTCCTACGTCCGTCCCTTTTGTTTTTCCCGCTCCTTAGGAGTTTGCGACGTGTCTCGTGGGACAAGCCCCCTGATACGTGGGTGGCAAAGGTAAGGGATTGGGTATCGTCCTGACCTATCGATAGTAAACAAAGGAGGTGAAGGCGGATTACAGTCAGCTTCCCATAAAATGGGATGTTGGGCCAGGGGGAACTGTAAAATAAATAAGCTGAAGGTGGGAAAAAAAATAACGGATGCTAGTCAAATAATCCCGGGTCCAGATTGTATAAATGGGGCGGAGGGCAGGTAAATAAGAATAAGAAGCAATTTGGTTGAGGAAGGGATAAGTCACAAAAACAAAAGAGTAAAAATAAAATCTCTTATCACAAGAAGAAACAAAAGGTGACAAGGGTGAAAGGTAATAGTCGTTGTTTTCGGGGACGTCTCCAGCAACCAGTCAAGTATCAGGAAGAAACGAAAGAGCTTTGGATAAATTTGTCGATCCCCTTTTTTTATCGATCGACTTGCTCGTACTGCAGGAGAGAGAAACTAATAGCGGATATGTTAGGAACTCTGACGAAGGTGATCAGCTCACTCAGAGGTTGGGGGTGCAACGACAGCCCAGATCAAGGCCCCTTTCTTTCCTTTCCCCTGTACAACGCATTCATCGACAGCGGGATTGCCTGGTGATTTACAGAGCATGTAGTCTTTCGCTCGTCTTCAGCGGAGAACATCTCTGCCTATCGCGATTCAAGTAGTTACGAAGCTGGTCAGGTTGACTCTTGACAGCAAGGCATCGAAAAAGCATTTCACACGCGACAGCCCAGTCTCTTTTCAGCCTAGGTCTTTTGGGTTCCATCCCTCTCTCGTTTATTCAGTTCCAATCACGTCGTGCCTTGCTTTGACTGAGAGGATTGGCCACAGAACAACCAGCGTGGGCCAAAGGGAGATTTTTGGTAACGACATGGATGGCGGAGGCCTTGACTGGGCTCCCAAGGACCTCCTTCCGCGGGTCCCACTGTAGTAGTGGGCCAGAGGCTGGTGCTTATGCAGAGAGAATGGGACGGATCGCACCCATCCGTCTGTCACTGGCGCAGGATGTGGATGCGCCTTTTCCACTAGTACATGTCTGTGTGACCGCCCTTGTTCTCGTCCTTCGACGGTGTTGGTGGATCGGCTCACGCACCGCGTCCAGCACAGGAAGCGTCGGCAGGCGGGCGGGGCAGAGTGTAAGAAATGGCGAGAGTTAATGCAGCAGGGTTCAGGGATGCGTGGTCAAGGGTGGTAGGATGGGATGCTGCGGTCAACGCTAAAAGAGAGACCATTCGCCTTCAGACGGCCTCGATCAACAGAGGCCTCGCTGAATTGGCAAGACTTGGCCCAATAGTGGTTGGGCGTCACCTCTCACACCATTGAAATCGGTCGAACCAAAGCGACCGCAAAGGTTAAATCAATCTAGTAAAAATCAGCGAGCTCTTCATCTGGTACAAAAAGAAACCGCAGTGGCCGCTACATTCAGTATGCTGCATGAGGTATCAAATATGTCACAAGCCCGGGGAAGTTTAGAAGCGGAAAAGGAATGAGAGGAAAGAAAGGAGAAGATAGGGATGAGGAAAGCTAAAAGCGCCAGATGGATAACGGTTTCAGTATTAAGTCCTCCTTACAGGTTGTTGCGGGATATAAAATATAGTTGCGAGATGAAAGTAGAGCTGCATCTCACCCTCAAGCATAATGTGTTTGCAAGGGCCCATGTAACAAGCATATGTATTAAGGAGTTCAGGGCTAGAATCACTTCCATCAAGAAGCTTCACCCGCGACGGACGTCTTCGGGTCATATCTCGAGTGTTTTGCGAGTTGATCATCCCTGGTGAAGAGCAGCAGGCTATTCCTATCCTTCCTAGTTAGGCTGGAACCAACCAGTCTATGTCATTCTCAGAGTATATATACGCTGCATATGCTTCATACCCCGTACGGAGTACAGTCTGTCGTATTCTTCGAGATTTTGTATGTCGTTCATCCGCTTCTCGCCTTTCAACCTGCCTGATACGTTGACAACCCCACGGAACAAGCGAGCTCAAAGCTCCAAGCTTTTTTATCTGACGGAGGGTTATCAGGAAGAGTCCCGATCCTGGGGACGAAACAACGCCCCAAGATATGTCGGCAGGCTGGAAGTAATTTTTAAACCCTTGCATGGCCATGCTTTGCTGGCTGACATTGGTTGCTGGTGGCGCTCACTCTTATTGGGGCACCAGTTGTTTTCCGCACTTTTGAATACAGTCCCGGAATTTCTTGTTGATAAAAATAACATCCGGGATGGAGACCGGTCCCTAGGACCTGGATGACCCCTGATTAATAAATCAGATACATATACTCCGAGCGTCGGATATAGATGTACTTCGTACTCGAGGGATACGATCCCAGGATGAATCCACCCAAAGATCAGGGACCGTCACCCGATATCGACCTTCACACAAGGCTGTCTTAGGGCTGAACTAAAACGGTTGCAAGCTGACTCTGGCCCTTGGGCCAACATACTTACTTACATACACCGAACCCTTGCCGAATCGCCACTCCCACGAGGTGAGAAGGACACCAGCCGTGCCAAACCCGGCCTCAGCCTCAGCGAGTGAAGCACCCAGTGCCGCGTAACTTGCACAGCCAGCATCGGACATTATCCAAAGGGTACTTCGTAGGTAAGGCTCGGTGTCGTCGGACACTCGGAAGCGCAACACGCGCCGTACTGGGCATTATGGGTGCTCAAAAGAAACAATCTTCGAATTGGAATCGCCATCAGTTCCCGGATGTCTAGCCTCGCAATTCTTCTCATTCCTTTTTTCATCCCTATCTTGGAATTCAAGCGTCTGGCAGTTCACTTGTCGGAGTGTGTGTGACTAGTCATCTTACCTATCATTTTATAGACCCATAGCTTTACTCTGTCTCTTTCGGTTGTTATAAGGGGGTAGAAACAAGTTATTTAACTAGTTAGTGGGCCCAGTCATGGAGAAAAATCGGCAATTCAATGTTTCAAGTCCCGCGAATATTCCGTGTCGTTTTTGTTGTTGTCCTTTTTCTTCCAGGTTGTGGTTTTGTTCTTCGTCACGTCGATGTTTTGACGTCGGTTGAGATAAACTAAGAAGTCGCTTGTGTCAGCCCAAAAAGGAAATTTTGACCTCATATACCAAATGTACTGCTTAACCACTACCCTGCACAGCCCAAACAATATTGTTCGCGCCTGGGACTGCTTTACCTTTTGTTTGTCTGTCCGTCCATTCTGTCCGTTATCTTGGTGGGCGAATTTTCACCATCTGGACGTGGCGAGTTGAGAAAGTATACCATTCAGCTATGCGTTCCTAAACCAGTACATTGCTTCTCGGCCCCGTGAACGTTCAGGTCTTACGGGTCCAAGCTGAAGTTATTGGAGTACCAAGCCTGGAAAGAAATTTCCGAGGAGAGAGGATTTCCCGGCTCCTTTAGGGTGCTCTGACATTTATTTTGATAAAGGGCTTTTCAAGCAATGTCATCTAAGTAGGCAAATTAGATGGATATAAAGCTAGAGAACAATGTTGACTCTATGCCTAAAAATTATCCGACACTCATATGCTGGCTCGAGGCTGGTTGGTCTTTGGGGAGATCGAATTGTACCTCCCCGTGGCCCAGGAGATGTATGGCTACCACACCCTACGGTTAGGTGGCCAGAGACCTAAGTGTATACAAAGGGGACGAGAAAAGAGAAGTCAGAAGAGAGAAGACTTTGCTCTCTTTTTTCTCAAGAGAATATACCCCCTACCCTACTAAACCTCTGAGGCGTAACCCTGCCTACCCAAATGAAATTAGGCGGTTTATGGAGGGAGAGAAGAATAACAAACCTACTACTACCCGTTACGCATATTTCAACATATCAGAAAAGACGGCGCATTCGTTACACTGGACGGCTACGGCGCTTTGTTTCGGTGTAAGGTCGTAATATCACAGCAACACAACCAACGCCCTTTGGAGAAACGTATGCATGATCCCTGTAGCTGATAGTTACTCCAGGCAGCAGTATTTGTACCCCGGCTTCTGGCTCCCCAGTTACTCTTAATAGTGCGTCCCATCCCATCTTTTTACCATAAGGATAACCAGCTCATCAAAATGGATACGACAGTCCACCTAACACGAATGCTTCCGCTAGCCGCGGGCCTAGCAACAGCTATATACATCTCTTTGTGCATCTGGAGTTTCTTCATCCGCCGCAAGTTCGCGCGCCGTCACGGTTGCCAGCCAGTGGTAAGGTCCTCGAACAAAGATCCTTTTTTAGGGCTCGACGTCATACAGCGAGGCATCCGGAATTCCAGAGAACACAAATCCCTCGAAAGGATTACTGAGAACTTTCATAAATTTGGAAATACCTTTAAATTGAAGGTGTTCACAACAAATATCATCGCAACCATCGAGCCAGAGATTATCAAGTCCATCCTGGCAATTAATTTCAAGGACTATGGCGTCAACCATCGCCTGCAAGTAATGGAGCCTCTTTTAGGCAGAGGGATTTTTGACACAGATGGAGACCACTGGGCCATATCGCGGGCCCTTATCCGACCCAACTTTGTCCGCGATCAGGTGGCGGACCTAGAAATGTTTGAGAAATTGGTTCCTGACCTATTTGCATTGATACCTCGTGACGGAAAGACGACCGTAGACCTACAGAGCCTTTTCTTTCGCTACACCACTGATTCTGCGACTGACTTCTTATTCGGAGAATCAGTTGGGACTCTCAAAAGCTCGCCGCCAGAGTTCGGTTTCAGCGACGCCTTTAACTATTCTTTACAAAGTATTATCAAAAAGAGTACGCTAGGACCCTTATGTATGTTTTATTATGACCCGAAAGCAAATGAATGCAATCGCATTTGTCGAGAGTTTGCGCAGCGATTTGTCGACAGGGCAGTCCTCACGGTCGAGTCGGACAAGTACAGAGAGCAGGGAGATTTCAAGTCGAAGGGCCAGAAATATGTGTTCCTGCACGAACTGGCGTCACGCACATCCGACAAGCGCCGTATCTTGGACGAGGTTATGAACGTGTTGGTAGCTGGGCGTGATACCACTGCCAGCCTGCTAAGCAATATGTTTTTCGTGCTGGCTAAGCGCCCAGAAATATGGGCTAAGCTCCGTGCAGAGGTAGCTGGTCTCCATGGCAGATTGCCTACCTACAACGAGCTTCGGAACCTTAAATATGTCAGGTGTTGCATAAACGAATGTGAGTTGAACTGATTGTGCCCACTTCAAGCAATCTTCAAGTCTAACTAGCTTCTACCAGCTTTGCGTATTCATCCAGTTGTGCCAATGAACGACCGTATCGCTCTGCGAGACTCTGTTCTCCCAATGGGAGGAGGCGAGGATGGCAGCTCTCCAGTCTTCGTGTCCAAGGGAACAATAATCAGCTATAACATCTACGCAATGCACAGGCGGACCGACTTCTATGGGCCCGACGCGGAGGTCTTCCGCCCGGAGCGTTGGGAGGATGGACAGCTACAGCCTCGCTGGGAGTATTTACCCTTCAACGGTGGGCCACGAATCTGCATAGGCCAGCAATACGCATTAACCGAAGCTGCCTACGTTACCGTCCGTATGGCCCAAGAGTTCAAGATCCTGGAGAGCCGAGACCCAGGGCCATGGGAGGAGTCGTTGACATTGACATTATGCTCCCGGAATGGGACGAAGGTGAGCGTTACTCCGGCTTAGCTCGAAGGACGAAGATAGTATTATTTTATCAGCATGTACTCCGTAACCGAGCCATAACTCCTTCCTAGCCTGATGGGAAGAAGATATTTAATTAATGCCAGCATGAGATATTATTATCAGCACGTATTCCCTTCTCAGCGACCCTGTTCCTAGTAGTTAGACGTCCACTTCAGCCCTTGCCAAGAACTCAACCCTGAAATCTAAACTAATAAAGCTCGTAAGCTAAAAATAAACCCGGAAAAAAAGTTATGCTTATTTTATTGGCTCAAGTTGCAAAGTGAGTTTCTTAGTCATCATTTCTATCAAACTTTATCCAACAGCTAAGGAAAGCTCGTATCCGTTTCTTTAAAGTAATAGATATTACTTCCGGATCCCTATAATCCTATCCAGGTACATATCCTGCATGCGATGATATGTGCTTTCTAAGACTCCATCTGGGCCAAACAATGCCGCTCGGTATGTATCTGGCATAACCAGCGCTGTCTGAATGATATTCATCGCCATACGCTCAATGGCAACTTTACATTCCCGTGCTCCTCTGTTCCTCCAAGCAGGGTACTCACGAACAGAAGCAAGGATATCAAAAGTTGTAAGAAGCTCTATCGGGCCACTCTTCACGATTTCCATGGCTGAGTCAAAAGTGATGCCATAAGTTCTAGCAGTGTCGGCTTTGAACGCTGGGAAATCATATACCCCCTTTTCCTCAGCGTACAGGATGGCTGCTACATCATCAACGATATCGCCTCCATGCATAATTTCATGCGTAACTTTCTTGACCACCTTTTGGTCTTCACTGGGAATTATCTCTTCGTCGATTTCAGTTTCATAGGCAGAAGATTCTGGCTCATATTCCATTTCTTCGTCGGAGTCAGTTGGTTCTTCTTCATATTGGAGACGGGTTCGTCTCCGTAGTATTTGGATACGCCAGGCTGGGCTCTTTTTGTTAAGGTACTTGATAATCCGCTTGAGGTCTTGGACTCGTGACTTTGGTTCGGGGTATGTTATGGGTGTGGATGGGAGGACGACTCCCTGCCTGGCAATCTATATCAACGCGGTCCTAGTTAGTTGCAAAGGAAAGTAGATATTGGGTTAAGTATCAACGTTTTATTATCTTATTGTATAACTATACCTCTCTCAAAAGCTGGGTGTGAAGGTCATCGATGTCTTTGCTTAGTTGAACATTTCGTTCATGGAGTTGTGCAATTCTGGCCAGCGGTGCAAACACACCTCGAAGCACGTCTGGTTCCATGGCACAAGAGCCAAGTCTATTAGCAATCTTTTGTGATGTGCCAAAGGTCTTAGAAGATGTCAATACTGTGAGGGTTTAAAGGTTGGGGGAGTTGGGCCTAGGGAGGAAGTGTTGGCTCGTGGCTAATGGCCCCTTCACTTTTATATAGCCGCCCTTGGAATAACAAGGATACTTAAGAGTGAAGTTAACCAAACATGAATATTCGCGGGATCATCCAGTAGAACGGTGATAGCCATATTGTGAAAGCTGGGAATCACCGATGCCCAAGTCTAGTAACTTCTAGCTAGAACGGGTCTATGATACCAGAGCCAACTCCCAGAAGCTGGTGGATGCTACCATTTTATGAAGCATTGATTTGATCTATATGGGCACTAGGCAAGAACATAACAATAATCAAGATGTGGATTGAAAGCGAGTAGACAAGAACGAGTCACTATTTCATCCGAACTACACCACCTAGAGCGAGGAAACATAAAAGGAAACGACACACAAAAACAAAACAGCATTGCGCACTTCTGACTAAATGCCCAACCAGGAAACAAGAAGAAAAAAAGACGAAATAAATGTATTATGAGAAAGGGGATGGGCGGGTTGTGGTTGGGCATTCAGAACAGACGCGGTTGTATCAATCAATTAAAGCAAAGCAAATGAAAAAGAGAAAAATGAAATAAAGGGCAGGGGAAAGACATCGAGAGAAGCATAGAAGGAGATGAAAAAAAGTATAAATCAAAACGATCTATAAGATAATACCGGAATGAAGATACGCAAAAAACCTGCGTAGGGAAAAGAGACGGGTGCTAGGGAAAGTGCTAGATGCTGGAAGGGGGCCGTGAGATCGAGATTATTAGACGAGGTGGAGTTGGGTTGGTAATAAAGCTAGCAAACAAGGGATGTGAATATGTATGGATGGATCATGTACCTCTTGTTCAACAAGAGGTATGATGAATCAACCAGTTGTCCATGAATCCACTATAGGATGAAGGGGGGCGGGAACTGCAGGAATGAACCAAGGAAACCAAAAAAGAGATATATAGCGAGGGCGGCTAAAGCGCGGCCCAAGAAGGTTGAAGAAAAGGTTTTTACCAGCCACTGGCCAAGAGCTGGGGCGAAAGGAAAGAACATAGTTCGTTAAACGTAATGTTCCATCATGGGGAGACGCTTATGAAAAAATTTACCCCATTGCAAGAACTTCCGAGACGTTTATAGAGAATCCACATGTGAAAAACAGTAAGAGTGTCATGATATCTTGACGCCGGGGGGTAGATGGAAGTAGAATCACTTGACTACAAGCTCATCGTCAACCATTCCCATTCCTGGCTGTTGGTTCTCGTTGCACCTGCTGCCAGACTGTGGTGAGCTGGGTTGAACGCTGCAGGGGGTTGACGAGGCTGTTGGTGTGGTGCCTGGGTCACTCTTTGTCTGCCTGATAGGTCTTGTTCAGGAGGGTTTCTGACATTGGCGTACATGCCTGAGACTGAACTTTTATCGAGGCAGCGTGGTCGACCCGGGATGAGTCTGGATGGCGTACCTGAGGCTGTGGTAGGGATAACATTGACGCTGCTGCTTGGCGAAGCGATAGGGAGGGCCTGTCTTGGAGGGAGCCGCGGCGATGGGGCACGGTAGTTCTTGAAGACGAAGAGCTAGATGTAGGCGTGGTTCCAGTGCTGGTAGGCGTGCTAGAGATAGGTGTTGGGGGCTGGGACAAAGCCGATGGCCTGGTTGGGATAGGGGCCGAAGCGACAGAAGTCTGATTGGTGGAGTTTTTACGGGAAGTCTTCTTGCCCGCTCTGGCTCCAGAGCCAGTAACGACGTTGCTTCCTCCACCACGATTGCGTTTCTTGATGACATCCGTTTTGAGAGCGAGGGGTCGTACGACACCGTGAAGTTTGAGGAACAGACCACAAGCGTTACATAGGAATTGGCCTTCAGCATTACGACGCCAGAGGGGAGTAGTTTGCGTGAAACAATTGGAGCACGACGTTGTAGTACCAGCGGGTTCGGCGTTCTTCGTGCCACCAGGGCCAGGACTTGCAGGCCGGGAGGGGGTGTTGCTGTTAGGGCCGGAGCTGGGAGAGTGCGGGGATTTGAAACCATTGCCAGCGTTGCTAGTGTTGCTATTATTGTTGGTGCTGTTAGTGCTGTTGGTGGTATTGATATTGTCGGCGGCGCCTTGTCGAAGGAGCTGGGTAGCGTTTGGTGTGGATATCGTGCGAGGAATCTTCTGTCTTCTCGGATCTGGATCGCGGTTACGCAGTTCGGTTACAGACGCGGCTGACCCGTGTGTTCGGTTTAGACTTCCAAGCTGAGTCCAGTCAGTGCTTCTCTCGTCTAGATCTGCTGCACCTATTGCTAGCGGCTTGGACGGCTGGCTATGGGCAGACGGCATGGAATTAATGGAGCCAGTATAGCTCCCGTCCCATTGCATGCCGGAGCCAAAGTTCATTGCAGCATCGTCGAGCATGCTGAAGTCCGCCGAGAGGTCCATGTTACGGTCAAGGAAAGCATTTCCAGCATCATCCTCGTTATCTGAGTCCCCGCCAAAGCTGAATACATGTCCCTTGGCAGAGGAGAGGCTCGTCGATGGTCGAGAAGGATCAGCCATGGACTGGCAGGTAGACGGTGTATATTGTTGCTGTTGCCCTTGCTGCTGCTGCATACCGAATCCTGACGAGTTGACTACCGAAGACGCTCCGCTACTCCCAGCCATGTTGAACGAGTGGTCATTGCCGGAATTGTGGTACATGTACCGGGATGTCGCAGGTGCCGAAAGGTTGGAGAGCGAATGTGAGTGGAATGAGCCTACTGGATGCTGGAAAGAGGTAGAATGGTCCTTTTCGAAGCCCTGCTGAGGAGTTGAGACGGCGGAGTGATAGCCTGAGGCTGTTGACGGGAAGAAATCGGTGGAGTTTATTGAAGAGCCTAGTGGGGTATGCGAGTACAGATTGGAGAACGCTCCACTCTGCATATGAGACAATTCTGTGGGGGAGAGCTGGAAGCTGGTGCTAAAAGACGGATGGTCCAGGGTGTTGGTAATGTCGTCAACATGGAAGGTATCCAGGTTCAATGGAGCAGAATGAGGTGGATGGCTTCCGAGGGAAAAACTGTGACTATGCCCATGGCCGTGGCTATGACCATGACCGTGACCGTGACCATGGCCATGACTTTGGCCGTGGCCGTGGTGGTGGTCAAGAGTGAAGTCAGTCATGCCCGTATCAGGGTCCGGGTCGTGAGAGATGATTAGTCCATGTACCGGAGGAACATGTGGTGATGACTCTGCCGGTCGTTTTCGGGCCTGAGATTGTTAGTATATATACGTCTATAAAATTGTAACGCATTCATCGTAGTAGAAGACGAAGAAGGAGAAGAAGAAGAAACGAAAAAAAGGCAAAAAGGCAAAAATAAAAAAAAAAATAGAATTAGACCTACAATCCGTTCGTCAACGCTAGTCTTCCTGACCCTACGCTGGACGTAGCCAAACTCGCTGGTCTGGGTGCCGACATGCGGGTGATGAGGCAGCGAGGCGGGCATGATGATGCCCATGGGCGAGTCCTCTTGCTCGTCCTTTGTGCTCCTGATAGGAATTGCCGACGCCACAGCATGCTGGGACGAGGGGCCTTCACTCATCGAGGGCGAGAAACCCGAAGGCGAGCTGATGGAGGAAGACGGAGCCACGAACGGGTCGACGTTCATAGGCTCACCGGCAGAATAGGTCTCCTGCGGTCGTTGGGCTTCCTCGCTCTGCTGTCCCAGTCTGTTGCCACCAGTCAGTATACCATCACCACATCATCAACATACATATAATAGATATATATATATAAAAGAGACGAACCTGGCCTGCGCCTGCTCTCTCTCCTTCTCCTTCCGCAGACTGACGGCCATCATGCGCCAGGTCAAGTTCTCCATCCGCTCCTGGTTCGGCAACTGGGTCTTGGTCCGGCTGTACAACTTCCATATCTGCGTCGCTAACGGGTCGTTCTTCTGCAGCTCCTCGGTGGTTTCCAGCGCGGTGCCATCTCTCCAGTCCGAGAATACCGACTCGCGGAGAAACCCCCCCGCGAGCGACGTTGTCCGGCAACTTCCGCTCCAGCTTGCCGGTGGGCGGATGGGTGGACGACGGGGACCAAAATGGAGGCGGCCTTCCGGCGGTGCCTCTCTGTCTCTGCCTTGTGCGAAGCCTCTTCTCTCGACTGGCAGCGGCCGCTGCCGTCACTTCACAACGCAACGCAAACGCAGTTCCCGGTGGGTAATCGCCCAGGAATTTCGACTGGTGGGCAGGAGAAGGGCCGGGCGAGCTGAGGATCGGAACAGTGGGTGTCCAGGAGCAGCGTCCGAGTCCGCTGGAGGAGGATGGAAAGACGGTATATCGTCGTATCACTATCAGGAGGCACGGAAGAAGTCCCGGCAGGGCCGTGGGCGAAGGGACCTGGGCTTGTGTATCTCGCCAGCCTGCGAGGTCAAACGCTGAATTGGGTCTCGTCTGTCCCGGTCTCCCTGGCTCTGATGCTGATTCTGCGTTCTTTCGGTTTGTCTGGCTGGTCTGGCGGATCAGGGCTGGCTGGTCTCGTCCGTCTCTGAGTCTTTAACACTTAACTTTCGCGGACTAAGTGGGAGTTTTTTGCCCACAACATGTGATTTCGGCTCGTAGGGCGAAAAAGGCGAAGATAGAGAGAGAGAAAGAGAAAGAGAAAGAGAGAGAGAGACAGGAAAAGAGAGTAGAGGAAGAAGAAGAAAGTGATAAGTAATAGTTATTATTTAATTAAGCAAAAAGTAAAGGGAGATGAAGCAGTTTTACGATGGAGTTCTTCAGGTTCTTCTTTTTCTTGTCCTTCATGCAGCAGCAGGCCTTGCATCGATGGTTAGTTAGTTACTAGTTGGTGAAGATGACGATGGAGATGTTGGCCTCGTAGTTCGCTCGCTGACGGCTGGGTTATTATAGCCGGTTACTAGATATCTAGATGGCATTCGGCCGTCTCTGCTCGCTCTGCCTGTCTCTCCCTCTTCTTCCCTTCCCTCTGTATCTTTTCCTCCCTGCTGCTTCGTCTGAATTTTTCGCCTTCTGCCGCGTCTTCTGCTGTGGGACCCAAGGGAGGGCCGGGGGCATGGGCAGTAACTAAAGTGAAGTAGTTAGTTACTTTTAGCACCTCGCCATAGCCGTGTCTAGAGGCAGGCAGGCCATCGCAGGCTTCTCCTGCTGCCTCTTCTTCTCTTCTTCGCCCTTGCCATAATCGACACCCTCTTCTTCTTCTCTTCTATCTCCTCTTCTTCTCCTCTTAAAGACGATATCAACATCAACTTCGCCTTCGTCTTTTTTTATCCACCAAAAAGTCGAGAAAATACGAGAAGCCGGTACGGTAACTTTCATGACAATACACAATACGATTAGTCATCTACACCCTAAACATCCCGAAGTCTTCGTCTTCTTCTTTTGCTTCTTTTGCTGCTTCTTCTGCTTCTTCTGCTTCATCTGCTTTCTCCTTTGACTGACTCTCTTCAAATCAATCCGAGTCCCCTGGCCGAGCGGAAACCAAGAAACACGAACCCAGAAACAAGGAAAATGAGAAGAGTCAAGAAGTGCGGGCTGCTAGGGCCTCTCGCGGTTCAGAGCAGGGATGAGGCTTGAAAGGTCGAGAGCACATCATCTACTCCCATACGAAGTACCGAGAAGTTACTGAGTTAGATATATCCGTCGTCCTTTTCAAGCATCCACCAGTGCATGCATGCATATATATATATATATCTCCAGTGCTATGCATGTACATGTGTTAAGTGTACATACTCTTAAGTCGGGTTAGTTATGCATCTCTTGTCCCTGGGGTGAAACACCTGCACGTAAGGACGGCGGCCGCCCCAAATCTGATGCCAAGTGTCCATACAGATGCGCCCATCTCTTCACGGCATCTCTCCATGGCATGGGTCCCTCCGGCCCTCTCTATCCTTATATTGTACTTACATAACATGTTATCGGCTCGGCTGGCTTCCAGAAGGGCGGTCCCCGGGAGTCCAGAGTCCAGAGTCTAGAGTCGTGGGCGGACAGACGGACAGACGGAGTGCGGAGAACGAGACCTCTGCCAGGCAATTAAACTAGTTATTTAAGCCAAAGTGAAGGGATCTCTGATATATATGTATATAACCACCTACCTATACAGTCAACTTCTCCGTTGACTGAGAGGTCACGAGAAGGTTGACAACTGTGTTGCAATCTCGACCAACAGCTTGTTGTCTGCCGGTTTGCTTGTCGGGATCGATCATCACTCTTGGCTCCAAGCACCCGTTCTGCATGCTTTGATGCCTTCTGGTGTTCATGGCGTAGCTGAAACAAGCCCAGTGTTGGTCTCATGGCGCCCATAGCAGCAGCGTTCCCCCCCCCCCCCCCCCAGCACAGAGAATATATAATATAAGCAAGTTAACCGCGTACAGCCAACGGTGGTACGACAGGCAGCAGCTCAAGGCTGGTTGAGAATATCTTGTCTCTCTTGGCCGCCAGCTGATCAAGCTCTTTTCTCTTCTCCCCCGTCCGGCCGTTGACTCTTGGTCTACCTATATACTCCGTACATCACTGTACGTCAGCAAACGGGCACGGTGCCAAATCCTTGGGGCTCTGGGGGGCGGGCAAGGGGGCAAAGAGGGCTGGCTGCCAGGGAAGCGCACAAAGCACGGAGACGGAGAGTCCTCCCCCTTACCTGCCCTACATATGCTTCCATGACCCTTGATGGTGTGTTGGCTACGACGGTCTTTGGCCGACCTCCAGCTTCACCGCCGTTCGTTGCATGCGATATCGGCATGGACGCCGTGGAAGGCCTCGAGATGGCACACCCCAAACCAGCAGCCCCAGTTCTGCCTGCTCTTTTTGTTTGATGCCAGTCGCGGCATCCCAGCTTCGGTTCGGGATGGGTCTTGGTCTTCCGTTTCTCTCTTGCGTCTGTCTCCGTCGTCATCTTCCCCCTTGGTGGCCGCCACTAACTGACTAGTCGAACTATGGCGACCAAGTCCCGTCTTCCCTGACCGGGAGATTTAGGAAGCCGTCTCGTCGTCATTACCGTACGATACACGCAGGCCGTACTCCGTATTTTCTGGCTTTTCAACCTCGGCCCTTTTCGTCTTCCTCCGTCCTTCAGCTTCTTCTAGCCAAACTAACAAACAAGGAGAACAAAGACCAGGCATAAAGATCGTTTACAAAGGTATAAAGATAACTAATATAAATCCCGCATTGCTTCTCGTGAAGTCTGCTTCTGCTTTTGGTTAGATCCGCCGGACAGTTCGAGTGCTCTCTGCCAGTAGAGACGGGCCTTAACCCCTTGTAATATGATATGATATACCCAAAAAGGCCAGGCAAGACTGGTTCCACGCCTGTACATGAGGTCTTTCTATTTGGCTTTACCAAGGGCTAATCTATACCGTCTACGCTACCTTTGAAGGAGCTGATTACCCAGCAAATAATTGTCAAGGCAGTGTTGATGATAAAAGGAGATTATACAACTCAAAGCGACAACTCAAGCTGGAGACAGTCAGTTAGGATCTAGGCCGAAGAACCGAGCAGTAGTATGCCGGCACGAGGAAGGGAATCTCAGGATACAGGTCTACGACCGTCCACTCATCCGGAAAGAATCTGTTGTAATGGCATGGGGATATGCGGCGCCTGGTGAACACCACGCCTCGGCTGTTTTTAGCGCGCAAGCGCCATCCTTCCACCAGGGCCATCAGCCTCCTTATTCGTCTTGATTCCGCCCGGGATACAGCCTCCTTCCTTAGCTTCCTCCAAATGCGGCCTTTTATCCTCTGCCAGTCAACGTCTCCTTTCCGTTTTCCGGCCACTGGTCAATTGTTCCCAGTATTCTCCCGCAGCTCTTCCCTTCCCCTCCAGCCCCAGAAGGTGGGCTTACGGACTCTGAATTAGGCAAACTTCGTGAGCCGTTCACATACGATACACAGCCCCAGTCTGCACCTTTGACCGAAACGCAGCTCATGGAGTGCATGGCACAGCCGGCAGTATACCCCCATTGTCCATCTCAGGTTGTGCACCATCCCTAGGTCCCAAAACCCCTTCCACATCCCACAGAACACGCAGTACCTTTTCCAGCCTTCCTCGTTTCCCTTCTCTCGCTTCCCTGTTCTCTGAGGCTTTACAAACATGCAATAGTGTCTTCGTTTGAAACAACTATAACACCTGAGTGTTACCGGCTTCTCATCATCATCCCAGTAATCCTTTACATAGTCATCCTCAAACTCCCTTTCAACCCCTCCTCTTCAAAGAGAAAATCAGTGTATTCATTTCGCAGCCGGCCCAAACTCCCATCAGACACTAGAAGCTGGAAGAATGCACATGTACATCGAGGTTGTTGGAGCTCCTGGTAGTTCAGGTGATCCACGATACAGAGGTACAGCTCCACCGACAACATGAGAAAGGATGGATTCTGTATACCACTCATACTACTAGGGACCGGGCCTTAATTAACTAACTACACACCCAAATCTGGAGAGCCACTACGTACCATGGTGCCATCAAATGCTTAAGCAAAATGATTTATAGAATGCGACCCAGCAGTCACCCCAAATCCGGCTTTAAGTCCCTTAGGTATGAATATGGAAAGTTAACAATAGATGTCTCTCCCACGATGAGGACTAATGTGGCCAGTTGGTAGTGGTAGTAGAGATAGAGGTCAAGTGAAGATTTTGTGTCTACGTCTCTACTTGCATATCAGGGAAGGGGCAATGCTGATGATACCGATACCACCTGTTGTTTACACTACGGCTGTAGCTTCCTACTATAGACGTAGGCATCTCCTTCGATTCCAACTTCAACCGCTTACCCTCATCAGAATGAACCACTGGGAATATATATCCATGGAGAGGCTGATATCAACGATATTTGCGTGGATATAGGGGCATGTGCTAGTCACTATTAGTCTCTCCTATCTATCAACAATCTTCAACATCTCTGAGAGTTGTCGTGGATGGCTAGATCCTGTCATGTTGAGCAAAGATACCCCTTGAAATGCTTTGGTCTGTGGTTAAATATACCTGGGTACACACTCTATAAACCTCAACAATAGCACCCCTATACACTGCTTCTGCTTATAGATAAAGAGAGAAAAGACCTACCAAGCATGCCATCATTCCAGCAAAGAACAACTACTGCTTCACTATAACATTACCAATGATGAATAATATCAAAATGACAATAAGATGAATATTCTCCCCAATCTATAAATCGTTCAGTAGAATATACATATATAGGCCTTTAAGCGTGTGCTAACAAGAATGAGTGCGCTTTTCCGCAGGAAAAATAAATGGAAACGATAATGGGCATAGCAGATATCTAGATAAATAGAAAAGCAAGTAAAATAAAATAAAAAAACCAAACCTCGACTCCACCTGGCCATGTTCGCAACCTTTCAGCTTTCGGTCACGAGAATCTCGCAGATAGATATTTCAGCCTGGCCTGGCCTTGAGGCAAGGCTGTCCTACCGAAGCATTGCTCATGGATGGTTTCTAGACACTTAGTACGAGGTTCATCACTTGATGAATTCGCAAAGTCCCGTTTCATCGTCCAGGGCCACCAATGTATGGGATTATGTTCGGGATATCCGAAGGCAAAATGACCTGCATAGCAAGTACATGGAAGCTATAAGCAGGGAAAACGCGAATATTATTTTATCATCGTAATCGCTTTACTACATCAAGGGTGCCGTGTGCTCTTCGCCCGTGCACCAGGTTAATGGTAGTTAGTTGTAGATGATGCATGGACGAAGCTAGGAATCTCCCTTCACGATGACGGAGTTGCCGAACCCAAAATCCTTCTCAGGCCATTACCCCTGCTTTGCACTCGCAGACACAGAAGATCCCCTGCCATCGGCTTTGTCGAGTACGAAGTATACGTACTCGGAGGTGCGAGGATGTACGAGGTAGAGTGGCGCGAATATCCAGCTTTGAAATGATAAAAACAAAATCTCGCTGAGGGGAGGGGATGGCAACCAATGGATACAAGGGATACAATTGTACCCCTGCTCAAGCCAGATGCTTATGTGAAGAAGAGAGGGAGGGGGAGGAGACAGTGTGTGTTTATATTGCGTCGGAGTAGCTCCGCTTGCATGACAGGTGATATTTTGCTCTATAACCCGATGTGATTGTGAGCGTGAGTGCTCATGGGAAGAGCTATACTTGCGGAGAGAAAACCCGATCTCTCGAATGGGGTGTGTGACTAGACCAGTTATTGGACAAGAGTGCTTAGCTATATTTTCCGGCGTGCAAAGTAAGGTTTTATACCTTTCCCGAAGGCAACGAATTTGAAGGACGTTATTTAGTAAACGTCTTGCATATTGCACAATGCAAATACTTGCATCTAGTTTGTCCAACTAGGACAACAAATCCATGAATATGTGTTTCTGATTGGAGTATTCTATCAACAGCAAGCTTGCATGAAAAGAAAGAATATGCAAGAGCAATGGATGCATGAGCAGGATGCAGCCACGCCAAGGTGCATGCGGTGGTGTCGTGTCTGTTGAAGGGAAAAAACAAAAGTTTCTACAATAGAAGAAACCAGACTGCGTATGGAGGTTTTGACCACCGCCAGTACAAAGTAAAATGGCAAAGTGCTTACAAACCGTTGGCTGGAAGCCATTTTGGTTCCAACTTGCTCTTAAAAGACCTTCGTTGCTTGTCACATGAAGTGAGGCGAGAGAGAAAAGAAAATATATGATATTTCCAGAAGAGAAGTATCAGAAAGGAAAAATATATGACCAAACAAGCCTTGTTGAGAGTAATATCTGTGCATATACCCTGGACATGTCCAAGCCAGGGATTGATCGCTTTGCGCTCCCATATTCCAAATCACTACTTCGTACGGAGGAGGAAAGGGCGATCGTCTTTCTCCGAGGAGCGTTACATACCTAGGTATCTTAGACATCAAGCTCCATGATGATCTCGAGATTAGGAGGGATTATGTCAGCCCAATCGTGGCCAGCTTCGCGCAACATGGCTTCCCATTTGGCGTTTTGTGCACTGGAAGATGACGATGAGTTTTTGCTTCTTATCGTCATGTTCTGTGGTAGCTAGCAGACGCTGCGATTTATCCTTTGGACACACTTTCTTTTTATGCTTCATGTGTCGTTGGAGCAGTGTCTGAGCGCAGCAAGTAGCGAACTCAACTCTTCTTTCGACATCGACTAGCATGAGGACCGTGAACTTCTGGGCTTGAAGATGTTGAGGATACCCAATCATCTGCCATCTGTTACATCCATCTCGTCGGATGACTCGACTTGGCTGTGGGGGCTTTGTTTTCGAAAAAGCAAGAAGTAGGAAGTTCTTCTTTGGTATGCATCCGTCAGGAAGAATTCAAGACGTCTGACTGCAGCGCCCTTAATCTTGAAATTGAAGAGGGGGGTATTTGAGAGCCAAGCAACTCGTTTCTTCCTACACCGAGAACGCTGAGGCTTGCTTATTAGGCAGTTCGTTCATCCACCGCATCTCCTGTGGCATCGGTTGATTTAAATCGGAAACGCTCTCTATGGAGCCGTGGCGTGCAGAAGCGCATGAACAGAACCAGAGCAGTGGGAGTAGCGACCAAGCTGGTTGATCAATCTCCGGTTAGGACTCGTGGCTGATTTAAGTAAGGAAAAGAAAAGAAGGTAAAAAAAATAAAGATAAGAAGGAAAAAGGAAAAAAGTAAAAGAAAAAGCCAGGTCCTTGGGTTTTGGCTGGGTTGAACGGCGCAGGAGATGCTTCAAATATAACAAGGAGAAAATTAACTTAACTAATCAGCGACTGTCTCCAACCCTAACGATAATATTAAGCATAGTTACCTAAGGGGTTCTAATGGAGGCCATCCCTCATCAAGGTCGAAGCCAACGTGGTATTTTGTTTCCCCCTTTTTAGCGTAACCCTTAATTTACCATCCAGTCCATTCAGAAGGCGTGAATAATGAAGCAAAAATAGGAGTTTGGTATGCTGTACTTACTTAGTCGAACAGGGACCCCATCCCCCTGCAACTCAGGAAATTAGGCTGTCGTAAGCTTGTCCGATCCACCCACGGAGAGACTGTGGAATATAACAAGCAAAAGTTGACCGCATGCGCCATTTTTTTCCACTTTTATTTGTCGCCTTCTTCGCCGCTCCTATCGTTTAGAGATGTTTGTCCATGCATTTTTTAGATTATCTTTTCAGCGTGTAGTGTTTGGAAGACCAAGAAGGGTTATCGAAGGGCCGTACGGAGTATGGAGGTCGACTTCACAACAGAGGATGCTAACTTCGGGCAGCATTTCCACCGTGTTGAGGACAGATTTCGTCTCTGCGAGATGCATGTAAATATAAACACATGCTATACGCAAGGGATCCATATCCATAGTAGGTTAATATGCATATTAACCATACAACTCCGTATGCTGCGGAGGAGGCCCAGAGCTTGGGGCGAGATAAAGTTATTCCAGCGACGTCGGTAAATCTCGCAACCTACAAAATCATTTCTCGATAATGAAAATTCCTCAAAGAAGAGATAATAAGAGCCGGTAAAAGGGTAAGCAAAGAGATTGTCTTGTTGCACACTCTGGTCCACATATATTGGTGCTGCGGCCATAACTCCAGCCAGCACCAGAAGCAATTTCCTTCAAAGGCTTAGAACCATCCAGGAGTGGAAGCTATTTACGACAAAAAAGCGTAACTTACCTAAAATAATGAAAGTTATCGTGCGTCTATCTTGCGTTGCACACAGAGTATGTTTGGACATACAGGTGGAGTGGAGTGGTGGATAAGCCCATACATAGTCTTGAATATATCTGATCGATGTTTGGTCCACCCTAAATGCGCCCACAGCAGCCAACCAGTCCGTACTTATGATAACTCTTTTTGGTCGAGATCAGGTGTGAACAAGTAAAGATACCAGACTGTCCGCCCTGGCGTTAAAAAAGAAAAATAGAAATGGCAAAGAAGGAATGGAGGTTCATGCATTCTTGTTCGAGCTTTGACTTACTGCTGACTTGATACAGTAAATCCATGATTGAACTTTTATGCTCCCTGCCAAATGAGTGAATCTCGAAGTTGCACTGCAACAGAGAACGGAGGTCACGTCCATTATTGTGCTTTTTCTCCGAGTTAATCTTAACCTCTGATCGGAGTTTGCTTCTCTTTGGTTCAATATGCGCTTCTGATAGTCGCTCACAGGTAGATTAACGGAGAGATGTCCCGATCAAGCGTCCATTTCTTTTGGGATCTTCTCTCCCTACCATTGGACAGGAGAAGGGGCTCGCGCTGTCCTCCGTACAACCGACGATGGGCCCTAGCAGGGATAGATGTTGGTGCTCTTTCTAATCGTTGGTCCTTGGCATGATTATTAGTGAGCGGCCACTCCTTACACTTTTGATGGCCGATAGTTTTCATGTATATCAACTTATACGCATGCACTCCGTAGACGCCTATCGGTGTACGCCGTAAATAAAAGTTTCAATGACAGTCTGAGGGCATGCGGACCAAGGGGTAAGCAAAGAGATGGGGTGCGAGCTGGACCGTTCACTTTGAAGGATTTGATTCCACACATATTTCTTGTCTATATTTGTCGATGGTCCATTGATATCGACATCCAACCTATAGACTTTCGTGTATGCGAGTGCCTACCTGCTGGATGTATCCCCTTGACGTTTCAACATGGGAAGAGGAAGCACCGCTGTTCTGCCTTGCGTGCGTCCGGACTGTGCAAGGTGACTTAAATTTCTCGTTTCTTTTTCTTTTGCTTTCTCCCTCCCTCCCTCTCTGTCTGTGTGTGCTCTATTTTCCTTTTTGCTCCTGGTGGTCTCTCTTTTCGGGCTTCTACCCCCTCGGGGAGCACTCCGGTTGCATGGGATGCCATGTGTGAGTGCGCTGCAAATGTTGGTGGAGGTGGAGTCAGGCTTTCTTCCTGTCAAGATAGGCTTCGGAGTATTTCTTAGAGTTGCACTGCATTTGCAAAGTTTCGCTCATTGAAAAAGGAATATATATCAAAAGCAAAAAAAAAGAAATACTTGTAGTCAAACAGCACAAGACAGATATGGGCGCCCTCGAGAGAAAAGCAAAGTCGTGGAGGGCAAACCTGGTCGCCACTAGCTGCCACTTGTATCTCCTTTGCTGTGCTGGTCGTTGTTGCGGTTGTTGTTGCTGTTTGCCGTCGCTTGTTGTCGACCTTAATATAATGCGGGCGCTTGGCCACCTCGTCCCAGTTAGGAGGAGAACAACGCCGCACTACGCGTATTTCCGATGACTAAGCACAACAGCCAGAGCTTGGGCTAGGCTGACTCAGCATGAGCTAAAAGCAGCGCAGGGTCAACCAACCTCAAACGCCCTAACCGCTTTTGGCAGTCCCTTTTTGGCTTTTTGGTCGAGTTTTTGTTTTTTGGCCCTTTTTTTTTTATACGGAGTACGATCGAACGTCTTTCCATCTCGCACGCAAACACACGATGGATATTGTGATCGCATTGCTTGTGATATACTTCGTACACGATGATCAATAACCTATTTATGGTACGGAGTCCTTAACTCGACCGGGAATCTCGTCAAGCATGTGGTGACGCCAAACCCAAAGAAGCAGCTCTGTTCAAGCCAGCTTGCTATAGAAGAGGGGGGGTATATACGGAGAGAGACTCAGATGCATAACCACATGTACTTCCTGCGTACGTACGGAGTACTTCGGACATCTCCTCAGCTGTGTTCTCTGCCTGTACTTCTCCTTGTTTTTTCCTTGCTTTCGGGGGCGTTAAGGATCATGGCTGACAGGGTAATATCATAGCTCATTGGCTGCGAGCCCCTTTAGGGGCGACCTTGACATCAACCAACCGGTGAGCACGCGCCTGTCTCTGACCAGACGTCGGTAAATACGACCAAAATCTCGAAACAAGCGGCCAGGGGACCGTTTTGTGAGAGAAATCTTGGCACCGGGCGTAACCTCTGTTGGAGATGCGTTTCAGGTTGCCTTTTAGCCTCGCACCAAGTCACTAAGCAAGCCATCCGGTTGAAGGAGCCATGTTAATCCGTCGATTTCATGGTGGCCGATCGACTAACGAGGTCTCCTGCCTCGCAGAAACGACTAATCCAGCAATTTCAATTGGCTTTTTTATTAAAAAGGGATAAAAAAATAGACCATTCCTTCATTTATTCACCAGCGGGCACTCCCTGCCTGACCGAAGGACCTCCACGCAAATCCACACTGTTTCATCTAGGCCCTTGAGGCAGCATCTTTGGCTTCGACTGTTATTCCCCGCAGAGGAGGGAGAGCCGGACCCTTGAACTGTTTGGGAGATGGTGAATTATTGATAACGCAGCTAATAACACTCTAATATATTCCTGTTGTCCACACGGCGGAGGAACCGAGGCTCTATTTCATCCTTTTGAGATTAACATACGGAGTACCTCATTAAGATAACGCCTACACTTGGAGAAAGGGGCACAACGGTCAGAACTTGCAAAGGGACTAAGCTCTCCACCGACCGGTGCGGGAAGCTTTTTTTGGCTATCAGTCTTTTTTTAGGTCTCGAAAATGAAAGCATAAAACTTTCAATTGCCAAGGAGGCTTGAAGAGTTGGTACCCCCTTCTTCGTTCTCTGTACGGAATACACAGATATAGAAATAACACGTTAGGACTCCTTGCACTGTTTTTCGACCCCAAAATCTCCACTTTAATATTTGGAAATGGTTGACGACACCTGTGCATTACCTAACTGCCTATATTTGATGTTGATCAGCCCCGACTTCCAGATGGCTAGAACCCCCCTGAGGCGACCCTTGAACAACACCCATTCGTTTGATCGACTACTCCATAGCGTCAGCACCAATAATATTTATTTCCTCATACACTTCTAGCTCTTTTTCGTGGCGTTACTTGCCCTCTTTTTTCACTTCGGGCTTCTATCTCTAATAAGTCCTTCCTTTTTTTCAAAAAGGAATTTACTAACACTTGGTATTTTAGCCAACCCCTTTGGCTACGACCGTGGAGAGTGGTAACTCTGACTCCTACCCATGGTAGCAGCAGTAGCCTAATCTTGTTCCTTGTCTCCATCTTTGACAAGCTTGCCCATTGACCAGTCCGCTGTACCCTTCTTCATTGCCATTCGATTAAGGCAATTTGCTTTTTTCCCAATTCTCCTTCAAGTGCTTGACGCATCTTGAGAGAGAGAGAAAAAGGAAAAAGTCTTGGGACGTTTCACCCCACGATTTAGCCTGGTTCATTTCGTGTCCTAATTGCGGGCCGGGGGGGAGTGTTTATCAATATCCCCTTCGCTTGGTTTTATTTTTTTCCTCCTTCGCAAAAGCGCCCTCTCAAGTAGCTTCACTCGATTACCTTTTAACATCTGTTTCCCTCTTCCTTTTGTTATGGATATTGTGTTCGTATTGCACCATTCCTCGTTTGGATTGTTCCTGGACCTGTTTTTATACCCCCCTTCCACCCACAGTGGCGGTTATATCTGAAGTATATATATATGTATAGTATATATCTTTTGATATATATTTCACGATCCCTTCCAGAATATATATAGTATCCCCTCCCTTGGAACCACACCGGCCGCGGGGAAAGGACGCCTAGCTTTCTTTTTCGTTGTTTGATAATATATTTTATCCCCCTTTTCCCCTTCCCATGGCCACCCTTTAAGATCTCTCTTCGGCTGGCTATCTAGACAGTACACCTCAAATACCGCTCATCTGCTTGTTCATTTAGTGCTGAACTCTGTCGGGGATGACTTGAGCACCGTGATAACTCGAACTCCTTGTCGCATGGGGATAAAATTGCCGATCGTCGATTCCTCGCTACTCTTCGCTTTATCATACACCATCTGCGCAAGGGAGGGCATCTCAGCAATTTCAACAAACACGAAGCCGGAATCAGAGTCACTACCCGTCGATTTGCCCTTGACAATCGGTTTCCTGTTCACCGCCCGCCTGTGGAAGCGATGCGCGAGGTCACATATCGGCCCGTAAGTCAAGGAATATCAAAAGGCCTTGGCCATGGAAAACTCGACGGGATCGGCCGCAGATAAGAAACGGAACAAGCTGGGATATCATAGAACATCTGTTGCTTGTGGTAAGCATCCTACGAGTTCCTCACCTACTTCCCGTTTCCACAAAAAATCCAGCAGCTGGACAAATTCGATGCGCATTCCCATGTGACGCATATTGGTTTCGAGCCTGTCTCCTTTATAAGCGTCCAATTCACTCCGTTGGCGGGTCTGTGGAAGTTTGAGCATTGGATTAACAGATGAACTTCTTCTTTATAGTGCACTGTCGAAGGAGGAAAATACGATGCCTGCTTGCGCCCGACGACTCACAAGGCAGGTGCGAGAACTGCATCCGCCTAAAGAAAGAATGTCATTTCTATCCAGTGGACCAACAACCGGCGGTAGACAAGAGGGGGCGCCCTATAACGAAACCCGAGACTGCGGGATCCGATGCATCCCTGACTACTACACCTCCTCTGCTGGGCAGCGGGGCAGTGATGGAGCAGAAGGAGTCTTATTTCCCATACCCGAATATGGCGATTTCTTCAGGTCAAGATATATCAGCCTACAACTCTGGCGCATACCCCGGAACGCCCGTGGCAGCATATACACCAGGTTTGTTCCACCACACTTGGGAAACCGCACCGTCGTATATTGAGGGATGTGGAAGTAGGAGGGAGGTATCCTGACTAAAATCTGTTATTTTTTTTAGATCCAATAGTCGCATCTGAGCTGGGTGCGATACCAGGTGCAGCCCAAGCGGTCCCGGCATGGAACGAACCTATCTATGATCCCCAGGTACCCGGAATGGTTCTAAGACCTTCTCCAGGAGCAGTTGTACCGCCAGGGGCCATTCCCCACCCATCAAGTGGTCCAATGGCGGTGACACCAGACGCTACCGGTATACTTCCAGTCAACATGTCAGCAGCTGGATTTGGTGCTGTTCCCCACGATAGCACAGCGTGGGGTGGTCAAATATCGAGGTCTATGAGTTTATCCGCGAGGCCGGGTGTGCCGTCACCCATACCACAAGCATACCCTAGCCAGTACCACCCATCACCACAGATCAACCCTGAATTTAAACGTCGGATGACTACCCCCGCCGAATCTTACTCTGCCATGGGACACATCCCTAGCGTCCCCCAGCTCCCTTCGACACCTGTACCTGTATCGTTTGACGAAGCCCAGATACCATTTACGACCTATAACATGCCTGGAACCGTTTCTGGACAGGTAATAGTTGGTTCTGCTGCAGATCCAATGTCCCTTTCAGAGTGGTATTCGCCAGATTCACTGCAAGCACATCAACAAGGCTTTATTCCCGATCAGCAAAACTTGATGCATCGGCCACCAAGCTAGTTACATCCTACCCAGGCGTTTATACCGCACGGTCTTCTGGCTGCCTCGAAACCCCCCAAATATACCCATGAACCTGGTACCATTCTTGTTCTTCTCCCTTTTCTTCCGCCTTTTTCCTGCAATCGGAAACAAACCAAGAAACTCTAGCCTCCGAATCCGATAAGCCGTGTAAATCCCCGGGCCGGCTTCTATGAATCTCTCTTTTTCACTCTTCTCACTTTTGGAACGGCATCTCAACCAAAGGATTTTTCTCATTGCCCACCCTACGTGGGATTTATTCATTTGCCGGCGTACGTCATTAAACGGGCATCATGTTTCTTTTCTCCTTCTTCCCCCCATGAGGACCAATCCGCATCACTCTATACCTTCTAAATCCTGGCTGTACTCTTCATCTATCGTCCATCTCCCTCAATGGTTCTCAGTATCTTCCCTACGTTATCCCCCTCTACCATATGGCCTTGCTATTGCAAAAAAAGAGAAATAAAAAAAAGGGAAAAAAGAGAAAGAAAAAAAAACCAATAAGCAACCAAATCTCGGTAAATACTATACTCAATTGGCCCCCATTTATATCCAGAACGTTCTTGGGTTTCCTTTCTCTTCGTTGCATATTCATATCCCTCACTTATCTACCGAGTAAACTCCTCGCAGCTGCATGCATTTGGTACCAGGCTCAGCTCTACCTACTATCCTCCCCGTCTCTACATATCACTTCTAACGTCCATCTTGGGTCTCTTTATATGTCTCTTCTTTTTTACTTCTTTCTTTTTTTTCCTCGCATTATTAATCTTCTTCAATTTCCGTTTACATCTATGGACTGGCTACATTTGAATGTGGGCTCTGAGAGCGGCCACACGGGGTTACTCATTTAAAACGGAGAGGGAGGGTTTATCATTTTTATTTCATAAAATAAGGGCTTCTAGTGACTTTTCTTTTCTTTGCTGTTTCCTAGTAATTTTCGACTTTATATACCATGTTTTAGCTGATAACTGTTGGTCAAGGGGCTGTTTTGTCATATCGTTCTTACATCGAGGCAGAAGAACATTGCATATTTATATCTTTTGATCACCTTTTCGGAGAAAGGTCATTTCCCAGGTCTACCAAACTTCTCAGGGCCTCAAGTTAACCATATTGGCACAAAAATATCGCGGATACTCAACGGTTTACATTGAATATCAGCAACCGCTGCCCAATTCTGAGAACTTCCAACCCTCAACATCGCTGTCGTCTTCCCTTCCGCACCACTGCGGAACAAGGAGGCTTGTCAATGCCATGGGTTGCTCGTATTTGTCCCTCGTCCTCCTGCATCGACACCAATAGCGTCCCTCTGGCTGCAGGACGAAGAGGTGTGAGCTCACCCTCATGAGACGAAAAGACGGCCTGGTTGGACAAATATGACGATCTCTTACTGTCTACTATCTACTATCAACCCCAGGTTGCAGCCATGCAAAGCCTGTCAAATGTCTAACTATGCATTATTGAAGAGTAAAAAAGTTGGCTCACCAGCTATGACGGAATAGCCCGCGCCTAGTTAACTAGTAGTTTGTTAGTTAAGCCGCGGCCGGAAAACCCCACCAAAGCCTGCTGCTTCCCCCTCGCCCACGCAACTATAAAAACACGAACTATATAATAACCAACATCCACGCAGCAACACCCACAAGGACAACAAACATCACCACAGCCGCCATCCACTGCCCTTCAGACCACTCTTCTTACTCGACTGCCTCAAGAGGTCCCCAATTAGCCATAATGGCCACCTACAGCAAGGCTTGCTGCACGTAAGAGTCTCCCAGTTGATACCGAGACGCGGTTGCGGGGGGTGCTAACCCGATTGTACGAGAAGACTTCCGCCAGTGGTTGACACTGCCTATGAGCCCAAGGGCAAATATGTCACTATCTGTGGCATGAAGACCTGTATGTTGACCCATATCAGTCTGTCCTATGAGGCCACTTAGCTGACTGCCTGCCGCTAGACGTCACTGGGCCTGAAACCGCCACGGAAGCCATCCTGGTTGTATACGGTACGTTGACTGAATAGTTAGCCTGATCAACATACCTCAAAAAACATCCGACTGACTATCAGGACGTAGATATCTTTGGATTCTTCCCCCAGACCCTCCAGGGAGCAGACATCATCTCCACCTCTGATGCAGAGCGCAAATACCGAGTCTTCATGCCCGACTTCTTCGACGGCAGTCCCGCCGATATCACCTGGTACCCCCCAGACACTGAGGAGAAGAAAGAGAAATTCGGTGCCTTCTTCCAGAACAGAGCTCCCCCACCAAACACCCTTCCCCGCATTCCCAAGGTGGTTGAAGAGATCAACAAGACCTACAGCGCTGGTGGCAACGGCTTCAAGTCATGGGGTGTTGTTGGGTACTGCTGGGGAGGTAAGATCACCTCCCTCGTCTCTGCCAGGGACTCCCTCTTCAAGGCTGCTGTTCAGGTTCATCCTGCCATGATCGATACCAAGGAGGCTCTGGATGTTACTATCCCTATGGCAATATTGGCTTCTATGGACGAAGATCCCAATGAGATTGAGACGTACAAGAATAACCTCAAGGTTGAGAAGTTAGTCGAGACCTATCCTACCCAGATCCATGGTTGGATGTCTGCTCGTGGTGATTTGAAGAACCCCGAAGTTAAGAAGGAATATGAGAATGGATACAAGTCCGTTATTTCCTTCCTTAGGGCACATATGTGAGAGATCATCCTTCATCCCGTTCAATGTATATATGTTCGGTAGCATACTCTGAGAGGTGCTTCTTTTTGCCTTCTGCAAAAGTATCAATGGAGGATATCTTGATGAAAATGGACTGACCGTTGATCCATTTTTGCAACTTTTAAACCCTCTCTCTAGGTCCCCAAGTAAATCTAAAATATGATTAATACCATTCAATAGTATCGCCTCCACAGTCGGATCGAGCAAGAATCATCAAATATGTAATTGCAAAATGAATTCAAGGGAAGAGTATAAATTATGCAATACTTATTGTTATAGTTATCCTTTTGAATTTTTTCCCCTACCTTGCATACGGTTATCACCTACCAATGCGCCGAAATTACACCGTGTATATACTCGCCATCGTAGCCACAATACATAACCGCCGTGCTACCAGCAGGTCGCCCTCGCCACACTACCAACTCGGATGACCACATTTACATCTACTGCTCTAGCCTCTCGGATACTACAGGCCAAACAAGTCCGCCCAACTCTGGCAATTACCGCATCTGTACAGACAGCCGTACACCAGGCTCGCACAAAAGCTTCTTTATGCTTACTTCCTCGCGCATCAATTATGTATGTGACTGGTCGGCGACGGCGGTGACGTCGTCTCTCCTCAGGTTGTGAAGGTTCACGTCTCCCCAGTCCTGATGTAGGCTTCTCACAGGTTTCCATGCGATTGGGTGGGAATTCCGTTATACTTGGCAACGAGGTGATGGGGATATATTCGTAAGGGTAGAAGGAGGCGTGGAGTGGGTGTCCTGGGACACGGAAGCTGTTTGTTTGCTGGACGTGCGAGTTGAAGGATTCTGTATCTGGAGATTCGGGTCCTAGGGTCCAGTTATATGTGTCTTCATCGTCCGGGACAGGGGGCTGGAAGTGTCTGTGGTACTCGGATGAAGACTCTGGGTCCGCATTGTGGTTCGTGGAGTGAGCGGCCCACCCTCGCGGTGGGAGGCAAGGGAAAGAAGATATGAATAGCGAATTCTTGCTTAACGGAAAGAGAACTTTGCGCGGTTTCGACTGGGGGCTGACCGTTATAGTGAAGAAAGCATGGGCGAGAGCTCTGAAAGGAAGCATTTTACTTGGGTCATCTCGCTCACATCTCGAAAGCGTGATGTTATCAAACATGACGCTTGTTTGACGAATATGGTGCGAGTCTGAGCGTGAATCATCATCCATGGGCATGGAGAACTGTTCTGGGGTGAGCTCGCCGCCGGGACCTAGTGGCGAGGAGTCAAGCAGGACCTGTGTTGTTTTATAGATTCGTGGCACGGTTAGGTCACGCACGTCATCCATCAATACAACTTCTACCCATTTATCCGTATGGTCCTTTCCTTGCTCGTCCTGGGGCACAACAAGGCAGGAAACCCACCCCATACAAGTGGTGGACCCCTCTAGGCAACTGACAATTCTCGATACAACACAGTTCTTACTCCACCAGCTCCGGCCCTTATATATGAATCCGCCGTATAGGTTGGCTACTGGCCCAAGGATCCTTAGAGCATGAGTGTCGTTTTCCAATAACGTCGATATTAGCATATCGTTGACTGCTTCCCCTGGTAGGATAAACCCACTTAGCCAGGACCGAGATATCCATCCGCCAAAACAGGTTGTTGAGGTTGAAACATTGTGGTTTTGAGAGGGTGGAAGTAGCAGAAGGAGATGAGATGTGTCGGAGTTTTCATATGCCGATAGCCGCTGGCGAGGTGCGTCGTCCCCTGTCAACTCGTCGGTGACCAAAGGCGTCGAAAGTGTCCGGATCATGGCAGCGGGATCTGATGATATTGTATTATACTTTATTTCCAACTGGCACTTGATTTCCTCTGCATCCGGCCACTGTATTACATTCATAAAGGCAAATAAACCTTCCAACTGCTTCTTGAAAAACCGGGGCCTGGTGATGCAATCCCATACGATTTGGGTATTTGCTGGTTGTTGGCACTGTGCCAGTTGCATCCGCTTTTCCTTAACTTTCCCGCGTGTTAAAATCTGTCGAATGCGCGATGGCGGCCTTTCCTGTGGATAGTCAGGAGGCAGAGCTGGTTCGAGCCGCCCATCTGTGGGAGCATATTTAATAGTTAGGCTTTCGAAGGCTCTCCGGCAGCAGATTATTGCCCAGTCAACTTGGTCGTTCCTCATGTCATTGATATGGTAGATGTCTTTCTGAGTAATGGCTATTCCTCTTGATCGGCCTATTATGCCAACCTTAAGGGCAGCGTCAAGCCGCAAAACCAATTCGGCAGCCAGAAGAAGTTGAATCAAAAGCCAATTTCTCTCCGCGTTAATCTTGATATCTGAACCTTCTGGATACTGGTCCTTGATAATTCCATCGTGGTGTGGTGGACATTCCCAGAGGATCTGACCAGCACGGATTCTCCATTCGATCTGGGAAAAGTCGATCCAGGCATCCTTCACGGCGAGTACTTTGACAAGAGTATCAATTTGAGTCTTGATACTGGTATGCTTGAACGCATCTCCATGGACTTCCTTGGGAAGAGGGAAAAGGAAAGTAGAAAATAATCCCTGGTGGAGCTTGGCGATAGATTCTATGTCAAACAGGTTAATAGGCTTAGCCTTGAAGACCATTTGGTCTCGCAAATCGCAAAGGGTTTCTAGGCGCTGAGCAACCTGTTTGGGTGAACAATTGCGGACTCCGAGGCGTCTCCAGGCAGGCGGCCCTCCCTTGATCAACTGTGCACGGCTGTACCGGCTGCCAGGTCGACAACAACTATATGGCTCGTCATCTCCCGAAAGCGGCGCGTAGAGTATATTGGCATTAATTTCCATGGGTGTGGTGCCTGGGGGTATATCGGATTTGTTCTTCAACTTTGGTGAGATTGGAAGCTCCATAAAATGACGAAAACCGACACAACCTCTTTCCTTGGCGCGAGAGGATAGCATGTTGGGTACTTCAAAAACACCAATATCAAAGGCTGGGTATTTGTTGGTTTCTAGCTCTGCCAAATCCTGACTGCCTCCGGGTGTTTTCCTGCGCTCTAGAAACGCAGGAAGATGGGCATGCAGCGTGCATAGAGTAAAGGAGGCATGGTGCAATGGTTTTCTGTCCTGGAGGTTCTGAATGCGGGTGCTATCATCCCAAGGAAAGACAACATGCGGAAACCAATGGGATCGATTGCCCTTCTCAAGCAAGAAATGGGGAGCGCCGGAGAATATGACTCTAAGCTCCGCTCCGGACAGAGGGGAGTTCCGTGGATGGACGGTACGTCCTATATTCGAACACCTTCGTGCACTAGGTGTGGAGGTGGTATCCTGTAGGGCGTCACTGGCCTGGCATTCTGCCCTGGTCATAGGAGCATGTGAGAAGAGACGATCCCTGACATTGTCAGTCCATAACTCGGGGTAGTCTGGTATGTCTCCGGCGTGGTGGTTGGGGAAGCTATCATGTTCCTAGATCTGGTTAAATCTTTAGACTATAGGAGAGAAGAAGAACAGCAACGGCAGCAGCAACAACGGCAACTAGGGAGGGTGAGATATCACAAGTTGATCGTAATGGCCATCGTATCTGTGGCCGGACAATTCATGTTCATGTTCAGTAGTATCGGTCCCTTCCGTTGACGCAGAAGAATCCGTCCATTGCGAAGACTCTGAGTCTACAGATTCAGATTTAGAGGATCTCCGGCGGCCAAAGATGGAGTGGCGCAATCGCGTAGCACTCCTGGACCTCCTTTTGCGCATTGGCAGTTGCAACATAGTGCAACACTCCACGGAACGTGGACTGTAAACATGCAGACTCAGTTGACTATTATCACTGGCAAGTTCAGGCCAGGAATCTGTGGTGTTAAGAGCAGAACTGGAAACACGACGGAGTAACCCTCTGTTTTAGGTATACTAACTACCCCATCCCTAGTCGAATCCATGGTTAGCCCTATGATGTATTTATGATGCCACTGCCACGGCCGGAGGTAAACTTCTCTTCGCCACAGTCGACTTTAAATTAGCAGCCTCCGGAGCCTCTTCTCTTGCACGACACAACCACTTCGTATCCCGGTATCACCATCCGTCCCTCGGTCTGCAGAGATTTTCATCCTCGTCGTTGCTTATTTTCCCTCTTCTTTTCCTCTTCTTCGCCAGTTTAGATATCTTCTTTTCCATCTTCTGGATCCTGTACGAGTTCCTGACAGCGAGAAAAAGAAAAAGAAGAAAAAGAAAGAGAAGAAGTCGAAGATTTCCCAGTTGGGGCGAGGCGGTGAGGACCGGCAACTGGGTCACGGGAGCGGCAATACAGGCCATTACACCGATACGCCCCAACGGACCCCTGATTTGCTGGTGTAACGTGACCTGAGTGGCGTATTGAATACATCGTGATACAAACGCCCCCTTTCATGTATATCAGAAAGGATAACAGGCGACGACAGGGAGGAAGACAGACCAGACAGACCTTTTTTTTTACGACCAGGGCAATGGGGAGAAAAAGCCGGTGAGAAAAAGGGTGACATGATCCCTGGGACGAAGAGACGCAGCCGTCCGCGCGGATCTCGGGCATGTGCCGTCCATTTCCACGCAGGGATAGAACGCCCTTAATATATACATTCATGCCTTTCATATCCCCTTACGGAAGGCTTCTAATGTAGGTGGCCGTGGAAGGTTGTACACCCCCTTAGACAAACAGGCAACGCCTCAGAAGCCTGACGCCTGACGCCTGACGCCTTACGGCTGGCGAGTGACGGCGGCGACCGACTTAGCGCTGGGGGGGTGGCCGCAGCCCCTGACCAAGTTAACTCCAGCATGTACGGAGTATGTAACTCCATCCAACAAGGGGAAAGGCGATGCCAGCGAGAGAGTGACAACACAGCATCTCGAAACTTCACGGACCTCCCTCCCTCCTAACTATTCATAGAATTAGGTACGTACGCACGATATATGGACACTCTGGCCAACACTCTGCAGGCCTACCTTACCTTACGGAGTACCTATAGTAGCTCTAAGTATATGTGAGTAAGCGTGACATGGCATGGGCATGGGCATGGCATGGCCTGCCCCATACAAACGAGCGAGCTAGTGAGCTTCTCCGTAATCCGTAACTAGCTCAAAGCAAACAAGCCCGTAACTAAGTCACTCTTGCTTGCGTCGATGATACATGAAGGGGAGCGCAGAATATGAGCTCCACCAGAACCAAGCAAAGCAGGCAACCCGACAGCGTCCTTCTCATGTGGTCGCTTGGATCGCCTTAGCCTCGCCTCTCTCTGCCATTTCTTCTTTGCTCTTCTGCCTCTCTCTCTCCTCTTCCTCTGCCTCCCCCGGACTGTCACTAGAAATCTCCTTTTCCTCGCCATTTATAAAGCCCTTGCCTCGCCCGGCTTCCCCTTCCTCTCTCCCCTTTTTCCTCTTCCTCCTTATCTACCACACCAGCTGCTGCCGCCGTCTCTCTGCCTGTCAAGGTACCCTGCTCACCCAATCTCTCTCTCTCCCTCCCTCCCCTTTCTTCCGCCATAACATCCTCAACGCCATACTGCTGTAAGTCATCTCCCTCTTCCTCCTCAAGCTCATGATTCTTCCTCTCTGTCAGCCCGATTATCGGAGCGGCAACGGTCTTACTCAGAAGCCTGATAACCGGAACCAAACGCTGACGCTCCTTTCCAGTCATCAGCCATCAGCCATCAACCAACAACCATCAGCCAGCGTTCATAGCCGGATTTGCCTTACGAGCCACACTCTCATACAAAGTGCTCGTCAATCGTCTCATTAAGGACGACGTCAAACGCTTGCCTACCTCTACTTCTGCCGTCTACACTCTCCAAAAAATGGCCCCATCCAGAAAGCCACGTTGCCAGTTCAAGGCCTGCAAAGAGCTCGCTCAGCGTATAGTCGGCGACTGTGGCTTCTGCAAGGGCCAGTTCTGCAGCAAACACCGTATGCTTGAATCGCATAGCTGCAGCGGCCTGGAGGACTGCAAGAAGGAGTCACATGCCCGTAACGCCGAACGGTTGAACTCCGAACGAACAACGGTCGTCAGAGGAGTATAATGAGCCATTCTTGTCTCCCTTTGCTTGTTTCCGATTTTTCATCCTCGTCGGCATGCTTTATTATCATATCATTACCCTGGGACCGGCCAGCTTGATACGGGGGTGTCGGGGTCAGGGGGGAGTCCTCTTCTTTTATTGATATTGTTGGGACTTGGGGGGTGGTGGTGCTCCGGTGGGTTTTGGTCTTTGGGATAATATTCTTGGATATTGTTCTCTTTCCCCTTTCCCTTCTGCCTTATCGGCTGGGAATTCCTCAATATATCTGTTTTCGTGCTGCTCTTCCAAGCCCTGCAGCGTACCGGCTTATTTTGCCCGTTTTTAGAGTCTAGGGTCTGGCTTGGTCCTATTTCTCTCTCTTTTCCTTTGCTTCCTTTTTTGCATGGTGTTTGGCCTGGTTTCGTCATATTTCTCCCATTTAGCCTGTCTTATCTTGATGTGTTTCTCTATTAATTGTGCTGAAAGACCATTGTTTGTGATATAAAGGGTATTTGGCTACCAAATAATATCAATGTTATAGACCTATACTCTCCCCATACGTGCCCATGCCAGTGTCTAGTAACTCTAGATCACACAAGAAAAGTAACATATATCGTAGATGCATGTTCAAACCTGTAGACTTGAACAGAAGCGAAGACAAAGAAAACAATGCAGGAAAAGCAATAACTGCAGGTGTTATCCTGGTCCAATTCTCGGCCTATCGAGTGATACCAAGTCAGCCTTGCCAAAACAACGATGGCAACTAATTCGGTCGGAACTTACATGTCGTGATGTTCGCTCAGGTTGCTGAGGTACTTGTTCAACTCCTCCACTCGCTCTTTGTGTGTCTTGACGCCTTCTCGCTTCAGTCGTTCGTTGAGCTGTAGACGAAACAACCGTTAAGCTTGGATGTCCCTCATAAACAGGTGCCTAGGTAGGTAGACTTACCCGCTTCCGCTTTGCCTCAGCATGCCTCCTCTCAGCTTCAGTCTTCCCGTCATCGCCCTCAAGGAGCTCGCTCACACTCCGACTCCGGCTATCCTTTTCCCCCTTTGCGCTCGACCCTTCACCAACAGCTGCATCTCCGTCCTCCTCCTCTTCTTCCTCCTTTCTCACAGCAACGCCTGCCTCCTTTTCCTTATCTCTCTTCTTCTTTTTCTTCTTCTTATCCACACGCCCGTCCTGAACCTTGGAGCCTTTGATCTTCAACCGGCCTCCTCCACTTACTGCATACTCGTTGGACGGTGCCATGGCTTGCGTCGATGGCGAGGGAGGGGGTTCGGTAGTGTGCTATCGTAGCTAGCAGGTAGCACTTAGCCAGGCTTATTCGCTGATCGCGATGACTTGGCTATCGATTGGGCCGCATGTCTGGCACGTCTGCGCTTTTGGCTTCATTCGCTGGTTCTTCTTGCGCTGCAAAGGAAGAATCGGTTTCTCTGCCTGCAAGGGTGAAGCTACAGGTGATTATGTAATAAATTACGTCATTCTGCAGCTTTGCAAAAACATCCGAGGAGCTCAGCTAGAGTGTTATTTATTCAAGGCGGACGAGACGTTAGATATTTATTTATTTTGTTATTATTTGTATTGGCTACACTTATATGCCCTACTGGTCGGCTGAGTGGTCGGTAACATCACGACGGTAGCCATATTTACATGATCAATCAAATGGGATAGGCCGTAGCTCGGAACCTCCCTGTCGTTTCCTCATCTCTTCACCCGCAGCCACAGCACTAGGCACCTTGATACCACAGCAGTCTCCCCAAAAGTCCACGCCATTTGAAGACTTGTGAGAGTGGTCGCTACAAGGGCCATTGCCATGGCTGTGGCTGGAATCATGTACGCCCTCCTGCGGCTCCCGAACGCCCATCTGCGGTGTCGCAGGAATCAAGCTGCCGAACAGGAAATGCTGCATGATTGGCAGCTTGCCCAGCACTTCCTTGGTAAACATCTTCTTCATGCCGGCTTCTACCTTGTACCAGTTCTTGGCACCGGAAATGTCATCTAGCATGGGACTGTGCCACCGTAGGCCCTTTACGGTCTTTACGCTGTCCACCCATTTCACTTGGTCGAGGTATATCCATTTTCCGCGCTCTTCATCGAGGACGACGTTATTGTGTATGGATAGGGGGGTTATATAGCGATGGCCCGCCAATTGTGATGCACCGAAGAGAAATGGCAGGAATTGATAGTCGTCGAGACCCCAGACACCATGGGATCCGGCAGGCTCGAGGTAGTATGTTAGCTGGATGTGGCGCATGAGCTCGATATAGCGAGTGAAGACGCTGCAGACTAGAAGGGGGAAATCGGGTGTGTCAAGCATCCGGAGCTGGTACAAACAAAGCAGCCACATCACGAAGTTGAGCTCGTGGCCTGAGCCGTAGTCGAGACGTGAGCGCGAGCCCAGAGAATTGACTAGGTATGTTGATATCTCGGCTATGACAGCGTCGTCAGTAATGCCCAACAGCTCCTTATGCCATGAGAGGCTGTGAGACTCGACATCATCAAAAAGGGACCGGAACGCAGGGTTGCCGAAACGAGATCCGCCCTGATCAAGGGATGGGTGGGCATTGAGCAGCGAATCTATTGATGATAGTATCTCGAGAATCTTGGATATGATGGGCGATGGTGGCGAGGTACGACTCGACTGCTCAAGGACATCTGGTATCGACTTTTGCTGCACACTGTCCGATAGATTGAACACGAAGCCCGTAACAAGATTGTACGATGGCGAGGCGAGGAAGGATTCGTGATCCTGGACAGAGAGAATGCGAGGCACAGGGCGCGTGTACTTCAGATTTTCCGTTGCAGGGCGAGGGGGCATCGATGGGGTTGGTGGCGCTGAGTCGCCAGCGGCAGGCTGCCGTCGAGGGCCGCCAGTTCGCGTTAGCTTCTTCGACAAGTCGATTTTGGGGATAGAGGCAGAGACACGAGGCGCTGGTTCCTGGGTAGACGACGCCATGATGCTCGACCTCTTGCTTGCTTGTTTGCTCTGCGTCTTCTTGTTCTTCTTTCTGCTTCTTTTTTGCTTCTTTTCTTCTTCTACGTTTTTGTCGTTCAAGGTTGAACCCGTGACGGATGACGTAATCGAGTATAAATCGAAGATGCAGATGGAGGTGAAGATTGACAGCTAGAGATGAGGTTAAGATGATGATGATGATGACGGTGGTGGTGGTGGTGGTAACGGTGATGGTGGTGATCGTGATGGGCAGATCTGTATTAGGTTGTAGGTCAGGTTGAAGGTGGAGTGTGATTCATTCCATAGTAAAGGTATCCTAGTTTGCTTATCATTCAGCGCCTGAATACGGGGTGTCTTATATACAGAATAGGGCCTTTGGAGTACTCTGTAGGAAGTTCTGACTCCATAGAGAGCTCATCATCTATAACAAATAACGGCTTTCAGAAGCGGAATTGTGGGAGTATCCGTAAATAGTAGTCAAACGACTTGTCTCCGCATAAAAGGTTGTGTAGAAGCGTTTGCTCACATGAGAATCTCCCTTATGCAGCAGGCAGAAGGTGTATATCCCTGCCGCCTAGAGCGATGTTGACTGTTGACTGTTGAGCCTTGCAGTCTCATGATCGATCCAGGCCAGATGCACGTATATAGGAAGCGAAGAGGGGAAACCACCGCCAATAGGTCTGAAGGGCCGAAGCATCGTAACTCTTTCTCAGCTCTGCCCTCGCTCAGACACCTATCATCGAAGAGGACGGCCGATTCCTGCACGATGGCTCCCCCTTGCACCTTGCACCACCTTGCACTACGGCGCGCCTGATCCAGTCAGTTCACCAGCCATGTTTTTTTACCCCCCTCAGCCATTCATCCCAATTCATTTGGCTCTCAGGGTTTTCGCCGTCTCTCGTCCAAAGGCAGCCCAGGATTGCGCCTCTGTCACACCCAGACCCATCCTCCCAGGCCCTCTTAGGACATTAATCCACCCCCTTCAAGCCCATCGTCACTCGGCCAGCCATGCGAATGTCCAATAAGATGCGGCGCACCGTCGCCACTAGTCAAGCGACTGTCGACCTATATCAGCTCAGCTCCCACTAACGCAGCTGCGAAAGGGCGATCTGAACGCGGAAAAACTCTGCTTGGGTGGGCCCGTCCACGCAGACGGGAGGGTCAAAGAAGACCAGAGAAGGGAGAAAGGTCTTAGCCTCGCGCGGCGCTTCACTGTTAATGTGTCAATAATGTCGTTGTCTTCGTGCAGTAACTAGCGGTCGTGGGTGGTGCTGGGGCGTGAGGCCGGAGGATAAGATAAACCTCTTGTGAGACGAGGTCGGCCAGGAACGCGCAAGACTATGACGACACGAGGAGGACAGAAGACAGACGACCAGTTGACACTAAAAGAAGGGAGAAAAGGGATAGAGACCAGAGGCAGATGCACAGTTGATCGAATGCATGATCAACAGCCAAGCCATCTGCCGGAGTTTTTGACCTTGTTGGTGCTGCATCCCTGGACGAACCCTGGCCTGGGCTTGGTTCGTGGGCGAGCGAGCGAGCTGTGGTCTCGAGGGAGTAGCTAAAGGTATATACAACACCCACGCATGCACTTCCGCCGCCCGCCGCCGCCGTCCCTTATTTTCTTCATTTTTCGCTCTATATGCTTTTCGTGGCCTTCCCGTAGTCCATTTTTATCTTCGGCGTCGCTTTTTTCTGCTCGTCTAGACAAAGGGGACGGCCCCCTTCACCGTTTCTTCCGCAGGCATCCCACCAATTACCAGCAGTGGGTGACGGTAGCTCCAACCAGCGACCTCTTCCTCCCCCCGGCCAGAGAGAGCCAACCAACTGGCCACCCAAGAACCAACACATAGCCGAGGAGCAATACGGAAGCAGCAAGAAAAGAGAAACGGAAAGAGACGAGGGTCTAGACAATGGCTGACTCGGCGACGGCGACGACGAGGTCAGGCTCGAGACCTAACTATGGTTCCTTCTCTTCACCAGCCGAAGCAGACTCGCATTCTGATTCTGGCTCGTCTACTCTGTCCAGAGATTCCATGGAGTCAGCTCATACTGCTTCACGGCCACAGTTCAGCAGGATAAGGACGCACCAGTCGATAGTTCGTGACCGCAGCCCCATGGACAATAGCGTGGATGGGCAGTGTGCGCCAGGCGCTGGAGGCGCTGCACCAGCTGCATCTGATAATAACCACTTCAACAATGCTCATGGCAGCAACGTCGTCAATGGTGGCACTATACCCCGGCAGCGAGGTGCCTCTTACTCGTCCCAGCGGTCTAGGAAGGGGAGCATACGACCGGAACAGCCGCTCTCGTGGTACAAACGCATGCTTGAGAAGTACGGCAGCTTGGAGCTGGAAAACAAAGGCAGCGTCGCCAGAGACCATCTCGCTTTAGGTACGTTTTTAAATCCTTTTTTTTCCCCTATTTTCTATTTTCTATAGAGCCCATTCTCGAAATATGGAATTCTAATGACTGGTAGAACGCACATTTCTCTCGTGGCTACGAACATCTCTCGCCTTTGCCTCCATAGGGATAGCGGTTACACAGCTTTTCCGTCTCAACACCGCCATCCAGCAATTAGATCCCTCGCTTCACAGACCCAGCGACCCAACCGCTCTTCTATCAGAACACTACAGAGAAACTTCCAAGGGCCTCTACTTCACCATCACAAGTAACAGCAGCCAGCTTCGTGGTCTCGGAAAGCCACTAGGCGCCACCTTCATAGGAGTAGCCATACTTGTCCTCTTCATTGGCTTCCATCGCTACTTTGAGAGTCAATACTGGGTGGTCAGAGGGAAGTTCCCTGCCAGTCGTGGCAGTATTGCCCTGACGGCATTCATCACTGCGTCTCTCATGGTCAGCAGTTTGGTTATCATCCTTACCATATCACCGGGTGCTACGGAGTCATAAACGCATTCACTCTCGCTCATACCCGAAGAGAGAAAAAAACCAATCTTACATTCAACACAGCTCTGCTTTTCTTTGTTCGGTTTACATGCATTTACGCGGAGTTCCTCGAATTCACCTTCCCTTTCCCTTGCTGGATACCTGGGAATACTAACGAAGAAAACCGTCACATCGCATCTTGCCATCAATTTATTTGGATCCCTCTCGAAGGATAAAAACATTGTCAGTTCTGCTTGCACAGTTTGTCTGTTTCGGTGTTTCATTAGCGAGGCATCAGGCTTTGAACTTCTTCGCGTCTTCTCTTCGTCGTCTATTCTTCTGCATTGTACATCTACTTTCTACGTTCTAACGTTCTTGTCCTTCTTCTTTTCTCTTGTTATGCCCTTCTTCAATACCCCGCCTATCACTGGCTTTGGTTCGCTCATTATTCTCTTCTCTTCTCTCGTTGGAGTCTTGAAAAACATCCTGCTCATCCAATCTTTCTCCATTCAAGTGTTATTTAATGCCTTCCACACGTGTTGATTTCTATTACGTATTATCGCTAAAATTTCCATGTAGCCATCCAGGACTCGCCCTGTTCAATTAGTAGTAACAAATGCAACCATATTTTAGGTCAACTATATATATTTTGCATGTCATGCCAATCCCTGTCCAAACCAACTAACCAACCAATGGCAGCCGCCAACTCAAATATCATTCCTGCATATCAATACGAAAACGCAAATGCTGGCTGGCTGATCCATCCATCGAAATGCTTGACATTTCTTAATTTATCCTGAGGCATTTACCGCGACTGCACACCTAGATGTTCGGCACTATGCATATAGGTATGGAGGTGGTAGTTGACTTCGGAGTTGGTAGACATTCATGCTAGGGTCTGCTGTATCGCCCTTCTAATGAATCCATCCAACATCTCCATCCAACTAATGTGTAGCCGCCCCCGAATGTCTCAGGTTTATTTCGCTGGGAATTTTTTGAAAGCAACGGGGTTGAAAATGGCAAAGTAGGTGGGAAAAACTGCATACCAGCATTCGGCATCAAATAAGAACTGCAGACGCAGTACCATATGCTCCTTGTTGAAATAGGATATAGTTATACTCCAACATATCCTATTTAGCCACCGAAAGACAATCCGATAATGAGTTGGCCTGGCATGCAGCCATTAAAATGCCAGCAGGTATCATGCAGTGGCCTGAACAAGCTACTATATCAACGCCGGAGAACGTTGCACCGTAGTTGGATGACAATAAAAAGATTCACATAATAGTACAGGATGCTAGGCAGAAAGGCACTGCAATTCGAGTTTTGACTGTCTCAACTCTGCCTAAGGCCCCTAACGCTGCATGGTTACCCGTTGGCACTCAGTGTATCACATGGGACAATAGTTCAAGCCAACTGCAAGTCCTTCGCACATCTTTCTGCAGAAGATATTCGCGCCTTCATGCTAGGCGTGCCCAGGATGGGTATATTATGTGGATTGAATTGCTGCATATTGCACCGGAAACTGGAGGCGGTGTGCTCAACAACCGTCACCGGTGTCGTGGAGGCCTGTCATGTCAAACTGGTGTGGTTTGACAGCTGGCCTTGGTATGCAGGCAGCAAAATAAGGGGTACACATGCAATACGCACAATATACGGAGTACATATCTTTTATTTCAGAGAACAAATGCCTTGTCGTCGTGATCTTTGTTTCGTTTCTCATAATGTTTTTGTCTTGCCCAAAAATCGAAACGATGACATAAGCCATAACTATATTACTGATCAAATATATCACATGATATGTGATTAGTAATAAGGTAGAAAGTGTTACTCCCCTTTTTTTGATTTGAGAAATTGAGAGTGTATCAAAATAAGTGCAAGACATGTTTTCGCTGACGCATTTAATTTTGTTGGCGCGATGGGCTAATTTCAAGGGACCTTTGGGGTTGTCTTGACAAGAAGAACTATGAGTTGAAACATGGCGTCCTGAGGAATGTCCAAACACGGGGGGCCTCTCGTGGTTTCCGTGGAGATCGCCATCAACGGCTGGTCATGGAGTGGATTCAACGTCCCACCTGTATCAAAGGGGCCTTCGAAGTATATGGAAGGCATCAAACTGGGCCTACGTTAGTGCGTTCAGACAGCTCACGATGGAGTCGGCGGGTATATTCGGCGGCTGCCTTAATTTTTTTTTTTAATGAGCTAGCTCCAGTGCGTGGTCAGTGATGCAGTCATGGCCACAAAGCTCATCATCATATCCCGTATCTTGTACGGAGTATGTATTTAGGAAATGGGTATTTGTATCTCCGGGTATCAATATATGAAGCGAAGATATCTCCCGAAGCGAGGAGGCAAAACGATAACGATCGCGAACATGGGTTTATACGAGATTGATATTCGATTGCATGGGCGGAGGGTGTGAACGAGGAAAAAGCATAGTTGGGGTAAGTTAGTCGCCTAACTTAGCAAAGCAAGCTCGTTCTCCAGAGTTCAGGTCGTTTGCCCCGAGGTTTTGTTAACGTTGCGTGGTTCCGGTGTGCTTTAACTAACTTACGAACAGGTCATCTGTCTGATCAATCCCGATAAACTTTCGTATAGGAAGAAATGAGGCAGGCATGCTATATTGCCATTTCGTGAGCTTGCTTCTGGTCAAGAAGAAAAGAAAAATCTGAAAATGTGATGGATCGAAGGAGTTGGGCATGGCGAGGCCAACGGCGACGGCGAGAAGAAACCAGGGTTGTACGTAACGGACGGGTGTGGCAAAGCCATGGTGATGAGATGAAAGGTTCCGGCATCATCGGGTTCTGTCTGACTGAACTTTGAATTTCCTGATTGTCGAAAGGAATCAATTGGAATTGGAGAAGAGAGGTATGTTCCGCTTGGAGATGGATGGAAATATTGATCAGATAGGCCTGGCACGGATGTAACGTCTGGCCGGTAACTTCTCGTTCCTTCCCTCCACGACCCGGGAAGCGGCTGAGACGGCGGGTGACGGATAGCCCTGTTCGTCCCATGGCGATCGATGCCGCGCTTTAGGGATCAAGGTTGGTGAATAAGTGAGAAGAACAGTTGAGCGGCAGTTGATCAAGAAGGGTGAAGAAGCATTGACGGCCAGGGTGGGCTCCGTTCGTGGGTAAGGGTTGAATGATAGTGATACTCGGCACATCTGAGCGGTGGTACAGGGCACAGCACAGCACAGCACAAGGTGTCAACTGCCCTGCAGAACGGAACACTTGTACTTAACACCAACCCTGTACGCCGTGCAGGTTTTCCAACTCCTGTGCTCCGTTGTTGGAGAGGAAAGAAAGGAAGAAAGAAAGAGGAAAAGGGGAATCCCTAAGACATTTTAATGTTGGACATGTCCCTCTTGGGGTGCAGCCGTTTGCTCAATTTTTCTCCTGGGGAACTAGGAACTGAGGAACCGTTGATGTTTCCCTTGTTCATAACCAACGTACCCTGTGTTATCTACCCACAACGAGCCACTTAATATGCAACTCGATATAAACCAGGTCAAGCCAGGTTCTGCCATTCATCCATTCACCTCTTATTTCCAGTCAGCGTGATGCCGTGGAAGTTGGGGTTGGCAATTGAATGAACGAAGAAAGAGTCAACAAGTTCCCTTGCCTTTCTTGCCCCTTAAAAAGATCCATGTAACTATCCCTGGGGTTGGCATCCAGGCACACCACAGCCACCCTGGTCGCTTGAGTAATCTTCCATGCCCCTGTCCAGGTCGGGTCCCTGTCGCCGCTCAGCGTTTAACAAGATGAACTGCCAGTTTTTTATTAACCGGTTAGCAATGCGAGTTCAAAGGACGTACCTATCTTGTGCGTTCATTACTCCGTAAACCTGAGGGATAAATAACTAATCGCGCATATCTGGAGGACATAAATAAAGAGGCGAAGCAGATCAAGGCTGCGTGCTTGCAGGGCATGCATGGAAGGGCGGTAGCATGCAGTTTGGTGCACATCAGTTGCGAACTAGGTATGCAACTCGGTTGCAAGTGTAAGTGTGTATGTATATACGTGCATGAAGGAACCCGTCCATCCCCTTGGCCCCATGTCCGGAAGACCCCATGCGTAGAAATACATGCATGCATACTTAAGGTAGGAAGTGCAAGCAACCAACTAAATTCACGATGCCTGTTCCTGGCCCAGTCATCCCTCCTCTCCTGATGCCTGTGGAACGGCTTTCTTCAGAGAACCTTGAGGTCTTGTGGTGTAAAGTACACACACACCCGACGGAGTGATTATCGGCAGACGGATGGCTCTTCCGGCAGCCAGGATGGCCGCTTTGATGAGGGTAAGTGAAAGGTCTGGTCTTGCTAGCCGAAAGGCTGCGGCGAGGAGGGAGGTAACTAGATACGTGCATATATCGAGGTTGGACAGAGAGTGGCGACGGGATAAAAAGATGAAGGAGAAGGAGAAGAAGCAGTCAAAGGAGAAAGGGGGAGTTAAGGCAGCCATCTAGCTGTCTACACGTCTCAGGGGCGGCGCAGAAGTTGGACAGGCAGCGCCGGAGAGCTGGTAGTACTAGTAGTTAGACGGATGTATTTCACTAATCAATCAATCAATCAATCATTCAATCAATCAATCAGGCTAACCAGTAATCCGCAAGTACATATACTAAATAGGATAAATCTGCGAGCGAAGGTTCGAAATATTGCATATGAATAATATAAAAATAAACACAAAGCAAAAGTAAGTACATAACATCTCTCAGCCACATTACACACAGACATGCATGATGCTGTGGTGTCTAAATCTCATGCATGGTAACGCTGCAAGTGCAACGGATGGGGTTGATTTGCTACATATAACCAGCTAGTTCGTATACTTGGAAGTCAAACATATCAGAAAGCAATATATGTAACCAGAATGTATATACATCTTGCTATGGGCTATCTGTGTACCCGTACCCTGTGTGACGCGAGCTATATGATGATAGGATTATACGGAGCACCATTACCGTTGGACTGTGAGAGCCTGAAGACAAGTCAACTAGTCAAAGGGGAGAAAAACTGGGAAAAAGCTTGGATGATCGACTCGATATGTTATAAACCGATCGGCCGTTTGGCTATAACTGCTATCTCTATAGCCATGAAAATGTAACCAGATGGATGTCTGTCTGTCTGCCCAAGTGTCGACTGTCGACCGATGTGTTGTCAGGGGGGGATCTACCCGTCTGTCTGTCTGTCTGTCTGTCTATCTTGTCTTTCTGGCCGTCCGACTGGCTGTCTGTCCATCGTCTCAGGCTGGACTTTCTCCCCGGCAACAGCCCCCTTGGGCTGGGCTGTCCACGGTCGGAATCACCTTCTATTCGTCGGCGAGTCCGCATCACTATACATATTATTAAACTAGTTACATATTTTCCGACACGGAGGCCCTGAAATCTGAGGCTGAGAACGCAAAAAAGTGTATCCTTATACATTTATTCCGTGGAGGAATGTTTCAAATCGGCCATCTCGATCAGCCAACTAGCTTGCTGGACTGGACTGGTGGACTTGGATAGGGCTGATGGCTGATGGCTGATGGATGGGCTGAAAGAAAGCAAACCAAAACCAGACAAGAAAAAGAAACAAAACACTATCTACCCAGGAAATGAGACATTGAAAGGGGAAGAGAAGAGTAATCGCAAGTGGTACTCTCTGTAAGTAATGGTAGAATAATGAGGGATTGAGTGGCTGACCGGCATGACGACGCTGTCCCGTCTTGGGTTATTATTATTTCATTTCGATGCTGTGCTGGCATCTCCGTCAAGAGGCGCTTAGAGGCGATGATTCGTGGATTGTGGGATGATTGCGAGTGGAGACGGGACGGTGTTTACAGGTTTGCAAACGAGAATCTCATTTCCCTTGCTAATGAAGAAGACGAAGGAAAGGAAGAAGAAGGAAGAAAACGTGGATTGATTAGTGACGATGATAGTAATGCTGATATCAACTGGCTCTTCCCCTGAAGAAACTGAAGAAACCGACTGAAGGGGCTGGCTTGGTCATCCTGGCGTTTGGGGAGGTTATAGCAGTCGGATATTATGGCCTGTTCATTTTATTATTTAACTACTAATTCTGCTTGTTATGGCTAAAATAGAAAGGGTAACTGGAGATAATATTATTCCTTTTTCTTTGCTATCCATCATCATCACCACGGCGTCAAGAGAGAGAGAGTGACGCCCTAAAAGGGTAAAAAGGGGGTCAAGAACCAAGGTCAGGCCGGGACCAGGGGGTTTACTCACTTCTGCCTGTATGTAAGTATGTGTATGTGTGTGTGTGGACTCCACAAGCGCTACTCCGTACTTGACTGCACTTCCAACAGCTGCTGCACTCGTCTATCCCTCCGTAGCAGCGAGGGAGGAAAGGACGAGAGAATTGCTTTTGGGCACGGAAGAAGAAGACGAAGAAGGGTGAACCCCCATACCATCCCCCATCCCCATGCAGGCGAAATACGACGGCACAAGTTAGTATGTATGTATGTACTTACCTTAGTTGACGAGTGAGTTTGGCTTGAAAAGGTGGCTGGGGGGGTGTCCGCTCTCAGTAGTTAGTGTATGTAAGTACGGGGAGAGGAGAGAGAAAGAGGGAGGCTATGACGATATCGAGCTACCGACAGATCATGAGACAGACAGTCTTTCTTTTGTCTCATCCGCCTCTCTCTCTTGTGTCTGTATCTGTATGTATCTGCGTAGAGTACGGGGTACTCTGTAAGTAGAGCGGTAGATGCGAGTATCCGTCCATCCCTGGGCGGCGTCAAGGAGAGTTAGAGCGTAAGTAAGGGCCGTGATGAAGACAAGCAGACAAGCAGATAACAAGACAAGAAGAAGCAGTGCTCGGGCGCATGACAGCTAACTCTCCTGCTAACTAAGTCGAACTCTTGTCCTGCTATCACCGTCAACTGTCTGGGATCAAGCTGGGATGCGCCCAGGGCCAGGACAAGGGGCCCCCGATCGCATCTTCAGATCCGCCATGGACTACTTCCGACTCTCCAGTCCTCCCCTTTTCCCATAACCTTGACCTTTTCTTCTTCTTTCCTCTTCTTCTTCTCTACTTCTTCTACTTCTTCTACTTCTCATCTCATCTTCATCTCTTCGTGTGTTTTATGTCTGTATCTATGTCTGTATTTTATCTGCGTATCATCTTGTACCGTCGCGGTAAAGTTACCTGCCAAGCCTGTTCCTGGGGAGACGCCAGCTGTACCTGAGCTAGTCCCCTTTAGGCCGTCCTCGAGTCTCCTTAGCCAATGACAAGTCGTAACCCTGCCAAGCCCGATTCCCAGTGGCCCTTGCATGCCCCACTTTCTCCTTCCTCAGCCACTCACCGAGCACCAAGTGGGCCCGTGTAAACCAAAAAAAGAAAAAAGCCCCGCCAGAAATACAAAAAACAACAACAACTTTTTTACTTCTTTTTTTGTCTTTTCTTTTTTTTTCCCTTTTTTCTTTTTTTCATTCGCTGTTTTTTGCTTTTTCCGCTTGTTCTTCGTCGTCTTCTTTTTGCTGCCGCTTTTTCTCTTTCTTCTTGACTTCGACCTTCAACTTCGACTTCAACATCTTCATCTTCCTCCTTCTTCCTCCCTTCAACCTAAACCTCATCTTCTTCCTCCTCTCGCTGGCTACAGGTCGCCTGTGGCCGTCCGTTCCTTACATCCTTCGCACGTCTCTTCCGTGCGCTTTTCTTTCTATCTCTCTCTCTCTCTCTCTCTCAGTCACTCCGTCTATCACTGTCGCCTGGCCGGTCGCCCCGTCGGCTTTCTCGCCCTAACGAAACCGCCTCAACTCAACACAAAAACCACCTTTTTCAACGACCGCCAGCCAACACACAATAACAATAACAAACACTATCTTCATCATCCTACCAAGCGCCCTTTACGAGATATTGTTATATTGTTTTTCTTGTCCTTTCTTGGGAAGGCTGTCTCTGGAGGAAAATACTCCGTACGATGTCTCCGGCTTGTGTGGTGAGGAAACACACACACACAAGACACAAGAAATAAGGGAAGAGCCGGGGAAAAGGAGCCGCTCTATCTTTATCAGTCATTTATTTGATCTGGCAAACCCAGCTTCATCATACATGAAGCCCGGAGGATTTGGAATGAGCAAGTAGTAGAAGAGGAAGACCTGGAGAAGAGTGGCTTTAAGGGAAGCTCATCTTCGTCCTTCTCTCGCTTGGTCAACTTATTCTTCCCTTTTCTTTTCGTTCGTTCTTTTGTTTCTCTGTCTCTCTTTTTATATCTCTTTTATTACTCTACAGCCATGACATCGATATCTCTCGGGGCTCACCAGCCTTCTTCCTCTCACTGGAACCACCACCAGGAACCTCCATCCAGTTACGACTCTCGCATGAACAACCCTCCTACTTTTCCTCCTCCTCTCTCGGCGCCTCTCCCGAACCCGTCGTTCTCTTTTCCCGCTCAACCGCCGTCAGAAAATAGTAGTAGCGGCGGCAGAGTCAACAGCATCCCCAGCAACAACATGTCTAGCAGCTCTCGGCGGGGCAGGCGGCAACCCCCTGCTTCTCTACCTTCGTTTTCTTTCCCTCAGGCGCCCCCAGAGACCGTCTCTACTCCTACTACCGCTACTGCTCCTGCTTCGACGATAACAACAGCGACTGCTGCTGCTCCGGCCTCTCCTGGGCTTGTGGAACCCGCCCAACATTCTGCCAAGGGACACCGCCGTCTACCCAGTGAGTTTCTTGGTGATGTCTCCTCCCAGGTAGCCATCAGCAGTTCCAAGGCAGTTCCTTCAACGCTCCCCCATCCAGGCCCTGGACTCGCCGCTGCCGGTCCCGGTAGAGGTGTCCGGAGACACGCCCACAGGAGATCCCAGGCTATCTCCAGCGTCGACCTCACAGCCGTAGCCAAGGCATTTCCCCCGGTACCCGTCTCTGGAAGCGTCCCAACTTCGCCCATTTTGCCGTTTGCCAGTGACAAGAACTCAAAGCTCTCTTCGCGGTCGTTTCCGGACATCTACACTGCTCAGCCCTCTCCCCAACGGTCAGAGCAGCAGGTTTCACCAAGGCACGCGCGCAAGGAGGAGTCGACTACTACTGCAGCAGCAGAAGTAGCTCCGGTCCCTTGCCGTCCTCTTTCGACAATATCTTCAGAGAGCAGTGTCTCCACCGTTCGTCCTAACCAGATCTTCTCAGACCGTTCTGGCCCCGAACAAAGAAGTGGCGCCAGTTCTCCCCATAACAGCAGTAATAATGAAACCACTACCACCAACATCAGACCAAAGACCGCAGGTGCCCAGTTGGCAATGAAATGGAAATCCTTTGGCCCTTCAAACGATCACAATGAACCCACCAAAAGGCCACTCTCTGCTTCCGCTTCCATGGCTTTGAACTTCAACCTAGGAAACGTTTGCAGAAGCCAGGAAGCCGCCGACAAGACCACTTCCTCTGCCGCTTCGTCTTCTTCTTCTACTGCTAACGGGCTAGATCGTGAGACGGATGACGCTGAAACCTCTACCTTGACTCAGCGCACAGCACACGAGCACAAGCCGTCTAAGAAGGAAAAGAAAAAGCGCTCCTGGGCAGGCATCCTTATTCGCAAGGGGAAGAAACGCTCATCGAAGAAGTCTCGCAAGTCCCCCACGCCTCCACCCATGCTAACACGGACCAACTCGGAGCTCGGATCCATGTACAGCGTTGACTTTGACCATGATAACACCATCGTCATCCGAACTCCAACGGCCCCCAATGCTCCAAGAAGCCACCCGCAATTTGGTGAAGCTGCCTCTTCCACGGACAACAGCCTGGAAAATGCATGGAAACCGAAGAGCTTCTACGAGCAGCAGAGTAATCCTGACATCTTCAGTCCCGTAATCGACCTGGATGCTGCCCTGGGACCCTTCAACACTCCCGAAATGGGACCGGAACGGAACATAACCAGTGGCTTCATGATCGCCTCCAAGAGGATGTACAGCGGTGGCCGCCGCGGTGAATTCGTAGGTCCAGAGATGCGGTACCATAGACGTGCAGAAAGTGCGCCGGAGATGCCCCCGTTCGACCGCAGTTTCCTAGGTAACTCCAGGTTTGGCCTCTCCGCCGCAATGGAAAACCCCGATGTCTTTGACGAGGAGGAGGAAGATGCCTTTTTGGCCCAGAACGATGACCAGGGCAACCAGAAAAACACTGACTCGTCTAAGGGCGATGAGGCAAGTGATGATGACTCGGCTTCTTCTAGTGAAGAGGAGGAGGAGGAAGACGACAACAGCAGTGATGATGATGGTGAGGAGGAGGAGGAGGAGGAGGAGGAGGAGGAGGAAACCGGCCTGGGTATCCAGGTAGTCGACTCTAGTAACCTACCCGACCTCTATCCGGCGTCCGTCGAAAGCCGTCCCAGCACTGCCCAAGTCATCACTCCGCGCACCCCTTACGCCCACGCAATTGACTTCGAATCTCAGTCCCAACGGAGCAACAGCAACAGCACTACATACCACCACCCCGGAAGCATTGGTATCGTGGGCTCTGATTCCAGCCAAATATCTCCTCGCAACTTTGACGAAAAGCGTCCCTCCACCTCACCCGAATTCATCTACAATATCGCCAATGCTGCGAACCTCACCCCCATCCCCGCAATAATACCGCCAGTGCCTATGATCCCACAGGCCTTCCCTTCGCCCTCCCCTTCTAGCATCTCCTTTGACGTCCCCCGCCTAAACACCGCTTCTTCTTCCATGACAGACCGTCACTACAGCGCCGGGTCCGTTTACTCGGGCGAGCCGGGCTCTGACTACCTCCAAAACTCCTCCGAGGATGTTCCATCTTTAACCAGTTCCGCATCGACAATGACCGGAAATATCCCTAGGCTACCCAGTGCCTTCTATGGCCGCAACCCTAGTGACCGAGCCGCCTCTTTCTCTCACGTACTGCATCTCAACAGTGCTGCCAACAATTCTAGCAGCAACAGCAACGCTAACAACAATAACAACCGGCCCAGTTCTTCAAAACGTGCCAGTCTAGTTAGCTTCTCACGTCTGGTCGGTGCTACCTCTGAGCGTAGCAAACTAAGCCATGAAGAGAAAGCACCTGCAGACGAGTCTGAAAAGCGCAAGAAAAAGGGCCTCCGGATCACCCGTTTGATGCAGTTCTGGAAAGTCAAGGACAAACGATAGAACATCCTCACGTCCACTTTCCTACCTCCTCCTCTCTTACGATTTTCCCGTCTATCTATCTCGGTTTCGCGGTTCTCCTTGCTGGATTTCTCTATGTTTAATTTCCAACCCTTAGAACCTTCTCCGTTTTCTTCTTCTTACTCCTGTTTTCCTTTATTTTCTCTTTTCAATTTCATTTTCATTTTTCACCTTGTTCGGAGTACATATGGGAGGCACGATATCACGGATGGAACTATTGATTTATGGAGCTCGTTTTGCTTGGTTTTTTCTGTTTTCCTTTCTTCCATTTTTTTACTATCTGGTTTTCCTTTTCGACCGAGGTCGTGTTCGATTCCAATCACACAACTTCGTTCTTCTTCATTCATCTTTTTTTTCCAAAACCCAACACAGCAAGTTAGTTCAGCTGCCTTTTTGTCTTCGTTTTTAAGCAAACAAAACTCGCAAGTCATACAAGTCAGTCATATTTACTTACTTGTTCAGTCATTTTCTTCCTTCTACTCTTTGCTCTCTTCCATGCTTTCGTTAAAATCGTTTCATTTCTGCTTATTCTCGACGACCAACCAGCCAGTCAACCCAGCCTCTCCTTCGAATGTTATTGCATGCCTAAAGACCTCTTTTCTTTCTCCTTTGCTTCCTACCGTCCATCTATCCCTCGCTCCTTTACCTCCCATGCTCACTGTACCCTCATTGGCTCTTCTTGCTTCCTTATAACCGACCTGCATTTAGGCATCCATGCACAACAGCTAGCTAAGCAGCTGCCTTTTCTTGTCTTCCTCTCTTTCACATCATGCCATGCCTTCTCCTCTCTTCACTCCTTTTCGGCTCCTAACGACATATCATTTCATTTCATTTTACACATTTCTAGCCTCTCTTTAATTAGCCAGCCAGCCAGCCGGACGGCAATTACCGTCACCATTGCTTCTTTTCTTCTTCATCTACCTTGAAATGAAACCGAATATCATGCCATTCCTTTCTCCTTCGACCCGACTTGATGCAGTGGACTCAGGCCAAGGCACAGCACCATGCAGATACATACATACGGAGTACATACATACCCAACTCTTGCTTACCTGTTCTTTCCCCCCTGCTCGGGTAACACAGCTACGCCTCTGAACGGCTCTGAATACCTTCTTTCTCGATGCCTAGCCTATTCTCTTCTTTGATCAGCCCTCTTTCATTCGCTTTGGTGGGGACATACTTCACTTTCACTTGTATGGGTCCTGGTAGAAAGGATCGGGGGTTGATTGAGAAGAGATAAATCTATACAAAATCTCCACACCACGCAGCAGACTAAATAATCAAGTAAATGTATCTCCCTACTTACATACGCCGTAGTAGCCTTAGGTTGTAGCTATGCAAGTAAAGTATCAAGTTTATCTATATCTATACTATATCCGCCTCTAATTATAGGGTGTTATTTCTTTAGTCCAAGAAGGTGACTTCAGGATACTCCGAACTTGGCCCCTCGAGAAGCCCTCCATCTTTCCCGAAGAGCGAAAACCGGAAGAAATCATGCACATACGCCTTGGTAAACTGTAGGCTTCTCACACTGGGTATGTCACCTACAAACAGGTCAATGATAGTCTTGTCAATAACATCCCTTGATCCGCTGGCATCGATAATAATCGGGAAATCGCTAAAGGTGTTATGTCGTCCGTTAGGTATGCTAATCTCCTTCTTCCAAGCATGCGGGTGAAGCCTATCCATGGCCTTCCAGAGCGTGTCCCATGATGTATCATTTCGTCTGTTATGTGTTTCCGCGCCCCATTGCAGGTATGGCTGGGCCTTCTTCCTCCCTCCCAAGCCGATGTCAACAGCAGGACCCCATAGCGCTCCGTCAAAATTGATTCCAGCCGAGATACGACCGTCTTTAACCATGGATGAGAGCACGGCTGAGCCACCGAATGAATGGCCCAGCATCCCTACGCGGGCGCGAGGGGATCCCTTCAAGGCCTGGTCCAGTACGAAAATGGAATCTTGAACACGCACGTCGGTCCAGAAGGGCAGGGTGGAGGGGTTGGAGATACTAACTGCTCCGCCGGTAATGATGTCTCCGTTGAGGAATTCAACAATATCGGTGTCGTGTGGGTGGTCCATGGTTATAACTGTATACCCGGCGCTGGAAATGGTTTGTGCAATGGATGAATAGAGGAGTCGTGTTGTATTCACTCCGGGGGAGAACAGCACAATGGGGAACCCATGGTTATCGCCTCGGAAATCAGAATCTTGATACCCTTTCCTCACACGAGTGCATACCCTTATTCTGGACGCGGCTAGCAATCCGTCCACCCATTGGCCGCCAAAGGCATCCTGGAGGATCGCATCTTCCAGCTTTGCAGTCGCGGGAGGGAAAGTAGGCACTTCCTCTGTTTTAAGACAGTGTTTCTCGGGTATAGGGTTGAATCGAGAAACCATCAACCGACGAGGGAGAGTGGAATTGATATCCTTCCTGGACCAGTCTGTGAGTTCGAAAATTTCTCTTTGGACTTTCAATGGGCCTGACGGTTCTGGTAGGAGGAACGGCGAAGGTGTGTACGATGCAACTGCGGCTGCAAAGAGGCTACAAATGATCGTCCCTTCAACGAGCATGGTGGCAGTCAATGATGAACAGAAACTAATTGTACAAAGCTGGTTTGTCCTGGAGCTGAGAGGGGGGGAATAAAGAAGAAGAAGATCCGCGAGACGACTACCCCAGGGTTTATATTTGGAGTGCTTCTCTCGTATACCCGGCTATTTAAAGCCTGGGTATTTGATTTATGTGGAATCGGGATCCTTCGCCAGTCTGCTGCCGGGGGGAGACGAGCATTTCGAGTATTATTCACCAACGCTCTTAGCCGAAGGTTTTCTCTGCCTGGGTTAGTTGTTATCGTATCCATATCTCGCTTCCGGAACCGGGAGCAGAATGATGCCTCCATGCTGCATTCGTATTCCTGCGAATGTGGGGTGGTTATATCATCCTATCTTATGTCTTCATCTCTTCAGCTGTTCAGCTGTTTAGGCTTGCTTTCCAATGATACCTCACTCGTCCTTGACTATCCTTTGCATCCCGAAGACCATCGAATGCTGAAGGAAAATTTTGGACCATATTCCAGAGAAGATAACTACAAAGTGGTGGTCCGTCGGTAGGCGTGGACTTGATATCTCATATCTTCAAGCCCAATTCCCTCTCCAATGTTGTACTCTAGCCCCGTACGGTCTCGTCGGAACCATTGGGATTCTTCGGATAAAATACACTCCCAGCTGCCAGAGGCTGTGGTCAATAAGGTATGGTCCAGCAGGAAACGCATGGGATACTGTCTTGCCGGTTTCTTCTCCTCGGGCGTTTTCTTGCTAGATTCTTCTTGAGACCCAGCTCCTTTAGATCCAAGCGATAATGTTGAATAGCTTCCAGGGCTATCAACCACCAACAATATGGTCCCGGGTTTGATCACATCGGTTAACCCCAGAAGGAACGCAACCGTGGCAGGCATAGAGGTCGAGAAAAGCTCATTCAACGTAAACATGAGCGTTATCAAGACCGTCGTAGGCCCTTCCGTGCCTTTCCTTTGCTTCTCATCCGCATTTGTTACATCTTTTGTAGGCGGAGATAGTAAAAGAGATAGCTGCTCCTCTGAAACGGCCAGGATATCTTGTTTCTGAAATGATATCGCTAGATCCCCGGCCTTCAGCAATGGAAGAGTGATGCCGCACTTTTTACTATTATAAACCGACTCTGATATGCATCCCTGCGAAAGTTCGTCAATTACTGGCTGCCAGTCCGCCACATCAAGCGCCGTAACAGAGAGATTCAGGTTTGATTCTGTCGGGTTATCGAGGCCGGTTGCCCACCGTACTGCAGCAGCCAGTGCTACTAACTCTGCTCCTGCTCCACCACCAATAAAAATGACATGTTTGTTCTGTAAATCTTCAGGTTCAATAGAAGCACAGCTTGATGAGCCTGCAGATGGCCCTCCTTTGCCGCCATCCAATGCCCGCCGCAAGGCATATTCGAAAATACCCGTGTAAGCGAGCGCTCTCCCAGCACTCCAGCGCAGAGCGTACGCCCTTAGCATACCGGAATCTGCATCAGCAAAGGCAGAGTCGAAGTCACGATTGAAGAGATGCGACTTGATAGCTTGAACCTGCTCTCTTAGTGTGGTGCCGGTGCCAGTCTCTTGCTCAGTACCGCGAGGGCGTACTGCCAGCCTATCCGCAAATATATTTAGAACTAACTGCTGCAGCGAGGTCGGTGCAGCCTTAATGAGTGATATGGATGTATTTTGCGTCCTTTTGGACTGGGTATCAGTCGATTTCGCCTTTGGAGTCTTCCGTGGCTGCGGGCGAGGTTTCGGCATTTTTACTTCGTCTAGGCTGGTGGATATCGCCAGGCGAGCGTTGAAGACGTTTCTTGATAGCGGCTTTACGCGCTCAATGCCGTTTCTCCCTGCTTTATGGAGGTGTGGGAGTCTTAGACTGACGGTGTCTGTTACGGGATTGGATTTATCCATGTCATTTTCTTTTTTGTTTTATTTTCGTATTTTTTGCCTTTTTGTTGTGTAAGCTGGTTGTCACTTGGAAATCCTACAAATTGACTACAAATCTAAGAATGATAACTACAACATTATTACTAGTCGAAGTGTTACTGGAACGCATTTGTAGACTGACAAAAAACCATCAACAGCATAATCACGCTCTATATTCCCGTATTCCCAATGCCTAAACAATGCCTAAACAAACTACCCCGGAGTCGCTTTAGATGCCAAACACCATGTCGCCGCCTTGCATGCTAGATATTAAATGCCACACCTCAAACCTTTGCCGTCCCTCGTAGTCCTACCGTGCTATCAAGGCTAATTTGGTAGATTTCTAGCCTTTGACTTGCGTCCAGGTTTATCAACCTCAACCCAGTCCATATCATCACCGTCACCATCATTCACGACCTCCCAGTCGGTCAATGGAATGGATTCTAAGGAGCTGCTCTTCGAGACGGTAGCTATCTCACGGCACTTCTCTTTCGCTTCTCCCCCTTTCTTGGTATTTTTCGGGCGATTGATTATTCCCATTTTGCCATCCTTGTCAGAACTAGAGGCCTTATCTATAGAGGCTGGGTTGTGGTTGAGTATGGCAGGGGATATGCTCTGAGCAACGTCATTTTCGTCAACCGACAAGAATTCAGGGCCCTTGGGATGCTTCATGCGGCGGATAAGCAGCTTCTTGGAGGCGGATTGGTTGCCGTAAGAACGTAATTTCGACAACAAAACTGCAAGCTTCTCAAGGTTAGCCTGCATGTTCTGTTCCCACTCATGAGTAAGTCTGGTCGCATCATGGACCCCGGCCTGATAGGGGCCCGTCTCCTCAAGAATTATATTTGGGACCTGCCGAATCCACAATCGCTTGATGTCAGCATTTGAAGGTGGAAAGTTGTTGGACGCTTTATAGCACTTGAGATCGACGATCGCTTCCTGTGGTATGTTCTTCCCACCACGATGAGCAACTGGGAACTCTTTGGCTAAAGCACCAATTCTAGGTGCGTCCAAGCTGCCCTGTTCCTTCATGGCTGGTTCGTTACCTCGTTTTTCGCCGCTTGCTGCCTCTTCAGCCGGCGCTGGAAGATAGCCATGGCTGGAACACGTAAGAAGAATCCGCTGTCCTCCAAAGACGTACGAAAGCACCCTATGATGGCATGTTGAGCCCTTAACACAGTCTTCCCATAAGAAAGTGCCATCTGCCATGGGATGATAGCTGTCTGAATAGGGTTCTGCTCCACGGTTGGCAATGAACAAGGTCCCGTTGGCCAGTTCAACTTCTAGCGTAAGAGGTTTGGGCTCAGGCGCTATGAAGGCGAGCATGCATTCCATGGCAGTAGCGTCAGTCACAATATCAAAGTTCATCAGTTCGAAGGTGGAATCCATGAGGGAAGCGGCGTAGATCACAGGCTCTAGTGGGTGTCCAAGCCACCCATTCTTGCAATCATTTTGATGCACACTGTTGTAGGCTGCCCCAGAACCATTTTCGAGCATCCCCTCAGTTTTCGCACCGTTGCATGTACCACTTGATTGGTTCCAAACAGGAGGAGCTCCTACTCAGGGTTTAAATTAGTGATCGGTTACGTTTGCCGTGGTAGAAGAAGCTGGATAAAGATCCGTATATCCTTACCGGGAATCAACATGGTCACTCTGTCCTTGCGTATCCAGTTGTATGAGGCCACGCATTTAACGTCAAAAATCTTCGCTGGGCCCAGGCTTTCGATATCTTGTTTCTGGCTTAGTACGTCTCGATGAATCTTCACTGCTCCTAGACGCGCGGCAGCTTTGGGCATCGTAGACGCTGTATCGTTTACCATTACATTTTCAAAACTCATTTCCAAAGGTGTGTCAGAAGCCATCTTGATCGACTGGTTAGCCTGCCTTGTTAACTGGGACTTCGAAAGTATCAACTTTCTTCAGCAGTAAAAGATGACAAGAATATCCTTAGGCAGGCGGGTCAAACAGAGACATCCGGAATATCGTATGTAGAGAAAAGTGGTATCATCTTTGCCTCAAGGGAAATGCAAAATGTGGGAAACAGTTGAGTTTTTATGGGAAGAGGAAAGCTAGAAGTTTCCTGCCCCTGAAACCTCATATTTGGGAATCTACATATCGTCATAGTCTTAGCAGGCGTTGCTTTGCTTTGCACTGTTTGGGGGTATATTAAGATTTGACAGGACCAGCAAAAGAGATGGTGGCAGAACATTCCATCAACAGAGCCTCCTATGGTTATGTAAGGTGGCTGTCAACAAACGTAAAACATTTAAGAATATAGGGGAGGAAATATTACCTGCTATCTCAGGTGGTGGAATGTGGGAGAATAGTTTGAACAATGTTTGATGGTGTGTAGCTGTACTGTTAGTATAAAGAAAAAGGGGAAGCATCCGGAACATCCGAGAAGAAAAAATGGAGGAGAAGAGACCATATAATTAAACAAACTAGAAGAGTAGCTTTAATACATCGCTTTGGGGGGAGAATCAGATACTTGTTATACAGAAATAACAAACACACCAGCATCTAGCAAGCTTCTCTTCTCTATGATCTTAAACCAAGGAGAAGTCCGGTGCCCTTTCCGCCTTCCTTTCCACCTTCGCCGCCGGGGATATATGTGACGTTGGGGTTTGAGGAGAGTGTCTGAGCGATATCTCTGCTGGCTTCGATTCTTCGGATTTGGATTAGACCGTCACCAGCTTTAGCAACGGCCTTGCTGATGATATCGGCACTCTCTGCCTCACCCTCGGCGCGGATAACGTTGGCTTGTCTCTCCTGCTCGGCTCTCTCAACAATGAACCGGGCTCTTTCAGCGTCTTGCTGTGCAATCTGCTTCTGTTCAACGGCCTTGGTGAATTCACGGCCAAAAGTCATGTGGGTGATGGAGACATCCTCAAGGGCAATGTTGAACTCCTTGGCACGTCGAAGAAGGTCGGTACGGATACGGTTTGAGACAGCTTCTCTCTGGGTAATCAATTCTGCGGCATCGAATTGTGCGACAATGGACTTGAGAACTTCGTTTCCGATGGATGGGAGAACCCTCTCGTCGTAATCTTGTCCGAGTTGCTATAGTAGCCATTATTAGCAATTATATCATCATCAAAATGGTATTATTTTGCAGATATTGCACCCACCTGGTAGATAACCGGTAGCTTTTGAACATCAGGCCTATGCAGCACTCTGAGCGTCAGGCTGACCATTTGCAAATCTTTGCTTCCGGTGGTGGTAGAAATATTTCTAGGCTTCGTCCTGACATCGTAGATAACGCTCTTCTGTAGCCATGGAATAAGGAAATGTGTGCCTTCGTTGACGACGTTCTCCTTCACACCAGAAAGCCTGTCGAAGATAACTGCGCGGTATCCGCCCTTCACATCGTACATTGAGGCCTGGATAAATGAGGCACCGACGGCGACCGGCACAGCATACTTGTATATCATCGACAGAGAGCTCGCCATGGTGAATATATTCTGCTCTAACTGGGTGTTTGAGGGTGGTATCCGTGTATCGTTCGCAATGGGTCGGCAACTGTCTCTTCGTGCAGAGCTTTGGAGGTTTTCGATTTGATATCCTCACCATTCCCGAAACAGCCTAGCGCCGACACAGAACATGTCCAACTTCTTCACCAACACCGGAAGACGAACTTCGCTCTGGCTTCAACCATTCGACCATTTCTGCCAATTGACCACCGCAGCAGCCGGATTTTCTGAGCCTTCTCCTTCTCTTCCTCTCGTTCAATTCCTCTGTCGACATCATGGGTGGTCATCTCGACCCAAAGCATGGCGTGTAAGTGCAACGCACCACCTCCGTTTCTGGGACCCTTCGGCATCGTCAGGACTCGCCCATCGCTTTCAAGGCGCTCTGAGAGACAGTCAAGAATGCATGGTAGAAAGATATACTGACAGCTGGCTATAGTTTCCTCGGTGGATGGGGTAACATGGGTATGTTCTGCTTCTCTCCGCGTTTCGCACAACCGTCTCCCGCTCTCACGACGGCCGTCACTATTCCATGCGATTTCACTTGATACCGGCCTATTGTTGCGCTATATGGTAGCTAGACAGCTAATATATTTGTCGGCCATCAGGTGTTGCCACCCCAATGAAGGGTATCACTACCTACTCTCTCTCTCAGAACCGTCAGAGACCAACTGCCGGCATGCTCTACAACGCCTTCTTCAACACCTACCGACGATCCAAGGCCCAGGTTCTCTACGTTCTCCCTCCATTCATTGCTGCCTATATGCTCATGGACTGGGCCACCAAGAAGTACGTCTACTCATTTTTTTATCATCCTATTACATGCATGGATCTTCCCACTTCATCGGTGTTTCTATCTCGAGTAAGGCTAATGGTGGGTATAGGAACGAGTACCTCATGTCCAAGCCTGGTCGTCTCGCCCACGGTGGTGACGAGGAGTAAACTTGCTAGAGAATACCAATTAGAGGAGGACTCAAAATTATGAATTGGTGATTGCGCTGTATAGTACTTAGAAGCAATTGACATCTATATATTGTTAGCCGCTATTTCCCTTGTATGCAATAATCCCCTATAGCCCCTTGTAAATAAGCGCACGGAGTACTCTAGCTACAATAAAAGCAAAGGGTAAAAAAAAGCGTTCTGAGTCGATCGAAGGAAATAAAATAAAAAAATAAAATAAAAAAGAAATAGAAAGTGACCAAACTGAGGCTCGATCTCAGGACCTTGTCGGTGTTAACGACACGTGATAACCAACTACACCATTCGGCCTTTTCATTGTTGAAAGCAAGAAGACTGAAACGCCTTTTTAGCGGCGCACATTGGAAGATTTCTGCTTACGGTTTAGCGTCGGTAGATTTTGAGTTTTCGAGACCAGCAGCTTTTTTTTTTTTTTTTTTGAGATTGTGAAAATATAGAAAAGTAAAGACGCTTTTTCTCGCTACTACCAGAGTGCTATCCACAAGACTCCTCGACACGATACAGATACGCTATTGAGCGGGGCTTGGACAGGAAGAGGTGTACTAGGCTTCTATATCTTACACAATGGCTAAGGACCGAAGCGATAAGGAGAAGAAAGAGAAGAAGGAGAAGAAGCGATCGGAGACCGATGGAGTGCACAAAAAGTCCAAGAAGGAGAAGAAGAATGTAGAGGTTCTCGAGAAGGCCGTGGAGCAGGAATTGGCCTCCAAGTCACCAGATACCGATGTGGTTGTTAAGGATGCCGTCATGGTTAACGGTGATGGCAGCGAGGAGCGCCCTCTTGGAGCTTTGGTGCCTTTCGCAAATCCCCTCGCAGAGGACAAGGTCGCGAAGAAGGTGTTGAAGAGCGTGAAGAAAGGTGAGTTCTACTGTTGTTTTATTATTGCGCCCGCCCAGCCGGACCTATATGTGCTGACCACCATTGTGCGGAATTTCAGCTGCTGGGAGCAAGGCCCTAAAACGAGGAGTAAAAGAAGTCGTCAAAGCTGTTAGAAAATCTCCAACCCCTTCAGCGAATGCAGCAATTACCACACCATCTGCCATTGTTGTACTAGCTGCCGATATATCTCCCATGGACGTAATATCCCACATTCCAGTTCTCTGCGAAGACCACGGAATCCCTTACATTTACGTCTCCTCCAGGGCCGAGCTTGGAAACGCCGGCGCCACAAAACGACCAACCAGTGTGGTGATGGTACTTCCAAAGGGAGGAAAGAACAAGAAGAAAGACGAGAAAGAATCCGATGATAAAAAAGAGGACTACTCAGCCGTATACGATGAGCTAGTCAAAGTTGTCCAGAAGGAGACCAAGAAGGTCAAGATATAGAGAGATTTCTATCATCATCTCTATTTTGTCACTGTATCTCTCTAATGGCCTGATCTACCCGCGCTTTGCCCATCTTCCCTTGGCCTAACGTGTTCGATATATCCTGCTTCGTCCCGTGTTCGTCATTTCATCTCCATGGTAATATTCTGCATCCTGGCAATGAATTTTTGGACCTGTGTTCAAATTTAGGGAAAATTGGTATTGTTTTGTTGGTTGGCTTTCTTCGGACTGGTTCTTGCTACTGTTTCCCTTGACTCTATATTTTCTTCTGTTTATACGTTTCATGGCGTCTATGTGTGTTTTATGGTGTACCATGAGGATGGAATCAAAATCTTTTATTACTTTACTGACATTATCAGCTCCATACCATACCCATATCCACATTTTGTCACGCAAAACTGCAGTGCTAACACCACAGCGAGCGAGGAAGACAATATTATATATCGCCTTATGCATCCTCCTCGGACCCAAGCACATTATATGATGCGTTGACCTTCCTCTCACTACCTCCCATGAGATCGGGCCCTCCTTTGGAAGTCGGCCCCGGGATATTCTGTGCATTCATATTTCCAATCTCCCTTTCTGCCTGCAAACCTGGGTCATTCCTGGACCCAATTTCAGCATTGAAGCTCACATTCTGCGAAGCGTCGTCTTCGAATCCGCCTTCGGTCAAGTTCTTGCCTTTCGGCTTTGAGCCTTGCATACTACCAAGAACAGGGTCGACGTAATGGGGAGCAGTATTCACTGATGTGCCTGAACCACCGTCTTGGCCTGAACCAGTAGTGCCTGAAGAAGTTCCCGATGTTTTATTGTAGCTCTGGCCCTGCTGCTGCTCGTCTCCATGTGATTTTGCCTGTTCCTGGCCCTGAGTCTGGGTTTGAGAGCGTTTCTGTGGTTGTCCCTCTCCCCATTCGGCTTCAGCTAGACGAGCCTCAGCGTCCGGCGCTGCTTGAAGCTTGGATGCACTTGAAGTGTCCGTATTTGCAAACGTAGAATGGCTACCCTGTACTCCCAGGGGCTGGCTACCTTTATTCTCTCCAAACTTTCCATGTTCGCGTACTGACTCTGCGGCGAGCGAGTCGGAGGCAACTGGTCCAGCAGCTTCGTTTTTTACACCACCGTTTCGCAATGGATTAGACATAGTGTATGTCGAGTATAAGATATTTGGTACAGAATTTAGTTTGTTAAGATTGTGATAAGTTGGTATAAGTTGAACATCCCCAGCTATTAAATACTGTCTATATCTTCTGTAAAAGTGTGGTGGGTGCAGAGCTGACATCATCATGACGTTGCTAGCGATTTATCATCTATAGACAAGTAAACTTCCTTGTTTGTCATTACTTCGAGACCTTGGGAAGTTTATGCACTCAATACAAGCTCGTCCTCCAAGTCATTGTATGTAGAACGAGAAAAGTGACGTAAACACAGGCAATGGTATGAGCGTTACTAGGTCAAAGCCACAATCTTTTCCGCTAAGTCCAGCTGGACGAGTAAGTAGTGCTCTGTGCCTTGGCTGCTTTGATTATCGGATCAAATTTCCCCAGATAAGCTATAGCTTGTCTTAAGGATAGTTTCCCATCACCCCCGCGCTTGGAGATCACTTCTTGCATAGCTTCCTTAGCTGTATGACGCCGAACGGTATAGGTAGCGCCTTCGCCACGCTTCACAATGAATAATAACTCGTCAATTTCCCTAGTTAGCATAAGATTCTGGAGATTGCTTGACGAAACCAGCTCTCGAGTAGATGGGTTTAGTGCAGAATTTCGTTTCCAAGGTTTTGTAGTGCAATAGAGAGAGACGGAAGCGCCCGAGCCTCTGCCATCGCGACATTCCATCCAAGTCTGCCATTTGATTGTTGGCTGCTGTGTTTGGATTGAATCTGGAGCTGCCTTGGTCACGACTTTTTTGAACTCATCTGCCTTTAATGAGGAGATTAGAATTCGTAATTCTTTCCAGCCCTGACCAAATTTGACAAAGCTCTCAACAAGATCATAGCACAGCCTTGTTCCATAGACAGAAAGTGTATTCAGCTGAAGACTAGATATCATATTGAACTTAGATGCAATTGAGGAGCCTTGGAAGTCGAATAGAAAAGGTTTGAAAGAGGCCAAGTCAAGCTCAACATGACGAATCCTCGAGAGGAGACCGGCAGGTAGTCGAGTAAGGTGATATACCGAGTTATCAGGGTTATCAAAAGAGAGTAGCACGTTCTCAGGGAATAAATTACTAGCCTCATAGAATATTTGGCGACAGGTGCTAAGGATTGCAAGTGAGTTATGATTCAGCCTGTATCTTGGTGGAGTGAACAAACTAGGCGGGCGAGAGCCTCCGAGATAGATCGTCACCGACATAAAGTAGAACAGGTAGATTTTCAGGCGAAGCTCAAACGGGAGCTTTAGCAACCTGCTGCCCCGTTTTCTCATATGAGCGAATATGACGGGTTGTTGAAGCAATAGCATGTTGTTAAATTCTATTTTGATAGCGAAATAACAAGTCTAAAGGCGTCCGGGCTTCCGTTGGTTGGGATATTTAGCGGAACCAGCAGGTTTCAAGCACGTAGACATTCGCCATTTATTGGCCTGGAGATTGGGAATCTTGGGATGGCAACCCATCCTGATTCACTGTTTAAACCACACAGGTTAATAGTATCAGCCCTTAATGGTAGTGAATAGCGAAGCTGGTATTCGCCACTAGGTAGACAAAGGGTATTCATTCAAGAAGTATCAGTGAATCCAAAGCCCAGAGACTTCTCTGGTATTCCCCAGTAACGGCTCATGTCAAGGTAACTACAGCATCAGTGTGCCTTGGTAATAAGCAGCAAGCCAAATTAAATGCTAAAACGTTCATGACTGCCACGTAAAACAGCAAGGAGCGGTTATGATGGTAGTATCTTTAGGTGTCAGCTGTAGATAGTTGACGTTGATGGTGATGTCAAAAGAAACTACGAGTGCCAAGACTTCCCATGCTTTGTGTCGCAAAAAGCATCCAAAACGCCAACGTCAAGCAAAAGAAGCCACCGCCAAACGAGCAAGCAGTTATCATGCCTCGCGATCCGTTAATTGGGCTTGTTGGAAAGCCATCTTCCGGAAAATCTACAACATTAAATAGGTATCGATCCTTCCAAGGCAATAACGGGACCAACGAAAAGTCCTACTGTGAGATAGAAATGTCTAACATGCTAGCGGGGCAGCTTAACAGATGCCTCATCCAAAGTTGGTATGTTTTTGGAGTCACGAGGAGTGCGCTTGTGATATTTTGGCGACTGATAGAGGCATGCGACTGCTCTAGGGAATTTTCCGTATGTTTCTTCCAGCCTTTGTCCTTGACTTCACTGGTTGCTGACCGGCATATTCTGCTGCGCAACAGATTTACGACGATTGACCCCCAACGCGCTATTGGTTATCTACAGGTAGATTGCGCATGCAGCCGATACAATCTACAAGACCGATGCAAGCCCAATTACGGTGGATGCCACGAGGGCCGGAGATCAGTACCAATTGAACTCCTAGACGTTGCCGGTCTTGTGCCTGGAGCCCACGAGGGAAAAGGCTTGGGAAATAAGTTCTTGGATGACCTACGACATGCAGACGCGTTGATACATGTGGTTGATGTGAGTGGGACAACCGATGCAGAAGGTAGGCCTGTGGGATCCTGGGGTAATTAATGGACAAGCGGCTAAAGTCGAGAATAGGAAAGGTCACCAGAGGATATGATCCGTCTCAGGATATTGTTTGGTTAAAATCCGAAATTGTTAGATGGATAGAAGGGAATCTAATGGATAAGTGGTATTTCTCAGTCTCGGTTGGTCTATACATACGGGCGGAATGCTTACTCGCTTTATTAGGGGCTCCATTAAGAGAAAACATATTGCAACGAGTACGTGTGGGCATTTCTGATACCTCTCCGACCTAGCCTTTATATCCTGACTTGGTAATAGAGTCCACTGCTGTCGAGACTCTGCAAACACAATTCTCCGGGTACGGAAGTACGTCGAGGATAGTTGCAAGATGCCTTGACCGAATAAATCTAAAAGAGCCATTGGAGGAATGGTCAAATGAGATCATTTCGAAAGTTGTCGTTTCTTTTATAGACGAAAAATTTCCGACTGTTATAGCACTTAATAAAATTGACCACCCGGATTCAGATAAGGTGCGTCGCGGGCCCCTTTTCCTCCGTACTGGAGGGTATCATATAGTGTTCTGTTACTGACATTTGAATTCCAGAATATTAGCAAGATTGCCAAACAGGAAGATCCTAAATCGATTGTGCTCTGCTCTGCGATCTCTGAAGTATTTCTACGGAAGTTGACGAAGCAGGGGTATATTAAATATTTAGAAGGGAGCGAGTTTGTAGACACTCGGGAAGACCTGATTGAAATGGGTGACCCTGAAGGAGGAGGCCTGAAGGAAATGGACGAAAAGCTAAAGAAGTAAGCGCTTCTCCTTGTGCATTCCCTACGTTCATTCACCGGTTCTCACCAATTCTTGCAGCCGTGTCGAGAATTTGAAAGATCTCGTACTATATCGATTTGGGTCTACTGGAGTCGTACAGGTACTATCACGCGCCGCCGAACTACTAGGGCTGGTCCCAGTATTCCCAGTACGAAATGTTCACACATTCGCATCCGGCGCGACAGGAAGTGCTGTGTTCAGAGACTGTGTTCTAGTCAACAAGTATGGCTACTGCATCCACGATATTAAAATTTTCAAAGCTAATTTCGTCTTGGTATTAAGAAATAGTACAGTGGGTGATGTAGCTAGGAAGGTCATGGGAGATGTCCCTATTGCCTTTGTTGAAGGCGCCGAGGGGACGAGAATTTCCGAAGACGAGATCGTTTCAATCGGTAGACATGACGTGAGCACCCCTGATTCATATTGAAACCATAAGAACCAATGCTGACTTCTGCCACCAGATACTCTCCTTTAAAGTTGGTAGATGATCGGCAAGGCATTCAATCAAATGTCTGGAAATTAGATTTGTTGGGCACAATTTTCTGCCATGTAGTATGACGTTCAAAATCTAGACCGGGAATATCTCCAGATCCTCTTTTTCCTCCTCCCGGTGGACCATACTCATGCACCCTTCTGCGCCACTCACGAATGCAAATATCAGCCACCCACCCTCAGCGAATATTGAAACAGGAATTGGCATCCCATTAGTACTGACCTCACCCCGTTCGTCCGTCATTCCAATGACTGGTTTTGGCGCCTTGGGAAATTCTTTCTCTGCTTTGCTTGTTGAGTTCTGCTGGTCCCTCTCTGTTGTGGATTGGCTTTTTGACATATCATCCAAGCCACTCTTCTTTCCTTTCTCCTTACGGCCCGACCTAGTGGCTTCAGTTTGCGGATCCGTGATGTCCCCCTTCTTCACGCGGTTCACACTTTGGTCCTCAGTGCTGGTGCCTCGCCAGCTACTCAGGTGGGCGGTGGGGAAATTGGGGCGAAAACGTCCTTTGGGTGCAGGGCGCAGTCGTACGGTAGCCTGAGATGTTATCGCAGGAAGCGATGGCAATATCCTGTTCAACGACATTATTGAGCGATCAATATCACAACCAGCGAGGAAAACGATAAGAGTTATAGGAGACGCTGCAACAACGACAAGAGCAATTTTTGTAGTATATACCTAGAATTGGCCATGACATCATCAACCCTCGGTATCGGAAAAAGTTGACAACAAGGAAAGACAGTTGGCAAACTCCGAGTTTCTGCCGTCATCCAACAGGAGTGCAGAATTTTGAAGTGACTATCCTGATTTGGCATGTACAAAATGAACTGTTCCTGTTCATTTTTGGCTGAGGACCTTGCTATGGTGGCGATACCGCTACACTTTGTACTAAAATATAAGAATTTCAACAATTCACCCAGGCTGAACAAGAGAAACCAGCTAGAGCCAGCGAGTTATCATGATAAGCTATACGGAGTGCGGTTTCGGCCCTCTGCCTACTAACAAATACACAGTACTGGGAAGAGAGGTGGCTCCATTGATGCTTAGTTCTGATGATGGAAACATTGGAGTCAAATGCATGATGCACTGTGACTAGACGGGGGTAACTAATAGCACTGTCTGCTATAGCCAGATGCTCTCCACCATTAGAGCAGAACGTCTTATAGACCAGGAAGCACTCGATGGTCGTTCGGATGTAATAATATGCACATCCTAAGAGCTTCGATCGCGCCTTGCCCCTGACTAAGCAGCCCAGCGACTTCCTTGCTTCACAGGTCGCTCCACCCTTAAGAGAAATATCCCTACGTCATATCAGACTTATTCTCACGACGTGTTGTGACTGTTGATGTTTACATTTTGCACGTAGATTGCACCTTTTGACGATAACTGAGGGCTGATCTGCTGATCTGCTGCTGCGTGGGCTTTTGCATAGCTAACCGTCTTGAGATAACTATCCGATCACATTTATTCTGCTCTAACTAGTCTGTCGGCACCTTAACCGTGCTCGGTATTTTCGAGGGGTTGAAAAAACTTAGGAAAGGGAACAGTCTGTAAGAGTCTTGATTGCGTGTAATATACACTCTCAACTAATACGAATGTAGCCCCCTGATATCAAGCTTGCCACAAGAGAAAGAAAAAAAGGGGACAAATGAAGAGAAAGTATCTTCCTGTAGATGCGCTCCAGGCGTGGGCAAGACTCAACAGTGTCACTTTTCACGGTGTCGAGATCAAACAGCCTCCTTATGACGGCGAGGACATTGACAAGGGCTCAGCCATTCTCGCAGTTGGCTCCCTTGATAGCCAGGAGCCTATACTGGACGAGCCGGGCCTCGAGCCAGAGATCCTCATTAAAGTCCCACCCGATCTCGTCCTCTCCAGGGAAACGGTGGAAACTCATGCAAAGTCTGACAAGTACCTAAAGGATGTCTTGGACGCAGTCGGTGATTTTGGGAAGGTTAGTGCCCTTGCGTTTCCGGTTGCCCATGTTTCAAGAAGCTAGATTGCACAACTATGTTCGTACATCGGATGTATGCATGGATAAATCTGGACTATTAGGCTAATATTTCTTATAGGGATCTAGAGGTGCCATACTGATATTCTTGTTGCTCTTAATCACGCATTCAAGCGTAGAAAAGGGAGAACAGGTGGGTATTTCGTCCCCATGGACAGAGTATATCAAGTTTTTTCCGGCGGTCTACGAGCTTCCTACGTTCTATACGCTGGAAGAACGAGAGCTACTACGCGGGACTTCCCTGGAGCCTTCTTTAGACACCAAGATGCAGTCTCTAGCCCGGGAATTCGACCATTTACGAGATAGTACGTTTAACATCCCCTGGTGTCAGAAAGAGTGGTGGCACCCTGAGACAGGGCAGCTCGAGTTCGACGACTGGAAAGTCGTCGACGCAATGTATAGATCTCGCGTAATGGATTTGCCAGGAATGGGTCATGCAATGGTACCTTGCATTGATATGGCAAACCACGTGGCTGGGGATAAGACCGCAGCCCGGTATGAGACAGACACCGAAGGCAACGCAGTGCTACAACTGCGGTGGGGTCAACGACTCAAAGAGGGAGAAGAAGTTACCATCTCGTAAGTTTGGATCTTCGAGCCACAGAATTAATTGAAGAGATCGCCACAGGGGGGGCGATTGAGAGACTTAAGTGACTGACCGTTGAGCAGATATGGGGACAGCAAGGGGGCATCAGAAATGATATTCTCCTACGGCTTCCTGGACCAAGGTTTGAAAAGTGCTCAGCAACTCCTTCTCGATCTTGATATCCCTGATGATGACCCACTTAAGCCACCCAAACGGGCTGTATGCGAAGACGGCCCTGGGGTTCGTATTTTTGATGCGGGAGACGGCCAGGACCAAAACACCACTTGGCGCAGCGACTTCGTCTGGTGGATTTGCGTCAACGAGGAGGATGGACTGGAATTCCGGGTGTTACAGTCAAACGATGGGGGAAGAGACCTGCGGGTATTCTGGAAGAAGGAAGAAATAACCGGCCCTCGAAAACTAGGTGAATTTTTGGCAGGGGATCCAAGATGGGATATCTTCCAGCTGCGAGCTGTGGTGATAATCCAGGAACGCGTCGCCAACCAACTTGCCCTATTGCAGGCAACTAAAGATTATGTCAGGGGGCTGGCAGATAAGGTGGACGATGCGCTTATTCGAAGGTCTGTTTGGGATACGGTCATGAAGTTTCGGTCTCTCGAAGAGAGCCTTCTAATGAGAAGTAACCGTGATCTAGACGAAAAGGTTGGCTCCAGTCCCGTCCCTTCTTTTTCTTCTTTGTCGGCTTTGACACGTGTGAAAATGCTAATTTTGCGGCCGGTTACTTTCGCAGAAGCTAGAGTTGCTTGAATCGAAAACCGTTCAAGCGTACCTTAACTCTCAATATTCTTCTGCAGAGATTGATGAAGATTTCTCCTAAGGCTACCAATTACTGGACAGCATTTATTATCCATGCGAGATATTTCCGTTAGGAAGCATTTTAGCGTCCCGCTGATTGGGCATATTCATTTTTCCAAGTTTAGCTTGGCGTGTTCGATGGGATATTCCAGAAAGCTAGTATTCGTCAATTAATAGCGAATAGGAAATAGGGGAACTTGCCCTGAACGATTCAGACAGATCTCACCGTTAGCCTAATTTGGTGCGAAGTTCCTGTTCGTATATATAAAATAATGGTGCAGGCCTCTTAGTTAGCGTGTTGTACTCCACACTCACCAAAAAGGGAAAAGACGACCTCCTAACTCAAAAGCGGGTGAATTTGAGCGGGTATTTATATCTTGGAAAACGAGAGGATATTCTTCAGTCCGTGCCCGTGGAGAAACACGTTTCGCGTGATTCCTTAGATCTGCTTAACTAGCCCCTTTGGATAGCGTTCCGTGAACGGCGCATTTTCCTTATAAGGGTGGCGGGCTGTCGACGAGACAAGAATCCATGCTGGCTGTTTGGCCTGAGAGCTCCTCCTTGCTTGTGGTTAGGGATTCGCGGTCCTAATAGCTCTCTTTTCGAGGTGTCCCCAGTGGCATTTGTGGCCTCCCCCTGACGGTACAATAGGCTATAGCGCCATGATCTGGTTGGTTCATACGAGAAATGAAGAGTCTCCAACTACTCCTGCGCTGCCCAATTATGGGGATATGGGACCCTTTCCGACACGGTTGAACTTAAAATCAGGCGAGCAATATTAGTGTACTTGAGATTCAGCCTTGAACAAAACCTGCAAGGTCCTTCGAGCCAGCCCATGGATGGAAGGTGATGCGTCAAATTCCAGTTTTCCCCCCTAGCCTCCCCCCTTCCTCTCTTTCACCTTCACTTTACGGAGTAATGTTGTGCATTCTTGTTGTGCATTCTGTACTCTGTACGGAGTACTCAGTGTGGTTGTACAAGAGTACAGCTGCAGCGTAACGCAGTAGCTCGATGTCAAAGAGAGAGGCTCAGTTAAGCCGAGGGAAGAAATCAAACCTTGCGATGCCCGTGATAAATGCAAGGAAGTCTTGCGTCTAGAATGGCGCACGAACCGTGCAGATCGCTCTGCAGCCGTTGTTTGTCTGGCGTTTGGCATAATTATAATATAAGTTGGGAAGCCGATGCCGGTAACTCGGTGTCTTGGCTAAGAGTATATCTGAATCTCGACAGATCCCGGAGACAGAGCGTTGGATTCCTAACCTCATCAAGATCGTTGCTCCTTGTCTTAGTTTGAGCATCTCCTTTTCCGGGAAATAACTGTGGTACTGACTATTTTATGGGGATTTGCCGCGGGAAAGCAAAAGAACGGTAGGAGCGCCACTGCGGATGATAGACAGGGCCCGTGGCTCGACTAAGGTAGCGCCGAAAAAGAACGGTTAAGCTCTCGTGTCGTTGGTAAAACAGGGGAAGACCCAATGTTCTAGGGAAGATTGAGAAGATTCCGGTCTGGTTCGATATATGGAGACTGATATTGTCTCTTCTGCAAGTTGCTAAAGGTTAAGGGAAAAGGGTTCCCAAAAAGGTTAAAAAACAAGAAATGTGGACAACTCTGTTACTGGTTGAAAAGTTGGAAGCTTGCTTTATGACGAAAGGCCATCGAAGGACTGTGCAGGAAGCATGGAGATTCTCCATCAGACAGAGACGAGCTTAACGAGAGGGCTCTCCGCTCATGCATCGGAGTAGGGCAGGATCAGGCTAAGGCGTGGCTGATATTCGCATGATTCTTTTCTTTTTCTTCTGGCTCTCTCCTCTCCTCTCCTCATCAGGAACATGAGGTCTCTTTTCTTATGTTGTTATCTCCATATCTTCGTAGACCTGCACGCTCGCTCCTCCACCGTCATCGACCCACGACTAAAAGGTCCTCCTCGTGGTTTCAAGAAAGACATGGCTCCGGGACGTGGCTCCAGGCCCGTGGAAATGCGACATGAAGCCACTGTAACTGCAACGGTTGGTGGTAGTACCAACAGCGTTTCAGTGAGCGTGACAGCTCGTGCATCTGATGAAGTGTAGGGAAGCACTCTAGGTCAGGCCAGGTCTTGTGCTGTGCTTGCAAGGGATGCTGCAAGGAAGGTCAGATCATCAGATCCAGGAGAGGGACCAGTAGAGGGACCAGCAGAGGGCTGAGTTGCGGCCAGGCATCGTGACTTTTTCGTCTCTTCGGTCTGTTTTGCTTGCTCTTCGTACGCTTTCTGTTAGCTCTGGGTCTTTCTTGCTTTTAGTCCCGAGTTCCTCCCGGTGGATATTTCGATGTTGGAAGTTTCGACGTTGCCGAGCCGCGCAGAGACTCCTTTCGTCCGGGGCCTTGGCAGAAGTACTACTACCCCCGAGGTCACTTGGGCCCGACAGCGGAGACAGGCCCTTTTTCATCGATAAGAGATGACGATGACGATGACAACAGCGGTGGCTGATGATCGGGTTGTTTGTTTGTCGCCTTGTCCGTCGTGCTGGCGGGCAGACGTTGAAGTCGAGTTTTAACCCGGCGTGAGCTGAGCGTTCAAGGAGACAGGATAAGAAAGGGGTGCATGACCAAATGGGGAAAACAAGACGGCAAAGGGAGTCGAGTCCATTGGAGAAACGAGAGAGAAGAGAAGAATACAAAAAAATCAACTATAAAAATAAAAATAAATAAGAAAAAAGTACAAATTTAAGAAAGTCAAAAGAAAAAGCAACGAAAACGGAAGATGAAGAACTAGGTTCACCTAGACAGAGCTCGGGTTTTTGTTAACCATGGATGACTGAGTATACTGGGGGGAAAGAAGAGGAGACGATCTTCAATGCATCTTAACTGGTCATCCTAACGCTTTTGCAAGACTCTGCAGGTGTTTAAAAAGATATATACTTATCTCTGGGGGGCAGATCTGCCCATGTCTAATTAGCCCTCTAGATTCTTCTTATATATTATTCTTTTTTTTTTTTGCATTTCCCTCCAAGCAGGCAGGGCAAGAGAACTAGGAATAGTGGAAGCGTACCTACTTGAAAAACCCCTCACGATGGCTGAGGAGCCATAACACACATCCTTGCTCATCGTTGAACTACTTCCTCCCAGCAAGACCAAGATATACAAGGACGAAAGGGGGCTGGACTCTTCTCTCCTAGTCTGCCTGTCTTGTCCCTCGAGAAACAAAAAGGAACGATCCTCCCCTGGTCCCATCTTATTGATCTCGGAATACCTACCGGTGGTCAAATATCAGCAACAATCGAGAGTGAGACAGCAAGAGGGTAGCTAGCATGCCAGGCATCTTACCCATGAAGGTCATCAAGGTCGGGAGTAATTCACAAAGCAGAGTTGCTCAAGCCTGTGACCGGTGTCGGAGCAAGAAGATTCGATGTGATGGCATCCGGCCGTCATGCTCGCAGTGCACGAATGTCGGCTTCGAATGCAAGACGAGCGATAAGCTTAGCAGAAGGGCGTTTCCCCGTGGTTATACCGAGTCCCTGGAGGACAGAGTCCGGTCTCTGGAGGCTGAAGTACGGGAGCTTAAGTCCCTGTTGGATGAGAAGGATGAGAGGATAGACGTCCTCACTCGGCTTCAATCGTTTTCTCTCTCCTCCCAAAAGGCAACTTCATCCCCAGTGTCGAACATTTCCACATCACCAGCCGGCTATTACCCACGGCCGCCCCAGACGTCACGGAATGAGGGAGAAGATCTCATATACGTCCAGCAATCAGCACGCTCCATCTCAAAGCCATCGGATGATACGTCTTTCACCGGACATTCCAGCACACGGTCTTTCATAGGTAAACCAAGTTTTTCTTCTCCTTCCCCTGTTTGCATTCCGGGACTGATTTCGTTGTCAAATTAAGACTCATTTTCTGTTCGACTCGAAAGGAGCGGCAAGTCGCCAACAACCGCATTGGCAGACGCCCTGCTTTGTGCGCCTTCGTTGAATGCACGAAGGCATGAGGATATCACTCCATCCAACATTCTCCCTCGTCTGGTGTCAGATCGGCTATTGAACATTTTCTTCCAAGAATGGGCACCACTATACCCCATTGTCCATCGTCCGGAAATTCTGAAGTTATACAGCCAGTATACGACCAATCCAGACGCCATCGAAGCGGATCACTATGCATTCGCACAGTTGAACTTGATTTTCGGCATTGCTGCCATCTCATCCACGGTACGCCTAAGCCTGGGTAACCCTTCCCGGTATTGAATCGGCCAAGTTTGAGCTAACCGTTGGCCTCCGTCACAGTCTCGCGTACCACAGGATCCCCTGTTCTTTGAACGGCATTGGATACCGAAGCTGAAGATGCTTGCAAATGATATCTCACTGACCACGCTGCAGTGTTATGTTCTTGCTCAAGTATATTATTCCATCAAGGCAGATTATCGAAGTCTCCTGCACTACCGGGGCCTTGGTGTTTCGATATGTCTTCAATTGGGCCTTCATCACAGCCAAGAGAGATTCTCTCTCAACCCTCTAGTAAGCGAAACGCGAAAGAGGGTATTCTGGTGCCAATATACTCTTGATAGGTATGTTCTCATCACCGTCAATATCCAGGGAATGTTGAGCTGGACGCGTCACTCTAACGATCTTTGAACATGCAGATTCGGAGCTGCCTTCACAGGGCTGCCCGTGCTATTAGCTGAGGCGGACATCTCAACAGAGTACCCAGCAGACGTTGATGATGAAAATGTCACGGAAACGGGCTTCGTTCCAACCATCCCGGAGGAGTCGACGAGGATGTCATCCGCTCTGGCTCTATTCTCAGCCTCACGTATCCTCCATCGAGTGCTCGAGGACCTCTACCCTTCTCCTGCAGGCTATGAAATCTCTCTCTCCACGGTCCACTCGCTGGCGGAAAACCTGGACGAGTGGTTGAAGAATCTCCCTGCCCACCTTCAACTCACATTCCTGCTCGACAAGCCCAATGCCTCAGTTGCAAGCAGCCGATCAATATTGCTGGTAAGTTGGAATAAAGTGTTGTCACTGAAAGGGCGCGTGCAAGTTCACTAAAACTAACATCCTGGACACTAGTCGACGGTCTATTACTTTATTCGCACCCTGATCCGCCGCCCAGCGGTCTCCTTCGGCTCATCCGATAGCTCATCGCCATCGATGCTGTCTCTTGTAGACTCAGCCAAACACATTATACAACTCCTCAGACTACTCGAGGACCGTCGGATGAGCCTTTCGTTATGTATGAACAAACGCGAACTGATTCTGATCTCTGGTCTTGGCCTGCTCTGGCAAAACCTCCAGCTTGGCCGGGACAGCAAGCTGGTTAAGGATGCTCAGAAGAGTCTGACAGCTACTGTCTCGCTACTGGAGAATGAATCCATCGAGGCTGCACTGGAGTTCACCTCGTTGATAAACCTAGTGTCGGATTCTGACCGGCCAATGCCAGACCAAGCTGCCAGCGGCGGCGTGCAAGAATTCGTGTCGAAGATGAAAAGACCTCGCCTGTCATTCTCGTCTGAGCCTGGTGTATCGACACAGATGAGGGACGACCTTCGCAGGGCAAACATGAGGCTATCATCGCCTAGGATGTCACGCAGCGTTCGGTCATCGAGCTCGCATAGCAGCAGCTCCTACGATCAGCGTGACCAGATTCAACAACCTCACCAAGTCCATCCCGGCATGCACTCTGGACAAACTAATCTTGGCTATGTCCCCCTTCAGGTTAAAAAGGATAATAAGAAGCAGATGCAGCCAGGATATAATGCTCAAGTGGGGATGACTGAATGGGACCATGCTCTCAACGACATTGATGGCGGGCATGGCAATATATTCCCTGGAATATACAGCAGCAACGAGTGCGGACAGGCTCCGGGTGCATTCAATACCCTCAGCCCGAGTTACCCGCCATCTCAACAGTCAACACCGGCACTTGGCATGACTGTTTTGCACTCATCTCCTGATAGTATGCACGGGTGGCCTCAAGAATCATGGACTGCGGCTCCACGAACCGCCATACCGCGCAGCCATCCACATCCCAGTCACAGCGGCGCCAATCCAGCGAATGGCGGCACGCCAGCAGAATCTCCTTCAGCATATAATGACGGCAGGAACTTAGACATGAGAGACCAGCATATAGCTCAGGCTCACTCGAACGCCCATGAAGGGAATAATGGCCACATCCATACCTGTGCGCCACCCTTAAACCCGTTTGAAGCGATGGTTATGCCGCATAACCTCGATTCTATGCAAGGAACCCCCAACTTCAATGTCTCCGTCACGAGCGGCTGGGGCCAACACTCTGTGATGTAAAGCAGTACTCCGTCCCGGCCATCCAGCCGACCTCTCCCTTTTTTTTTCATTTTTATTTTTTATTTTATTTCTGCGCTAGAATGGGGGAAAGAAACAAAACAAACGGAAAGAAAAAAGATATATACAACAGGGCATCCCTAAATAATAATTATATACAGCTGGATTATATATATTTATATATTTTCGGCAACACCAATCTACTAGATTAATATCTAGTCAGTGGCTTCTGGTGCCGTTTGGGTCTTCAACAATTGGGTTTTTGGGTGTTATGCGTGGGTTAGTTGCTGCGCCTTTGCTGGCTTTTTTTTTAGCATTGTTCGTTCTTTTTTATTTAGTTACTTACCCTGCTATCGTTTGTAATAATAGCAAGCATCAATCTATAGTTAGTTGGCCGAGCGCAGTTATTTATTCCAGAGGCAGGCCAGGAATAACTACTGCGGAATGGTACGGAGTCCACTTATAGTTGGTTCGTTGATACATTTCCTGGAGCATATGTTGTTTGTGTAACATATAACTAAATGACTCGCAGTAAACGTAAACCGCAATCGGTCATTGGATAGATGTGCATTGCATGTCATGTCATGCACAGAATTCCCGGGCACAAACCGCTAGTTATGTATATGTATCTCAAGCGACGCCTTTTCGAGCTTATCTGTTCACAGATCTGTAGCCAACGCCAATGACCGCCTGCAGCCAGCCATGTCGAAGAGATGAAGAGACTGGCAGCCCACCAACCAGCACTTAGCCAATGAATATCCAGTCTCTCTGCACCTGGGAATTCCGGTTGGTTAGAGTAAGGTGGAAAGATGAGCCAGGGATGAAGGCGGCCCCCTGTTCTTCATGTGGAACTGGGACGCGGTAACGAGTGAACTAGTTAACGGTGCATGTAGTTATGACGTTGCTGGCCGCGGGCACCCTAGCTCATCAACACCACTCGTATAAAAGAATTACACTCTGGACAAGGTGATGCCTGGTTGAAGAGTGAAGAGGACAGCGAGCACAAGTAGAGGGAAGGGATGAGGGCTCGGCGCAGCCTCGATGTGATTTGACTGCGGCTTCAGCTCCGAGCTGGGAACGAACAAGCTGCATGTAAGTGCATACAGCAAGCATACGGAGTGCCGGTAACTAATATATGCTGCTGGCAATGTCAAGGAACTCCTTCGTTTGGACGTCTCAGCAGCCTTCTCTTTTAGCTGGCTTGCGACTTGTGGCAGCCATCCAGGCCCTCGCAGGCTCCCAACGGCTCCATGTCTGTGTGTCCGTCTTTGCCTGACTCCTCAACGGCCCCTGGCGGGATTCCCTTATTCGATCATCCCGGCCGATAGTTAGGTTCGTCCACCATCGCGGTCGGCTATAGTGGTTATCACGCTGAAACGGCCCTTTTGTAAGCTGCCCGGGCCGGCCAGCCGTCGAACCTGGGCTCGAATCCTGCCCTCGACGAGCCCGCCGCTTGTCCTCCCCTCGCCGCCCTCTCCTTCGCTCCTTGTCCGCTCTTTCGTGTCTTTGTCCTCCGTCTTTTTCTTTTTCGCTTTGCCTTCGCCTTCGCTGTCGTTGTCGTTGTTGATATTCAAAAACGCGTGGAGCTGGTTTGGTGGTAGAGCAGCCAATAAAACGCACTGCACTAGGCGTATCGCCGCGTAAAATACACATCATGCCCCAATGATCGCCCATTGTATCCTCCCATGAACCCGGTACCGACGTAATTTATCCTGCGTGATTTAACTCCCAGGCCCCACCCCCTTGTCCGCCTTTCGGGAACTTCAGAGTTTTAGCAACTTCTTCACTTTTCGTCTTTCTTCATCTTCGGTTTTTCTTCTTCTTCTTCTTCTTCTTTCAACCGTCTTATATCCTCCCAAGTCTCCTGCTGGCACTGAGATATTTAGACATTTCAGCGTCTTCTGTTGCTCTCGCCAGTCTTGCTGATTTCAAGCTCGTAACCACTCGAGCTGCTTCTGAACACCCGCTATATACTACCCCGCATAGAGCTGTTTCATATACACATTCGCCATCATGGGATACTCAGAGATCGACCAGAAGGCCATCAACACCATCCGTATCCTCGCTGTGAGTGCTTCTCTCTCGATACACACTGTTTTCTGTCTGGACATGTGGTTTCTCTGTCGTTGTTCTGGGCGGCTGGTCGGGCGGTTAATGACACCCCGCATCGGCCTGATATTTCGAACCTGGGAACAGGCGCCCTTCAAACCCACCCCTTCAGCCCATACACGGCATATTCACCACCACAAAGACTTCGAATTGATGCTAATTGACTCGATTCCAGGTCGATGCCACCGCAGTTCCTAACTCCGGCCACCCCGGAGCACCTATGGGACTTGCTCCAACGTCCCATGTCCTGTTCAACAAGTTCATGCACTTCAACCCAAAGAACCCACACTGGCCCAACAGAGATCGTTTCGTTCTCTCGTACGTCAAGCCTCCCCCATGTATCTTTGCCGGAGAGAGTGGCCCTCAATTGGTGTGAGTGGATGCAGGATGGTAGCTAACTTAATGGCCACAGAAATGGACACGCCTGTGTTCTACAATATACCCTCCTCCACCTTTTTGGATATGCCCTGTCCATGGATGACATGAAGGCCTTCAGGGTTAGTTTTAGCTCCCCGGCAACCTGCTCGGCTGTTCTGCCTCTCCCATTTCATTCACTAATTGCCACGGATAGAAACTTGGCAGTATCACTCCCGGCCATCCTGAAGCTCACGACACTCCTGGAGTCGAAGTCACAACTGGACCCCTCGGCCAGGGAATTGCCAACGCTGTTGGTCTCGCCGTTGCCCAGGCTCACTCTGCCGCTGTTTTCAACAGACCAGGATACAACTTGTTCGACAACTACACCTACTGCATCTTCGGTGATGGATGTGCTATGGAAGGTGTTGCCAGTGAGGCCGCCAGTTCTGCTGGCCACCTTAAGCTTGGCAACTTGATCTGCTTGTATGACGATAACCATGTCTCTATCGGTATGACGTCCTCTCTCTCTCTTTTAAAATGACTATCTTTACTTACTGACTTATGATTAGATGGTGACACCAAGTGTGCCTTCACTGAAGATGTGTCAGCCCGCTTCGAGTCCTACGGATGGCACGTTCAGCACGTCGAGAACGGTGACCATGACTTGGAGGCCATCGAAGCTGCCATCCAAAAGGCTAAGGAAGTCACCGACAAGCCTTCCATGATCAAGATCACCACCACCATTGGTTTTGGTTCCCTCCTCCAGGGCACCGGTGGCGTTCACGGCAACCCCCTCAAGGCCGATGACACCAAGCAGCTAAAGAAGGCGTTTGGATTCAACCCCGAAGAGACCTTCGTCGTTCCTCAGGAAGTCTATGACCTTTACCACCGCCGCTCCGCTGAGGGTGCGGCCAAAGAGCAAGAGTGGAACAACCTCTTTGCTAAGTACGCACAGGAGTACCCCAAGGAGCATGCCGACCTCACTCGTCGTTTGACCGGTGAGCTCCCAGAGGGTTGGGAGAAGTCCTTGCCCGTATACTCCCCAAGTGACCCAGCCATTGCATCCCGCAAGCTCTCCGAGGCCGTGATTGAGAAGATCTACGATGTCATCCCAGAATTCGTCTGTGGATCTGCTGACTTGACTGGCTCCAACAACACCCGCTGGAAGAAGGCTGTTGACTTCCAGCCACCATGCCTTGGTATTGGTGAATATTCCGGCCGTTACTTCAGATACGGTGTTCGTGAGCATGGTATGGCTGCCATGATGAATGGTATGGCTGCCTACGGCACCATGCTCCCTGCTGCCGGAACTTTCCTCAACTTCGTCTCCTACGCTGCCGGAGCTGTCCGTCTGTCTGCCCTATCTGGTGTTCGCGTCATCTACGTTGCAACGCACGACTCGATCGGCTTGGGAGAAGACGGCCCAACCCATCAGCCCATCGAAACCCTTGCCCACTTCCGTGCCCTTCCCAACCTGATGGTCTGGCGCCCAGCTGATGGTAACGAGACCAGCGCTGCTTACTACTCTGCCCTCACCGCCAAAACCACCCCCTCCATCCTTGCCCTGACCCGTCAGAACCTCCCACAGCTCGAGGGCTCGACCATCCAGAAGGCTCTCAAGGGTGGATACGTTGCCGTTGAGGCCGAAAATGCCAACATCACCATTGTCAGTACCGGATCTGAGGTCGGTATCTGTATCGATGCTGCCAAGTACCTCAAGGAGAAGCACAACGTTGTTGCCCGCATTGTCTCCATGCCTTGCTTCGAAGTGTTCGATGCTCAGGACAAGGAGTACAGACTTAGCGTCATCCCTGATGGCATCCCATCTCTCAGCGTTGAAGTCATGAGCACCCTTGGCTGGGAGAGATACTCACATGAACAATTCGGTCTCAACCGCTTCGGTGCCTCTGGCCCATACAAGGACGTTTATGCTGTAAGTTTCAACCTATATCTACATCTCACCTATATTCTCTATACTAACAGTGTCATATACAGAAATTTGAATTCACCCCAGAAGGTATCAGCAAGCGTGCCATCGCCACCCTAGATTTCTACAAGGGCGTCACTGTCCGCTCCCCGATCAACCGTGCTTTCCAACAGCTCATTTAAACTGTCGCACGCGCTTTCCGGTCTCCTCTATTGTCTTTTCTTAGAAGCCTCGCCTTTTTTTTACATTACATTTACCGAGAGGTAAATGAGGCAGAAGCTCTGTTAACTAACGAAAGAGGAATTTTTTTACTATTTTTTCCCTTGTCAGTTAGAGCCATAGTTACCACCTTACTCACTTTAGTTACCCCTTTTTCACGATCAGACGAAGAAAATTTGAATTTATAATGATTTCATTTCTGTCTACAACGGAGTAAATGGTATAACTAACTAATGTGTAGAGAGTTGTAGATAAGATTGGTCACTGAGTTAATTAAAGGTTTGGTTCTGCCTCCTTTTTACCAATGTGTTTGTTATTCGCCAAATTTATTATCAGCCCATGCAACAAGCGGGGTGTTCAATTCTAGCTATATCCAAGTACCTCCGAAGCACATTTCTGCTCGATTAATCTTGGTTGGTCCTTTTACCCAACTCATTCCGATGATAACGAAATCTTGAAGGGAAAGATAAAATAAAAGGAGTATCAGTAAACCCGTTTATCATTTAAACTTAACTAGGTAGTTATCCAGTCAACTCATCTACTCGAGGGCCTTTCGAGCAAAGTTGGGCAGCACGAAGCTGGCACGGTGGACTTCCTGATTGTAGTATCTGCAGAGCTTATCCTCCTCTTCTCTGGTCCATTTACGAAGGGGTTCGCGGACATTGCGCTCTGCGTCCTTGCAGGCGACTAAGAAACCGATCTGACCGGATGGGTAGGTAGGGATAGTAGTGTAGGCGTACTCGACGACGGGGAAAACCTCACGCATGAGCTTCTTCAGCTCGGTGATCATGGAGAGGTGAAGCCATTGGTTTTCAGCTAGAGGTAGAAAACAAGCATATTTACTTCCCTAGTGAAATACTCGGGAAGTAAAATGTGTTTGAATAGTTAGCCTTGTCTGTCGTTTGGGAGGAAGCTACTTTCTTTGCGAAAAATAGAAAGAAAAAATCGGGAGAGTATGAGGGGATCGGGCGAAATATAACCTGAAATGGAGAAAATTAAAGTCAGGATACCGCCTCAATCTGAAGCGCAAACGAAGTGGACATGATAGCAAAGGGCAAACAAAACTAAGCAAAGGACGGAGAGGCGACGAACAACCTTGAGTGCTAATGACACCTCCTTCACGGAGAGCGCCATGTAGAAGCTCGAAGTATGGCTTCTGGAACAAGACCTCGGCTGGGCCTTCGGGGTCGGAGCTATCGGTGATAATAACGTCGAACTGGTTCTTCTGTTCCTCAAGGAATTTAAAACCGTCGCCGACGTGGACCTTAGCGTTGGGGTGCTGGAATCCGACGCTCATTCCGGGAAGGTATTTCTTAGATACTCGGATAACGGCCTGTGTTGTTCATTTCAGTGTCAATTGAGCCGGTCGATGGAGGGGCAATGTTTTGCGTGTATGGCGGGGTAACCAACCTCGTCGATATCACAGAGCACAGCTTCTTCGACAGTATCATGCTTGACAATCTCTCGAAGGACACCGCCGTCTCCTCCACCGATGACAAGGACTTTCTTGGGGTTGGGGTGGGAGTTCATGGCGAGGTGGGTGATCATCTCCTGGTATCTGTTGCCCCTCATGTCAGCACAACATCATTCAAGGGCAATTGCAGATGGCACGGCATACGAAAACTCATCTCGCTCAGTGCACTGAATAACATTGTCCAGGACCAAAACGGTGCCGTGGTCGCTGCTCTCAAAGACAAGGACATCTTGGTATTTGGACTTCTCATGGTGAAGAATCTGGTTGACCCGGAGGTTCATGGCCTGTCCGGGCCACATGTCGGAAACTTCAGAAAACCATCCATCTATTAAGGCAAAAACCGATTAGAATCAGTAACCTCGTGTATGATTGAAGTAAATAAAAAAGACTTCGCTGCCTCTTACGATTAAGGGCTTGAATATCTGTACGGTTCAATACATACCCTTAATGGTGGGGTGAGTGATCTCGCTCATCTTTGCGGTTGAATTAGAATTATGCGGCGTTCCAGCAGAGTTGCGATGCGATACAGCCCTGGCGTTAAACCTGTAGAGAGTCGGAGACAGCGAGTGGCTAGACGGTGCCTTCAAAGACAGACGTGTAAGTTGTGATGGTTTGAGATGATGGTGAAGAACTCCCATAGAGTGACCTGTGGGAACATTTAATTCTTTTTTTTTTATTTTTTTCCTTTTTTTTTCTCGAACCTTGGGAGCCCCTCCAGTGCCGTTTTATGGTCACGTGGAGATTATTAAGATTATGTTTATGTAAGGTGTATCTTAGATAAGCAAGCATTTGCTCTAGGGCAAAAGCGAGATAAGAGAACCCAAGAACATCAGTCACCCGCACCAGCAAGGGCAAGGCGAGCAGGGTGGAAAAGGATACATACACCCCTTGGAGCTCCAGGATACGCAAGGGAGGATGAATGTTAGCCCTGCGGGCATATACCCCATGTCGTGATGATCCCATCCCTGGACTGGAGGTCACAGGGACTATGTTGGAAGCCAGGGGCCAAAATTGAGCCTGTTCCCTGATGCATACATACGCTTCCCATACATATGCGTCTAGGGCCCTACGCTACCCACAGGTAACTATGCGGAAGCTCCTAAGCATTATTTCCAAAAGACATGAATTCTGGCAGATGGACGAAAACCACGAAGGGAATCTGGTTTGGAGCATTATCACCTAGCACTGTTCGTATGAAGTGGCGCATTTCGTCAACTGACACAGAGTCCTTACGACGAAGCGGCGTAGCACATAAGAAGCACCCTCGCCTCTTGGTGCTCAAGGTGCAGGCGGATCTAGAATGGCGACATGTGCGGAGCCATATGTATACGGGGGTTTATTTGGTGGCTTCCAAGGCCCCTTGACATATCCGATCCTGGGTCGTTTATTCGCTGGCATAAAACGGAATTTTTTATATCTCTAGGATGTTAGTTGTTACCATCTCACCGGACTCATATGATATCCAACAACAAAAATTTGTGTAAGGAATTTGCTATTGGCTGGAGCTACAAGAACAACACCGTGTTGGCTCTAGGATATCATTCAAAACACAACTGTCAGACCGTATCCCCACGGCTCTCAAATCACAGTACATATTACCCCCGGCCGTATCGATTATATCATCGCCTGCAGAGCTTTGTCGGCGGCTACTTGCAGCTTTACCCCCCAACTACGTAGTAGTGGATACGGCCGACAGATTTGTCGTCGTGGCCTGGAGGCACAGAACATTCAAATCCAGAGTACGACCGGTTTTATATGCTCATCTCCAATGTAATTTTTTGCTTTCCCCCATCCTTCCCTTCCATTTAGTTAACAATGTGGCAAAGTAAGTAGTGCAGTCATGGTTCAAACTTGCGTGTGTATTATGTCAAACCTCCCAGTGAGCAGCTCGACAGAAAACTTCTTGGTGGACACTTGACTAGTATTAGTTATATACAGTAACAGTCTAGCGATAAACCTCTCCCACACTCGGTTGGTAAAAACACAAATAGGCCCAGAAAATGTAGATGAAAAAAAAAATAAAATAGAAAAGTAAATTAAGCTTAACAAGTTTTCGGGAAAGGAAACTCAGTCCGGAGAGTTAGAAATTAAGGTGCCAAGTATAAAAGGGTCAAAATTAGCTGGTAAAGAGTGTATGAAAGATAGAGTAAGCGAAACCGTGGCACAAGCGGTAAAAGGAGCGGAAGAAAAAAAAAACAATAATCCCACTGGGTATTTGCCGGCCCTGTGAAGAAAATAAGGAACGTAGAATTATGTAAACCAGAGAGGGTCTTCCCTCAGAATGGTATGGTATTTGCACCGATGAAAGCCCGCCAAGTGCAATTGTAGCCAGATTATGGTGCCTTACGCGACGGTAGTGTGGATTGATTTATCGTAGTATGGCTCGGGAGTAGGAGTAGGGTATGAACTGGCAGAGAAGGTAGCCATATCGTACTTTGGTGTTGTGAATCCATGGCTGGTGCTGGGACTGTTGCTGCTTGTGCAAACAGGAGAGGTGGAAGGATCGGTAAATTGCATATTAGTTGGCAATTTCATCAGCTCTTGGACTTTCTTCCTTAGGCTCTCAACCTCGTTGGCCTGGGAATTGTATGACTGAAGAAGGCTCTGGTGTTGCTCGTGGAGAGCCTGTAGCTGACTTTCAAGGCCCTTGACATGTTTTTCCTTTCGTTCTCTGAATGCTCGCTGAGAAGCACGGTTTTGTGCCCGACGTCTCTGTATCGTGTGTTAGTAAACCGTGTAATTATGTACTAGGTAAGGATTTATGGTTCAACCTACCAGGTGCATGGAAGAGACTGGGCCCTTCTGGGTGGTTTTCCGCTCCCTCCGGTCTCCATTGTCTAGTGAAGTGGAGTCGATGTATTCCAGTGGGATCTTCTCTGGTGCTGGATAGTATGGAATCTGAGGGCTCCCGTATGATATCACATAGGGCGCAGGTTCAGAAGGGCTGATGCTCTGTCTCATATGCTACAGATTTGTTAGATTGGTTCTATGCCGTGGTTGTGAGAGGTATGAGAAGTTGTGTCTACTTACATATGTATCTGGGCTGGAGGATTCAGAGTATGATTCTGAGGGACTCTCATATGGTTGTGGGGCCATAGGGTAGGCATAGGTATTGATGTTAGGTAGTGATGGCAAAGCTTCGTAGAATGCCATGGTCACAGTGATGGTGACTATAGTGTATAGATGAACACAGGCGACAAGGAAAGGGCACCAAGGCGATTAATTAATATTATTCAATCGTAGTGATTGATCAACTGTCGCGATGTAAGAAGGAGGAAGAATAGTGTGCTAAGAGCCAGTGATGAAATGTGATGATGATTCCTGAATTCCTGGGAGAGCAAGTGCATCTTAAATCTAGAGAGGTCTCCAGATCTAGGCAGGGTTGCAGTCTCCGAGTGATATGACCCATGTTCATCCGATACTTACATTTGCATCTGTGCAATCCTGGAAGCTTTGTCAACTACAGCACTAAATGATCGTAGACAGGCTGAAGCAGCAGACCAAAGCCATCGTCCAATGGGCTTGCAATGGTAGTGGAATCCTCTACGTACGGCGGGCTTCATGCAGAACAGGGGGTCCAGCCACTGCAGCCGGGGGGCGTGACAGAGTAAAAAAAAAGAAGAATGGGGGTTGAGGGTTCATCTAGGGTACTAAGAGAGGAACCCTTGATTTGGCCCGGGGTTAACGCGGGATACTTGTTCATTCACAATATTATGATACTAACGAGGGAAGAACCACACTAGTTGGGTTAATGGAGCTGAGGGCGCAGTGATTTGCTTAGGCTTGGAGGACTTAAGACCACCCCTGTCAATAGACCGTTGAACGGCAAGTAAAAAAAATCAGTCAAATCAACAAGCCAAGAAGTCGCTCAAGAGGACTTGACAGCCTGCTTCTCCTGCAGATAATGCATATTGATGATACAACATAAAATCCGCGGGTAGAACAGGTACCCGGCAGAGAGCTCCAATTATGATACTCAACCCGCGATATAAAATTGCATACTCTCTAGAATATATGCCGCAGTGGCAGTTGTCATCCCAAGGCTGGCCGGTTCGTCAATCTGCAGCGACAGCCGCTCTTTAGTTATTGGAGGGACACGATGAGCCTGGGACGGGGGCTAATCGACTGCCCCAGATGTATACACTCTTTGCCATGCTCTGCATGAAACAAGCGGCTATTATCACTTTCCCATGTTCATTGAGGTCCAGTATTATTGGCCAAGGACGAGGAAGTAACCTTGACCAGAGTTGACAAGCAGCCGGACGGTGGGGAAGATTATCAACGAAGTAGCTAGGTTTCTACCATTGATAATCATATTCCTTGCAGGTTTGGCGGCCAACCAGTCGGCTGGTATTATTTCAAGGATGTAAACGTTGGTTTCCGTATATCTAAAGAGATATTCCTAACATTTTGCCGGATCACTGGCCCGGAGACGACTTGAGGGCTGGTAAACAGGCTCGAGCAGAACGATGCAGCGACAGGGATCCTTCATCTCGTCTGTTTTTTCTGCTTTTCTCAAAATAACTTACCAGAAGCACGCAGGCACAGTGCAGCCTGCGCAGAGCTACTCCGTAGAGCTTTCGACCAGTTTGCTGTGAAGAATGCGCCGTGACGGGGTTGCGCCAGTTCGGACCCTGCAGGAAGAAGAGTTGACGTTGAAAAAGACGACTATATTTAGATTCCCGGAGGCTGTGCTTTGTCATCCTTGTCGCTAACCCTAAAAAAGGTCGCCCATCCCTGTCCCAACGACAACGACAACGACAGATCGATCGAGCACAGCCATCTTGACTACTATTTACGTCCTTTCGACAACAGGTTCATCACACAGTTATGCTGTTCGGTATCCCAAAAATACTCATTGGCAGTGATTCTGCACCTCCAGGGGAGACCAGCCATCTCCAGTGCGATCCTGCCTAGAGCCTGCGCCAACCTTGCTGTGTTGAGCCTGGCCTGCATCAACCTGCAATCGAATTCTGATACCTGAGGTCCTCCTTGATTATGTGTCATTTGATCTTTTTCTTTTGCTCTATATTTCTCGCAAGTTCTATTTGTGGATAATACCCTAGACTCGCATATGAAGAAGAGGCCCTTGGTCTACGGCCAAGGCAGTGTCTCGTTTACGCGGTTTCGGCCTGAGAAGCTTATAGAGTCATTTCGTCAAGATACCCAACTAACTCCCTGCTCTGTTTCTGCCCTCGGCGCTTAAATATGCACGTTATGGTGGACATTGGGGCCAATATGAATTCTAGCAGCCTTAGATCGGCCTAGTCAACTTGTTCTCCAGTGGGGTGATACAGAGTACTGCCAGGCCCTTCCACCATTCCAACCCCACCAAAGTCGAAAGAGCCACAGAGGATTGACGGCTAGATGGCCCGGGATTTGCGAGGATAACAATGTGATAAGCTATGTCAGTGTGGACGGGTGTGCCCACTCGCTAGTAAGCTATTTCGCCAAATGGAAGGATCATTGCATCTTACATGTCTCCCCCGTGAATCAAGTGTTTCCACCATGGGAAAGAAGAGAAGCTATACGAACTTCGATATGAATAAGCAGCCCCAATGTCTATCCGAAATGCTCCTCGAAAGTACGCATTATATTCACTTGGACAGCAACTCTCATTCCCACTCCTGTTCTGCCCATACCTGGAATTTCTTTACCCTGAGGACATGGAGGTTTACGGGATTTAGAAGTTAAATACCCATTAATAATGTATATCAACGATGCTGAAGATCATACACTTAGAGTATGTGGGTAGTATTTGCCAGCCGATGACTCCCTTACCTCCGAATGATAGGACAATGAGCGCGGAATACCGCAAAAGTCACTATACTACGTTATCCTTTGTAACTCCGGATACGCGTTGGATGGTTGGATAAACCGATTACCCTACAATTTTTCTGCAGTGAAATGCATGAACCTGAGTCAGCCTGTAAGGAACGCAGTGAATTTTGGCCCCAAAATTCCTACGTAGAGCCCAGAAGCATTGCCAAGAGGCTTACTTAGAAGAAATTCCGCCTTCACAACCATGCTCAGAGGCTTCATAATACTCTTTGTACCTGGCTGTCGTTTTCTCCCGGGAATGACGAGAGATTGCATATGAAACTGTGTTAGCGGATACCATTCTGAGACCATTTTGATCATCCCCACGATGAAACAGCGCATTGGCCACAATGTATTATGCAATTAGCCTTACATCCGTCCTCGTGTTGGTTTTGATAGAGCTTCGCCCAATAGGCTTATACCTACACGCTCAAAATTTATGAACCAGTACTCCGTGTATGATTCAGCATACAGCATATGCATTGCATTGCATCACATATCTCTGTATCAGAGTGAGTTTCATATATTGACCACAGTACCCCGTACCTGACAGCTAGCTCGTGGCAAATGGACTTTGAGGCATAACTGTCCGTGTGACCAAATACATAAATCCTAACAGCTAGGGAGCTCAGGTCTCTAGCTGGCATGGCCCTAGTGAATATCGGAAGAGTACCGCACCATGCGTATGACGATCTCAAAGATGGCTTTTTGCCCAAAAATCGGGTTGACAACACGAAGCTTATGACAAACGCATGAGGATTGGGTCAAGTGCCTTGAATGGTAGGGCAGATCAGGCAAACCAGTGCAATTCTTCTAAAAAGCTATGCAAGCCTCGCGACCTTCATGTGGCCGTTGATAAGGATAGGACGACTATTGGCGCCTAAGCTTCAAAATTTCAACATAGATCAGCCACGCGCCATTACTCCGTTGCTTCCCCTCCCCCACTGCTCTAGTATACACTGAGTACTGTAATGTGTTTTAGCCAGATAAACGGTAGCACAGGCTTGGTTTATCTGCGTACTCTAGCAGCCTTCTCCAGAATTTTTATCCAACCGGCAGTCCTCTGTCTTATCTCCCAGCCTGATTTACTCTAGGTGATATATGCATTAGTTAGTCTATCCGATATATCCCCAAACAATCATCTCTTGGGTTCTGAAATTCTCCGAATATGCCTGTGCTGGGCTAACATTCGTCAAGCTACGGCGTACTCTATGGTGAACGCTGGGCGACTATCGGTTCCCTGACCATTGCAGGATAAAAATATCTCCATATACTCATTTCTACGGCCTTTTACCAACAGGGAGGAAAACCCCTTAAAAATCGTCCAGACAGACGCAATATTGCAATATCCCGTTCTATAACCATATGCGGCAGAGACACCGGAATCTCAAGATGCACACTGAAGATGATACCCAAGAAATGTCGAAAGATTTCAGTCCAATCGTATTATGAACGAAATTTAAATAATTACCACTTCGCCCTGGACCTTTTGGCAAGACAAGAGAAGCCTTGACTGCAGTCTTCTCCCCCTTTATTCCATGCTGAAGATTGAAGTTGAAGTAATCAATTCTCGAGGTGACCCTGCATTGAAGGTTGAGATGCTTTATCTTGGCCATCCTTACCATGCTTCAATCTCGAAACGGTACTTCTAGTGAACCAACTGCCATGTGAAAGTCATTGAAGAAAGAAAAAGCCTCTCTCCAGTTCATGGATGGCTAGTTAATGAATGATTGTTTCGCGAAGCGGATAAAAAACAATGTTTACCCTTCAGTGCGCCTCCAGCATTCACGGATTAGCCGAGAAGCTCCTCTCCCCTAGATCCTCGTCTCCGGCGCGGGGTTTGGCAGAGTTTTTGGCCATCATCATCCAGCCCAACCTTTTTGTACCCTGCATTGAGCGCCCGCTGCAGGGTTGCAAGCCGTAATTGCGAGTAAATTTTACATAATATATGCTCCGCTACCGAACCATCTTCCAGGAGACGAGAATGGTTATACCCGGTTGAAAGGCGCGGAGGAAGGAAGGTCAGCACTAAAGCCCTGTCAGCACAGAATTGCAGGCGTATGAAATATGGAATCCGTGCATTTCTTAGTGCCGTTAACCCTAGTGATCTTAGGAGTCTAGACAGATCTGAAGCTAAAGACAGAGAGGTGTCCCCTTCCCACCGAAACATTTAACACCCTTATCCCTTCTTTCGCCAGTTGTTCAGGAATCATACTTTCGGTGTCCAAGTACTGATGAATGAAATAGGTTATCCGAGTGAAGATTATCATTCGTACCGTATCAAGATACCAATAAAGGGAACATCTGGGCAGAAAGCAAGGCGATCGATCCACGCTGGCCAGCTGTGATAAAAAGAATGGCTCAAGGGTCATCGCAAATTTCGCGAGAATAGCTCACTCAGAGAAGGTAACGAAGAGCTCGTTGTCGTAATCGTATACGAGTAGTTCACTAAGTATCGATTAACAGAATGACGTTTCAGGTCATGCATACCCGATGTGCCAAAGGACGTTATGTGATCCTCTGGAGCCGAAGAGGGACATATCTCTGAGTTTTCTAAAGCCGATTTAGGAAATTCCTAAGACGTCTTGATGTCGCCAGTGCCACCACCAGGAATGCTCTCGCACCGCCAATTGGCCGTCATCACAAGGCAAAAAGAAGAAAAGCTCACCAAGACCAAGATATCGTCAGAGCAGGCAAAACAAAGGAAAGTCCCCAGAGGTGCCTGTGCAATGGAACGAGCAAAGTTCTTCGCGATTTAGACCAAAGAGGACTTCATACGAAAAGGCAAAAGGTGTCTAAAGACCACTATCGAATGGGCTGGCGGCTCCCAACCCTCTTGGTGTCCTGCGGGCCGATATCATACTTTCTGGGCTTGCCAATCGCAGTGCGTTGACCTCCCCCATCCGGATCGCATGTCGTAAACGCCTCTCTCCACAAAGTTAGTTGACTAGTTAGTTACGGAGTACTAACTAGCTATGTCGTTATCTGGCCTTGCTGGCAACAACATCGTGTGGCTGTAAAAGCAATTATATGCTTGGGACAATTCCAGAATCCTGCCTTAACTAGTTACTCCGTGGTTAGCCAGAAGTAAAATGTTCGTAAAAGAAGGAACGCCTTCAACGCCTCAATATCCATACATCCACCATTACGATGTAGATGTAATGAATGATATTCACCATTGATTCTAAGCTATCAATATTGCCTGAATATCTACAATCAATCTTGGAGCCAGAATACAAGCCAACTAAGCAATTATTCACCAACTTGCCCTTCCCGATTCACTCCACGGCCTCCAGTATTTAGGGGCTTCCCAACCCCATCTGTGCTCTCTGCATACAGAATCGGTAATTGGTAGAACCTCTGCTAGATACACACCATTAGAGCTATTTTTACATCGGAATCTCCGCTACAAAGCTTAACCAACTAACCAGATATCTGGAGCTGTTTATCCTCTTTGCCCCTTGCGGCGTCCCTTTGATACAACCACATCCATTGCATAAAATCGCACGCCACCTAGTCACGGAATGGTTATCTCCAACTCTATATCAAATAAAGAGGCATTCTACACAGTACTTTAAGCCTAATATAACAACCTAAAAAAAGCATCATATCATGCTCTGTATAGTCAATGAAGACGGTGGACAACCTACAAGGCACAATACCCCGGGTAAGCAGATACCAAGAGAGTCATAAGCTGTGAACGCAGTTGTTTCTTGAGGAAAAGTAGTTATAAGGGCCCATAACCACGTCGTTTCTCACAAACGAGAAGGTTAATATAATAGAGCACGGTAATCGCTTGAGAAGACTCGATTACCACCATGTTCAAGACACGTAAGTCTCTTCCCTGATACAACGATGTAGCGGATCAGCTCGCCATCTTCAACATCCTGGAGCAGCGACAACGGCCAAAGCACCAGATAGAGACAAGGAGTCCTGACAGTGACCCATGTATCGGACAAATACGTGGCCAACCGTTGTCCTGGAGGTAGACTTTGCAGAATCAAGAAAGGAGGTAAAAGATAGCGTCTCTGTGTGGCTGCATGGATCCAACGTGAACGTTTTAAGGACCGTTTCTATCAATATCGAAGAGCTGAGTGGCAACATCCAACTACATGGATATACGTCGAGGACGGATGTACAAAGCACCAGCATCAGCCACACACGGAACCGAGAAGCGTAACTAAAGATAGTACGGAACAAAGGTCAATCCTCAACCATAGCGGAAGCTGACATTGTGATACCATATAAATATCCCGCTTCGCCAAGCAGGTAGCTCAAAGCCAGCGGGAGGGTGATTTCGTGTTCACCAAACGGGAGCTGTCAGAGGTGGCTGAACCCGTATCGGAAGGTACATAGGAAGGTTATATCTCAAACAAAAGACTATACTCGCGTACAACAGAGGAAGAGCTGAGTTTGGTAGTTTTGATATCCAACGACGGGATACACTCTCGCCCCAGATGCTAGTCCCCACAGGGAGTTATAGCCGGGCAAGTATATGCTCTTAGGTTGTGTTTCTGATCATCGTGATTTTGCAGTAACTATAGTGGAAACACAGTATATAGGTTTATTCGAGATATCTTCTACTCCGTACCAGTGTTGTCTGTGGGTACGCAGCCGCAACGCGCTCTAGAAATACGCGCGCGATACTGGCTGTGGTTCAATGTGACTTTACCAACCATGTCAGCGACGTTAGGCAACTCTTCCACAGCTGCGTCATAGAGAAAGTACAGCTAGCGAGAAAGTATGATGTTTTGGCTGTGTGTCTCCTGAAAAGTCTGGAGAGTCATCGGGAGAATGATGACTTTCGTTTATGATGGAATCAGTTATATCTACATTCCTTCAAAGAAACATTATTGTCAAAGATGCGGAGTACAGCTTCAGCCTGCAAACCACTAATGAAGGCTTACTCGTTTGGCTCAGGCGTTTTGACACACTCCGTGCATATCGAGAACTAATGTATTTCGATTATCTATACTCGTAGGCGCCCTGTTGGACCACTAGTTGTCCCAGGATGCCCAATGGAGACCGCACACTTGCACGGCCGGTTCAGAAGACACCTCCATTTCCTCCATACGTATTGGATCAAGCTTGCAAATCGAGGCCCTGGACTCCATAGTTAGATGGCGTCTCGTCCCTCTGGCTGGGCGCTGGGGTAGAAGCGCAGTCACATGCGGAGGTTCGTATACGGAGAAAAACGAACTTTTTCTCCTGTTCATGTAAGTATTGGAGGGCTATCGTCCCGCAACCGCAACCTTCAGCAAATGGTTTACGGGGGGGGAAAGAGAAAGGACAGCAAGAGTGAGCAGCAAGCAAGAGATCTTCTTCTAGCTGGCCTCTGAACCCCATTATAGATGAGTTCGGTGGGGGAGATAAGCTGGAAGTAAAAGAAATAGTATGAAAGGGATAAATTGATCTGCACGGGGATTGCCACCTGCGCAATGAGAAAAATAAAAAAATAAAAGTAAAGTAAAATAATAAAAAGCCATCTGAGATATATTATATGCTTTTTTATCTTTCTTTTCTTTTTTGTTCAGTGATTTTCTTTTTTTTTTCCTTATGTTGCTGTTCTGTTTCTCCTCAGCTTAGACGTTTTTTTCCCTTGGGGAGGGTGAAAATGGCAGGCGGCAAAGCAGGAGGTGATCTCTCATGTTCTAAGAGTTGGGCTTGCAGCTGGACCAAGACGATGGCGCGGCTCCATGTCATGGAAACTGATGTGTATAGTGTCTATACGGGGTACACCGAAGTGCTGGGTGCTGGATACCGCCATGACCCAACTTGGGATATCGTCCGTCCATCGTGCTTCCTTCGTATGCACGAGAAGCATACCAAGGATACACAGCATAAATCTCAAACCACCAGTTCCTCCCATGTGAAGCTGAACACGCGGAAGATGCACGGTGGTGGGAAGTCAAGAATATGCTTGAATGTCTTGTGTCCGTCAAGCAAAAAGCCATCTCTCCAGGAGCGGTGGCGAAAAAGCACACTAAAGGGAAGAATAGCTTTTTATGGTGGTAACCTCCGCGGTTGTCTGTGAAGGGTGTCGTTAGCGATCGAAGATCTCTATCAATATGCGTATATCTATAAAAAATAAGGGTACGAAAGGGTCCTTTAGGTCTGTCACACGACAGACGCTGGCGGGTTGATTGGACAAGTCAAGAAGGAAGAGAAGGAGGAGCGAAGAAAAAAGAACAACGGGCGTGTGACGAGGAACAAGTGGCCATGACATGGATGGATACGTTGTTCGATCATATCCATAATGATGATATGATATGTGGATGATGTGCAAGAAGTAGCTTGATGTATATACACCCAAGCTCTGAGCCTCCTCGCTGCCATCAAGAAGACCAACTCCACTCGAGTCCTCGTGTGGGAGAAGAAGACGAAGAACATCCCCAGGCCCTTCTTCCTGGGCCCAGCTCCACTGAACCTTGAGACTTGCAGAACATAGTCCTCTCTATTCGAACTAGCATAGTAAGCCATCTACCAGTACCAGTAGACCAGCCAGCCAGCTAGCCCAGCCCAACAACCTGGCTGCCAGGCTTTGCCATCTGTGCTCTTTCCCCTACTTTTGAGGGAAGAATATACACTAGTGTAGCCTTCCGTGTGCCGAAAAGACAAGTGATATCGATGAGACAGGCTTCGGAGATGATGCGTTGAGTCCAGGGAAACTCCCTTCTCCGCTCTCCCCGTCCCCGTCCAGGGGTCATGAACCGAACCGACCTGGACAGCTTTCAACCTCCAACCTTCGAGATGCTCACCATGTCACTTTCAGAGTCTCCAGGGAACGATCGATAGAAGGAGGGCGCAAAAAAAAAGGGAGAAAAAGCAAGAAGAAAAAGGTTGCAGAAACCGTCGCTAATTTTAATAATTGGCTTTCTTCATTCGACGGGAGGGCTAACCTTTGCGCTAGTAAGTGTAATACTTACTTAGGTAATTAGCAGATCTTCGAGAGGGCACGAACCGAGGGTATATTGTTGTCCAGGCGGTTGTCTGGCGTCAGAAAGATAAGCAGAGGCAGGAGAAGGTCGATGAATCTGGTGGCTAGCTCCGGGTGTATAAGTGGTTAGGTTAGTGAGCAGCGGACGCCACCGGGAATAAGGAGATCGAGGCAGCTGCAGAAAAGCGAGGAAGAGAGAAGAAGAGCGACCGAACCGACCGCGGACCAGCGTATCTTCTCGTTCTCGTAGGGGATGAAACAGATGCATCGTTTCACTTCTCCTTCAGTCTGCCAACGCCTATCGTTGGCCGAGCTTGCCAGGGCCAGGGGGCCCTAGCAGCACCAGCAGCAGCATTGGAGGTGGTGCCCGTAAGGAACCCGAGAGACCAGCAGCAACGGCACCAACCAGCAACAGCCTGGCCGGTCAAGCCAGCCAAAGAGAAGACGGAGGATGTGCCGGGGGTTGCATCCGGACGGGGTTATATCGTATCGAAAAGGGCTCGTTTTGCTCTGCATCCTCCGGATCCTGGCACTTATCGTCTTCACAGATATAGCCCTACGTCGAGCTTGCTGGTTTGAAAAGACGACGATGGCGCTACCGAAGGCCAACGGGCCGCATGCCAAACCACGCCATCGTTCCCTTTAATCTGTTAACCGTTGCCGTCCTTTATCTGCCCTCTGCTCTCTGCTCTCTCTGCCGGAGGAAGGGGAGGGGAGAAACGAAGGGACCCCATGCAGGGCGTGGGGAGGCCGGCCACGTTTTTTGCTAGGCGGAGCCGGGGTGTGTGCTGTAATAATACGATGCAAAGGATTATAGTCCTCTTCTGCTTTGACGGTGATGTTGTATGTAGATGTTGTTGGTGGCGGTGGTGATAGTGGTGGTAGTAAGATATACTCCGTAGTTAGCGGTGGTGATGATGATGATGATGATGATGATGATGTCAATAGAGGGCGAGAGGTGGCGCCTCTCGCGGGTAGACAGAAGACCAACTACCGCACACAGCTACTTCAAGAGACAGCTTCGCCCTCATCCTCTCCCTACCGTATAGATAGCTATCAGTTCAGAGAGTGACACGGTGATACTTCTCCCCGACGGCGCCCGAGAGCTCTTCTGAGGCGCATCTCGCAGCCTCTGCTCCGTATACTTATGCACCCATCTGACAGCCAGAGCCATACATCAACTGGACCATCCCGGGCCAAACAAACCTTGAACGGGGCCAAACTTCTTCTTTGCTTCTTTGCTTCTTCTGCTTCTGCTTCTTCTTTTCTTTTTCCTTTCTTCTTCTGCAAATCCCTGGGGCTGTCCGGCCGGCCCATCCATCGCATCGCATTGCATTTCGCAAACCCTTGAAAGCAACCAGCAGCAAGCAAGCAGCAGAAACGGCGAAGTACCTCGCAGCCCCCGAACCATCCTTTACCTTATAACTATTATACATACATACATTCGGCAATCCTCTCTCGGAGCCCTCCGCCTGCATCTTGCATCTTGCCCTACTATATATTATTTGGTTGTTCTCGAAAGACGAGGCTGCTCCCTTCGATAGTTCGCCGCTGCGCTTGTCTCGTATACAGCCTTCCCTCCCGCTGACTGACGCTGCCACTCGAAATCCCAGGAGAATTACAAACAGAGGAAGTGACGGACAGAAAGAGAGAAGAGAGAGAGATACTCTGCACAAGACGAGACAAAACGAGACATCCAGACCTTGTTGATGGTGTATTCTCGTCCTGGCGTCGCATCCTGGTTGTGTGTTCTGTGCTACGAGCCGGAGTCCAGCATCCTTCCCCCCCCAAGTCGGACTGAAACTGATTCCAGCATAAAACCGCTTTTGCACGAAACGAGTTTACCTGGTAGGCCTTGACGTTGAGGGCGAAGAGGCGAGAGAGAGACAGACAAACGAGACCTGAGCGTGTGCATTGCTGACTGCTGCTCCGTCGTCTTCTAGAGGCCTAACTACCTCGCGTCGGCACCATGGGTTGCATGAGCTCGAAGGACATCACCCCCGAGATGAGGGAGCAAGGGAAGCAGAGTGCTGCCATAGACAAAGTCATCCGGGCAGACAAGAAGAAGTACGACAGGACGGTCAAGATACTGCTACTCGGTGAGTATATAGCTGTTCCATCGCTACCAATCACTACCTACTACCTACCTGCTCCTGACTCCCTGCTAACTGCCCCCTCCTCGCAGGCGCTGGCGAGTCCGGCAAGTCGACCATCATCAAGCAGATGCGCATCATCCACTCCGGCGGATTCCCCATAGACGAACGCCGGCAGACTCGAGCGGTCATCTATTCCAACATGATTGTCGCCTTCAAGCTGCTCATCGAGATCATGGAGGCGGAAAACATAAGCTTCGAGCATGAAGCTACAGAGGTACGTATGACGATATAACCGTCGTCGCTCTCTTTGTTGCTGTTCTTTGTTCGACCTTGCGTATTTTTATTTTTATTTTTATTTTTATGAGCTAGCTAAGGCTAACCACCGAATCAAAACAATCTAGCCACTCGCCCATTTTATCCAGACGAGCGAAGCAGACGTCGAGTGCGATGAAGCTTTCACCGATATCAAAGTACGGGAGGCCGTCAAGACGATGTGGGAGGACGCCGGTGTCCAGAAGGCAGTGGCCCGAGGCCACGAGTTCGCACTGCACGATAACCTCCACTAGTAAGTCGGGCAGCGGACACAATCTACTACCTCTTTTGAACCGGTTATTCTGACAGTTATGGACAGCTACTTCAACTCGCTAGATCGGATATTCACACCTGGCTGGCTGCCGAACAACCAGGACATGCTTCACTCTCGGCTGCGCACAACCGGAATCACCGAGACCCTCTTCGAGCTTGGACAGATAAACTTCCGCATGATGGATGTCGGCGGGCAGCGGTCGGAGCGGAAGAAATGGATCCATTGCTTCGAGGGCGTACAGTGTCTGCTGTTTATGGTGGCACTCTCCGGCTACGACCAGTGTCTAGTAGAAGACCAGACTGCCGTAAGTCACACTAAGCTATATGCTTCCGATGCTACTACACTCAAGACTAACTAACGTCTGCAGAACCAAATGCATGAAGCAATGATGCTCTTCGAATCCCTTGTAAACGGTGAATGGTTCAAACGCAAGCCTGTCATCCTCTTCCTCAACAAGATTGACCTCTTCAAGGAGAAACTCGCCATATCACCTGTATCCAAGCACTTCCCGGACTACAGCGGACGGGACGGCGACTTCGAGGCTTCCGCAAAGTACTTTGCAGACAGATTCAAAGGCATCACCCGTGTCCCTGAAAGAGAGATATACACTCACTACACCAACGCAACTGACACCACCCTACTGAAGGCGACTATGGACTCGGTCCAGGACATGATCATACAGAAGAACTTGAACAACCTTATCTTATGAGGGTTAAACTGACGACAATCAAACATGACTGATATCCCTGGCCTGCTCATTTCCTACTTCACGCCTCTACAGTATCGACATACCTTCTTACCCGCCAGCCCACCTCACCAACTTGCGATCCTCATCATCAAGCCAAACCAATCTACCAAGTG